AGTGGCGACCGGCACAGGCGGACCCTCCAGTGACGGATGGCTTGGAGTGATATCACACTAATAATGGGGTCGAGATCACCCACGTACAGTTATACAAACAATGCGCACACCCAGGCGGTCGGTGTCTGGCCAAAACTGCGAGGCAAGAGAAAGCCTTGCCAACATCAACGCTTCGTTGTAGTATGTACTATGGTATCAATTCCTTGTTTGCCAAGGCACCGTGTCTCCCACCATGGAATGAAGCTTTCAAGCCTCGTCCTGATCCTCTTCGTCGCTAACCTCCTCACCGGCGTCTATGGCCTCTTGTCTCCTCTTTGCCGCGCGCTCTCGTTTCCTCTCGAGTAGCTTTTTGAGCCTCTTTGCACCGTTGAATACCCCGTTGGTGCCTGCCCCGCATGCGGCACACGTCGGGTCCCGCCGGTATCTCTTGAGGGCACAGCCCTCGCAGAAGTAGTGACCACATCGCGTTACCACCGGTTCCTTGTACGCGTCCTTGCAGATGATGCATACGAAGGGTATGTTCTCGAGCATCGCCTCGTCGTCGTCGTCGTCGTCCTTGGCCTTGTCGCGGTTGGCGTTGGCCACCACTGTCCCTCCCAGGTTCTTCTTGCCCTTCGTCACATTCTCCCATTCCTTGTCGAGCTGCCAGCCTTGCTTGTAATCTTCTCTGCTGTGGAGGAACTTGCTGTTTGAGGCGTTCGTGTCAGTGACGGCTCTAAAGAACATGCAGTGAGGGTAGTGAGATTCGTGCAAGACATACCAATTGTCACCGAACCCGCAGAAGCCGGTTTGTTTGTAGTCCTTACACACATCCGGTGCAAAGTCCGTGACGGTGATGGTTCGAATGTTGGTCGGCGCCTTGATGGGGCCTACTTTTCTCTGCGGTGCGTCTGGATTCTTCTGTATGAAGGATGTTTGGTTCGCAAGGCCCTTGTAGGTGCCGTCAGGCTGTTGCTCCCCTTTGGCCAAAGCCCGCGTCGAGCCAAGCAAGTTCTTGGCCGACATGGCATCCTTGGCTTCGTCGTCGAACCAGTTGCTCTGTTTGGTCGCATCGTTTGCGCTCGTAATCGGGGCGCTTCGGTCTGCCGTGAACTTGGTCGCCACCAGGTCCCTGTCGCTGCCGGTACCGCCTTTCGATGTGACGGTGACTACCGCGTTCTTCCTGCGCCGCTTCACTCGTTGGCCAGCTTCGTCCTCGGAGGACGAGTAGTTGTCGCTGTCGCTGTCGCTTGCGGCGGGAGGTGGCGTTGCTGGCCGTTTCCTCAGGTTGGCCTTGCCTTTCGCGCCCCTTTTCTTGAAGACCGCCACAGGGGCAGCCTCTTCCTGTGGCACATCTGCGTCCGCCATGGCTGTGCTGCAGTCTATCGAGAGAACGATGGTGATGTTTACGGCGTTGGTTGACGCAAGGCTGTTTGACGGCCTGGGGATGTTGAAGCTGCGGCAGATGATATGAGTGGGGCGAAGGCTTCTGGAAGGATGACTAATGGGTGGATCCAGCAGCTTCGACAAGCATTGCGGCCTCGTGCATGCATAATATGGTGGTGGTGTGGGTCTTCTGGACGTGACGCGCCAACGCTTGGATGACAAACAAACAACGTGCAACTTGTCCAGCTCTGGATGCTCTGGTCACGAGCTTCACCTGGTGTGTTTCCTGTCAGTGTAATTCGTGCAGCGTCAACTGGCCAAGCAAGTCGTAATATTTTGTGATTGAAATCATGGCTATACTTTCCGTCGTTCGGTTCGCGACCCGTGATTCCCTCTTTTCACGTGACATTCCTTCCCAAATGCGAATCACATTGTTCCCGATTTGTGCAAGCAGTTTATTTCCCATGTGCCTTGTCTCTGCCGAAGCGCCAAGTCGACATCATTACCAGTGTCCCTTCCCTTGCTTCGTCTTGCTCGTCTCGTCCATGTACTCGCACTGCACTGCATCGGAGCGGCGCGTCGAGACATGCAACTGAGACTTCATCGTGCTGTTTCATTATGCCGACGACAGAAGACAGGGGATCAAGTGCCGGAGGCAACTCCAGACGCGCTGTCGACTGAAAACAGTGTTTTTGGGTCCCAGCGGCCAAGTTCGAGGAGCAGGAGGAGTACCTGCTATTATCTCAGCTCCTGCGCGCCATGGCGAAGGACTCGGTGCGTCGAGTGCATGAACAACAGTGGCCGGCGGTTTCATGTGATTGGCTTGTGGACCCTGGCTATACTTGTGCTCCCCTTGACGGAAATGAAAGGATGCTTACTTTTACTTTGCCCGGATCACTGCGTGCCAAAGTTTACACAACGTCGCGCTGGAGCCTGTGGCTCGTAGGTAGAGCACGGCGCACTGGCTCCAGGCTTGGCTCGGGTTGAGTGTCTGGTCACTGACCACGGCGTCGCCTGCGGGCCGTAGGCACAGCCAGACTCGCCCCCCATCGGCCGTGCATATAGTATAATGTGCTGCCCGCTGCAATCATGCGTCCAACGGCGCGGGGGCGGTCCATGGCCGCGGATAGACATCACCAGATGGTGGAGTGCGGCGCACATTACCATGCTCGTATCGAGCCACCAGGCGGTGGTGATGATGTGCAGATAGGACATCTCATTTCTGGGATCAGCAAAAGGGCACGCAAAAAGGGCACTTCAGACAGTGCGCGGGCCCGGGTTCGGGCCAGGGACGGCCAAGCCACGGCCCCGGCGTTGGTTGGTTGTGCCCCTCATATGCCAATAACAATCACGACTCGCAGTGCCGAGTCACGATCTCAGCGTTGGCGAGACCTTTGGGCCGCCGCCGCCGCCGTGGCTTCGGCCATGGAAAGCTCGGCGGCATCACGGGACGCACTCGACGGGCAGATGGCACGCGACACCCAAGTGCAAAAGTATGTAGTAGTAGCGCTCATATTCGTGTCGTACGTAGCAGAACTTTGCGGCGGATTGCAGCGCCCTTTGATGAACGGTGGAGCGCGAGGCCGTCGTCGTTCACCGGCCGTGTTGAACGCTCCACCGAGGACCAGGGCCGCATGTCAAACCCATCAAGGGGTGAATGGGCCGTGGTCAAAATGTCCAAAATTTCCGTCATTCCTGCCTCCCTCCTTTGCGTTCACGCCGCTACTTCTCGCCCGGCCATTTTCTCCTTCGACCAACGAGGCCCAGCACGTCTCGACTCTCGCGCTGCTGGCCGTCCTTTCCTTTGGGTTCCCAAGTTACCTTGCCTTACTTCGTCCCGCGCCTCGCACCCGCTGGGCTGCAGCCACCGACCGACTCGCCCTCTGCAGCCACGCGCGCGCCTGCGCCTTGTTCTGTGTGTCGTTTTTTTTTTTCTTGCGCTGCTCTTTTAATACTACTAGTGCCTCTGCCACTCGTTGCCTCGCTCGACGTGTCTCGCCGCCGCCGACGACAAGTTCCAGGTTGAAAGCTCGCAAGCCGCATACCTGCGATTGGAGGTGACGGCCTCCACGACGGCCCCCTTTGGCGGTTGTGTCACGCACTCGTGTCTCGAGTCCGCCGAGGCCAGGCCAGGCCAGGCCCCGATCCTTCTCGCATCTCCTGTGTCTCTTCAGCACCCTGTCCTTGCGCTCTTAATCAGGCACCCGCACCGCATCTCAGGTACAAAGCTGCGTGTCCCGGATCTGCGGTAATAACATAGCGCGCGTCTTGGGTCGGCAGCCACCAAACAAAACAGCCTTTGCCTTGGTCGGGCTATTTTTTTCCTCAACGGCCACCACCATCGCTGCCGCCAATCGGGACCTGGCACACCGTGGCTGCATGGCTGCCAATGGTCAACAAATCGGCCGTCGCGTTTTCTAGGTCGATCATTCCAATCCAAGCAGCGTGTCGACGCCCGCCTCCCTCAGACATCCCGCCAACCACTCCCTGCGCTGCGCCCGCGGCCCGCCTTTTCTCCCTCCGCGAAACACGCCCGCTCATCGACGGCGCGATCTAGGCACCTTCGTTTCCTTCGCGATTTTAGCTGAACTCTTTCTTTTCCTGGTTGGTTCTTTTTCGCCCGCGTCGCCAGCAGCGGTTCCTCTCCTTCGCGCTGCGGTGGACACGACTTTTAGTAATTATTCACCTGTCCTGCACGAGGGCCCGCGCTCCCTCAGGTCGGCGGCTCGTCTTCCTGCGTCCCCCTGCAGCCGCTCCCAGGGCCCCACGCAAGGGGTGCAACCGATCGCTCATCCGCCTACTCGACCTCGGGAACGCGACGTAGTCGACACCTCCACCGCCGTCACCCTCCCGATTCATCGCCTGCTCTCACCGACCGCCGGCGTGCTGCACCTACAGCTGGGAGTTTGTTGCCCTCGTGGCCACTGCAGACGGTCTTTCCTGTGACACCTTGTTCGTCAGGATGACTTCGTCGCTGGCCTCGGAGGAGCGCCCTACGCTCCCCGCTCCGGGGGAGGCAGCTGGGGACCCTTTCGTCGCCAACACACCTGGCGCTCCTCACCACCGATTCTCCAGCTTCGACCACGAGCTCTTTGCTTCTGGGCCCGGGTCGTCTCCGACGCAGGCGAAACGCGCACTCGAGGCTCATCTCGCCGAGACGGACCGCCGCCTTGACGAGGCGGGCAAGCTAGGCACAGCTCTTGTCTCCCAGCGTAAGGCGCTGGCAGAGCGCCTGCAAGAGGTAGAGAAGCTGCAGAAGGAAGGCGAGCTTGGCCCAGATCTTCGCAAAAAGCTTGTCGAGATCGAACGCGAGTTCAATGACCTGGCACGGGAGTCGGCCCGGGTCTTTCTGCCCAAGCAGAGGATCCCTAGCAATGAGGCCAACCCAGGCTCTCCGTTTGTGCCGGAGGCGCGCAGCGGCAGAGTGAGCTTTGCCCTGTTCGGCTCTCTGGCAACCCCAGGCCTTGCTAACGTTTCACCTACAGCGCTCTGTCAGCCCTTCCAAGTTCGAGAGCCACGCGACTGGCTCGCCGACGAAGCTCAGTGTCCCGAACCGCAAGCTCAGAAATCAACCCTCAAACCGCGTACACGATATAGAGTTTGCCGCAGAGATTAGCACCTCGCTCATCGCTCAAGTCCGCAGCCTGCAGACATTGCTGTCAGAGCGCGAGGAGGAGGTCAAGACTCTGCAGACAGACAGGACCAAGCTGGAGATCGAATCCGAGAGCCTGCAGCAGCGCCTCAAGACTCTGGACGAGAGCGAGCACCGCTACAAAGAAGAGAACTGGAACTTGGAGACACGTCTGCAAGAATACTCGTCACTGCAACGAGAGGCAGCTGATCGCGAAAAGAAGCTGACACAAGCTTTGGGCTTGTCCAACGCTGAGAAGAATACCGCCCAGAAAGAGCTCGACGAGGTTAAGTTGTCTCACGCCAAACTGGCTGAGGAGCACGCGGCCACCGTCAAGCATCATGACATAGAACTCGGCACGGCGAAGCGCAGCATGGTCATGGCTGAGGGCGAGCGCTCCGCCATGCAGCGCAAGATTGACGACCTGACGAGCCAGAACCAGGAGCTCGCCAAGGCCTTCTCCCTTCAACGAGGAAGGGCCACGGAGCGTGAGCCTGCTTCAGGTTTGAGCGATGAGGAGTTCGATACCGCCGCCGATAACATCACCCCCGAGCACTCGCCTCCTCCATCGCCCATCAAGGGCACTCCGAGACACGCCATGCTTGAGACGGAGACTATTAAAACCTCGCTGCAGCACGCGCAACGAACGATACAGAACCAGCGGAGCCAACTGCATCGCGAGAAGACTGAAAAGCTTGAACTGCGTCGCATCATCCAGGATCTCCGCGATGATCTTGAGAAGGCGCGCAATGATTCCGGCAGCGCCGCTACATCAAGGAGGAGTCGCAAGGTGGACTCCAAGGAGTTCAAGAAGTCAAACCGCCTTCTCGGCAGCTTCCGGTCCAGCCGTCAAGAAATTGTCGTGGACGACCCTGAATGGGAGGACAACCCGGAAGTGTCTCCTGGCAGGTCATCGGCGTCGACAATTCCAAGCCAAGGCCAGCTTGCCACCAGTCGCACGGACACGAGCGATCAATTCGAGACGGCCAATGAAGCGAGTGAATCGGCTTTTGAGACTGCGAATGAACGGGCTACCGAAACCGAGGAGTTCCAGACCGGGAACGAAGGGTTCTCGGACAGCGATGACGATGCGGCAACCGAGACAGAAAGCCCAAGCAGAGGGTTCGGCCGGATGAGACAGCCGCCGAGCTTGCCGGCCGGCCTCGCTCGTCATACCAACCGCAATTCGTTCCATAGCACAGCATCGACGTCGGCCGACGAGGATGATGTCGCGGAACTGCGGACCCCGACAACGAGACTCTCGTCACAAAGAAGCCGCGTCCGTTTGACCCATGGATCTCTCTCTCGAAGCTCAAGGCAGACTAGCGAGGAGCCCAATCTGCAGAGCAGCCCTGCAAGCTTCGCTAGCATTGGTGCTGCTCAAGCTGGCCAAAGCCTTTTCGCGGAGCTGCAAGACTACGGGGGCAGCGACGATGACTCTCTTATCGGGACACCTATGACTCGCCGCAGTGTTCGATCAGGTACACCGGGCTCCGTTCGGCGCACGCTGTCGCCAGCGCCGGCCGTGCCCGAGCTTCCGAGAGTCATCATGGTGGACAGCGGTGTCATGACAGACCCTGTCCGAATCACCAGCGAGGTCTACACGGAGGCATTACAGCGTCCCGTGTCCGTTCAGTCTGTCGTCAACGCGCCGCCCGGTCAGACGTCTGGGGTCTGGGGCACCAATCGTGGCCTGGACGCCGACGTTTCCAGACCGTTGTCTACCCTTTCTTACAGCGACGCGGGCGCGCAATACGAACACGACATTGCCGAAAAGCTTGCGCAGTTCCCCGTGCCCCCTACGTCGCCGCCGCAAATCCCGCCGACTCCGCCTGCCCTTGGGCTCTCCATGATTCGGTCCGAGGCCGTCGAGCCGCGAGAGGAGCCTGTTGTGCTCCCTACTCCGCCGTCTCTTCGCATGTCGTCGCTTGCGATGCAGCAAGTTGAGCCTGTGGCTGAGCCCGAGGTTCCAGCGCCAGTCCTTTCCCTCTCAAGTATCGTTGCTCAAGGACTGTACCCCGTGATGGAACCTGTGTCTCCACCTCCTGCGCTGACAATGGCGCCAATGCTCACGGAGGTTGTAGAGCCGGTTGCTGCTCCGCCGCCTTCCCTTACTTTCTCGACAATCACCGCTGAAGCTGTCGAACCCAAGGCCGAACCGGAACCCTTGGCGCTCCCGCTCCCTCCAGTACCACAGCCACCCGTTCTCAGCATATCCTCAATCATGGCAGAGAATGTTCAGCCCATCAGCGAGCCAGAGGTTGTCATCAGAGCGCCACCTCTCACCTTGTCATCCATCCATGCAGAGGAGCTTCAGCCGCGGGAAGAGCCCATTGTCGACCCCATCCAGGCGCCCCTTTCTTTCTCGGGCATCGCGACACAGCATGTTGAACCAGTGTCTGAGCCGCAGCCCTCGCCTCCAGCCTTGACGTTGTCCTCAATCGTCGCAGAGCACATGCATCCGGTTATGGAGCCACCCCCGGTGCCGCCAGCCCTGGCTCTCTCCGCCATATCTGCCGAGTACGTCGAGCCGGTGAGCACCCCGCCGACACTACCAGCCTTGCCTAGCTTTGGCTTTTCTGGCATCGAGTCGGTTGAGACACGTCCCATGTCGCCACGCAGCCCCCGCAGGGACGGCTTTATTCTTCCTCGAGATGAGGCTTGTCACTTCACCGAGACCGGGATGCCAAAGACACCTCCTAGCGCCAAGATGCATAGGGCTACTGGCGGGCGCAGCAACAGGAATGACTCTCCTCTCATTGCCGAAGACGAGACGCGTCAGTCGCCCAGGGAGGTGCCTGAAGTTAGTACCACGCCTGAGTCTCAACGGCCATTTAAGGAAATTTCGAGCAATTCAGCCCTCCGACCCTCGCGAAAGCCGCCTGTTACTACTAGCGATCAGGGTGCTCAAACAGCCTTGACGGCTGGAGCCATAGACAAGCTGCTCGTGGACGGCACACGGGAGGCAAACAGACATGTCAAGCAGGCGTCTGTCGATTCCGTGCCAAGCCCAGATACAACTGGGACAGTCAGGGTATATCGGTCACAGGAAAGCTTCGACAGCGTTGGTCGCGGGAACGCAATCGACGATGTGGCTTTCGAGGCGGTGCCACCATTCAGACCTGGCAGTGCTGCCAGCGGCAAGGGATCGATTCAAGGAGCACCGCCACTGCCATCCAACCACCGACAAGTCATTGATGCTGCGCGTTCAGGCTCCTCGCGCGGCCAACCTGGCGCAATGGGACCACCGCTGTTCCCCGCGTCAGCCATGAAGCAGCGGCCACATACCCCTAGCATGCAAAGGCCACCGTCAGCGACCTCCGGCCGCGGCACCCCGACTCCGCGCGTGATTCATGCCGGCTCTGTCGCAGGACAAGCCGGTCTCCAGTCGCCCACGAGGCTCACAGCACGATCCAGGCAATCCTCTGTATCCTCCTTCGCTTCTGAGCTCGACACGCGATTCAACATGAGACCTGGTGAGATGGGCATGGGCCCGACAGGGTTCAGCCCGAACACGGATCCTCGCATGATCCAAGCCATCACGCAAACCATGATCGGCGAGTTCCTGTGGAAGTACACACGGAAGACTATCCGCGGCGAGATGTCCGAGAACCGGCACAGGCGGTACTTCTGGGTCCATCCGTACACCCGGACGCTGAACTGGAGCGATCGGGACCCGTCCACTGCCGGTCGCACGGAACTCAGGGCCAAGAGCGTTCCTATCGAGGCGGTGAGGGTCGTGACCGACGACAACCCCATGCCCCCTGGCTTGCACCGAAAGAGCCTGATCATTATTTCTCCCGGCCGGACCATCAAGTTCACGTGCACAACGGGCCAGCGACACGAGACGTGGTTCAACGCGCTCTCCTATCTGCTGCTCCGGACCGACCAACAGGATCAGCCCGAGGTCGACGAGGCCGTGGACAACATCACTCGTGAAGATGTCGATGAGTTCAATCCTCAGAGTGGCCAGCGGCGGGCGGTTGGCAACCGCCCTCGCGCGCCTCCTTCGCTCTCTTCGTACAATTCGCGTGGATCGCGCAACGAGTCGCCCGCGCTTGGTGTTTCCATGAACATCCCGACTTTGACTCCGTCGACACAGAGGCAATCAACGACATCAGGGAAGACGTCCACGGGGACTCTAAGCAAATTGAGCGGCTACTGGAAAACTGGCGGCCCTCGCCTGTCCGATACCATCTCCAGTCTGCGTGGCCGAGGTCCTACCAATCAGAACACGGGCATATACGAGGCCAGCGAGGTTCATGACAGCGCGGAGGATCTTCGAGAGATGATTGAGAGGCAGGACAGGGAAGCCCATCGTCTCGAGAACGTCCGAGCCTGCTGTGATGGTAAGTTGACAACTGCGGGCCTTTCAAAAGAAGCGGTTCGACGGGCTGACTTGGGCACAGGCAAACATGATGTCGGAACCTTGCATCATGCATCAAAGAGGGGTCGAGGACATCCCTCCCACTCTCACCCAGCTTCCGCTGCAAGCACGCCGATGGCATCGACTCGTTCTCGTGCGTAACGTAGTTCCGCAATGAAGTGCCAGCCTGGCACCAACCGTTTCATTCCCCACACTCGCTAAAACCTATTTCGCCCCTCGGCTATTGACGACCTGTATAAACTCACGGAAGTTTGACGACGCTTGACGATTCTGCCTCTTCACTGTCCGACAAAACCTTTCCTTGTCGCCCGACGGGCGCTTAATCAATCTACACCGACCGTGTACCATCGCTTGGGATCTTCCCATATCTTCTCCTAGGATCTCCTCATCTTTGTCGTTTGACCCCCAAGCACGAAGCAGTTTGACTCTTACTATTCTCTCGGAGTCCCTTCAGCACCGTCCAGGTTTTCCCTTTTCAGGACGGCAAAACACCCAATACGGCGTTTGGAGGAGACATATTGCTCAGCCGGCGCAACAGAGCGAGACAGACTGTCGATGAATGTACAGAGTGGTTTTCTTGACCGCATATTCAAGTAGCGACGGAGCAGATTGCATTGATGACTGTATGAGCTTTGTTTGAAACGACGTGAGTGATTCTTTGTTACGGGTTAGATGGTGTATCTCCGGCGGACTTGTCGCGAGGACCCAAGCGGCACACTTGTCCTTCTCCAGCCAATTAGCGGAGGACGCCCATTGCCCTGAGCGTACATGCTAGAGATCCGCCGCCGGATTTGTGGGCAATGCGCGATGCGCATGATGCAAGCGAGCGGGCGCGGAATGGCGCATCCTGGGGGCATATTTTACGCATGGTAGGTTATGAGGCTCAGGGGACTCTCTCTCACTGGATGGAGCCCAGAGTCTGGGGCGTTGACAGCTGCAGCCATGTTCTTCGGCGCAGGCAGTCGATTTGTTGGGCCTTGAATGTGCCGCGACGGAGCCCCGCAGCGGGTAAACCCCGCTAGCCGGCACTAGCTGGCCAGCGGCCTCGAAGCTGGAGAGCATGGCTTTGTATGGCTTGCATGCAGTTGCTGGGGACCGCTGCAGCTGTCCAGCCGCTCCGGCGAGCCTCCGCTGGCCCATCACATGACGTATTGCCAGCACGCGGTCCCGCTGCGGCTGCCCCTGCCACTGCCGCCACCGCCGCCTTCGCCGCCGCCGCCGCCTAGGCCCGTGAGTCGCGGCACGCCTGCTGTCCTTTGTGCACTTCGGTGATTGCCCACGTCACGCTGGTCATGCCTTGATTTCCTTCTTGCGCGCGGCCAGTCCCCCAAGACATCGGATGCCTGCTACGGCTTTCCCACCCCAGTGATTTTTGCTTTCTTTCTCCGTTTGGTTGCCTTGCTCATTTCTTTGTCCGCTGTTGCATGCCGCCGCTTCCGCCGGCAGCTTGTTGCCGCTGAGCAGACAGCTTGCCAGGTGGCACCCGCCCGCACGAAACACCGACCGACGACTCGAACACACCGTACGGGCGAGCTTGTTCCGCCCTCGACGATGGGTAGCTGGACGTCGTTGCTGGTTGCGTACCTTCTCGGAGGCGTAACCTTCATCCCGCTCCTCGTCATTGCCGTGCTCGTCCATGGCTACCACACGTTTCCCGTCCGCAATGACCTGAGCACGCGCGACAACGAGGATGGCATCGTCCAGCCCGGCGACGACACCGCGCTCCTCGAGGATGCGAAGGCGGCGGCGTCTGCCGACGAGTCGAAGGCGCGAGCGAAACAAGACCTGGACGTGGCCGCTGGGTACTTTGCCGTATGCCGCGAGTATACGCCGATGGGGATCAATGCGAAGCCCATAGAGCGGTCCACGCCGCTAGGCTCGACGACTGTGGCACCTCCCAGTCCAAGCGTCTATCAGACCATGTACAGGAGCATCTTTGACCGGAAGCCTGTGGCTGGTCCACTGGACAATAATGGCCTGAGCCAAAGACCTAAAAAGGCCGGCAACGTCTTCTACGTGGTGCTGCGGTAGGCATCCTCGCCCGACGGCGCCGTCTTCCTCAACTCGTTGCGCGTTCTAATTCAAGTCTAGGCACGGCCACCTCATGCTCTTCGATGACGAGGAGCAGCTTGAAGTTCGTCATGTCATATCGCTGGCGCATCACGACATAAGCATATACTCTGGCGGCGACACGACCCCGGAGGGGGAGCTGTTCATCAAGCGCAACGCCTTGTGTCTGTCCCGGAAACGAGACAAATCGGAGCAGACGGCGGACGGCCAGGTGTCGAAGCCCTTCTACCTCTTTTCTGAGAATTGCTCCGCCAAGGAAGACTTCTACTTCGCGCTGCTCAAGAACCAGGAGCAAACGTTTGGCTTTGATACGTCGGCGCCAACCCCGAAGCATTTTGATGTCAAGCACATCATCTCGCTGGTCCAGCGGCTCCACTCGTCCGAGGACCATGTCCACTCACGGTGGCTCAACGCGATGCTGGGGAGGATTTTCTTAGCGGTGTACAAGACGCGCGATCTCGAGAACTTCATCCGTGAAAAGATAACGAAGAAGATATCCCGCGTCAAGCGGCCTTCGTTCCTCACGAACATCACCATTCAGAACATCGACACCGGAGAAGCAGCCCCTTACTTCTCGAACCTCAAGCTGAAAGACTTGACCGTTGAAGGAGAGTGTGTTGTGGAGGCAGACGTCAGATACAGCGGCAACTTCAGGATCGAAGTGGCTGCCACGGCCAAGATAGACCTGGGAACCAGGTTCAAGGCTCGAGAGGTGAACCTCGTGCTGGCAGTGGTGTTGCGTCGCGTCGAGGGCCACGTCCTCTTCAAGGTCAAAGCTCCGCCCAGCAACCGAGTGTGGCTCTCCTTTCAGACAATGCCAAAGATGGAAATGGCAATCGAGCCGATTGTGAGCTCCAGGCAGATCACATATACCGTTATTCTTCGCCAGATCGAGAACCGCATCAAGGAGGTTTTCGCCGAGACCTTGGTCCAACCATTCTGGGACGATGTTCCTTTCTTCAAGACGGAGCATAAGACTTGGAGGGGTGGAATATTTGAAGGCGACGACGCTGTTGAATCGTCCACGGTCGCAGAAGTCGCTCCTGAACAGGTCGTGGACGCTGTCCTTACGGATCGTCCTGAAGAGGGTACCGAAACGAGTGACGAGCCACGACCTTTGGAGAAGAGCCATAGTCTTCCGGTTATCGACGCAGCGCCCGAGAAAACTGGTCTCTTCGGCAGGAAGCTGGGCAAGAACACCAACAGCAGCTCTACGTCTGTTGTTTCGACGGGGGTGGATCCCAAAGCATCAAGCTCGACGGTCGCGGACTCGAAGGCAGCAAACGCTAGCCCCTTGCGATCGCCGACTATTGTCAAGAACTCGACTGATCCAATCGTCGGTACCGAGACGGCACATGCAGATCTTTTTAAACCATCCTCCTCGCCTCCAGACCACGCCACGAACTACATGGCCGCGTTGCAGTCACGATCGCAGGATGCCTCGCCGATGGCTACACCCGTCGGATCACCTCCTAAGACTGGACCCTCTGCACTAGCTTCCAATCAGTCTGTTGCATCCTCTACCGAGGACGGCGACGGGGAGCAGAACGCTGAGGCCGACGAAGATCCAGTGCCCTCCGGCCGCCGCAATACCGCTTCTTCCGCTGGATCAATAACCCATGACGCTACGGGATCAAGCTCGCCTACTCCGTCAACCAGCAGCTCCTTCAAGAGTCAGGCTGGCTCGTTGGGACGCAGCTTCTTCATGCGCCGCGAGAACACGAACAACACGAGCAACACGACCTTGACCGAATCATCCAACGGTGACTTGAAACGAAACACCCTGGCTGCTGTCACTAATGCGGCGGCGCAAGCGAGGCAGTGGGGTTGGAACGCACTTCAACGGCGGCAAGAGGCTAAGAGAAATGGTGAGAAGCCTCCGCAGGTCGATCTGAGCCAGCCAATGGGTCGCGGCCAGCCCCTTCCACCGCCTGGCTTTCCCCTCCCTGGGCCAACGAATGGAAGAATGAACTTGGGGCCAACGACGTCCCTCAAGCGCAAACCTGTATCGGAACACGCGGGCACTGAAGCCCCTCATGAAGATAAAGAGTCCGCGCCCCGCTCCATTCAACCGCCTCAGCTGCCGCAGCGGCGAAGACGCGGTGCAAGCCAGGATCAGGTCGAGGAGGCGGACTCTGGACAGAACATGCTTGTTGTCGCTGCCCCAGATGATTCCCAGCCCAGTACGCCAGTCACCGAGGAACAAGTGGACGTCGATGCGGCCTTTGCCGGCCACCAAGCCGCACCTCCAGAGCCAGCGAACGCGCTGCCAGTCGTCACGCAGCCCTCGGCCGTTGAGACTGAATCGGACGTGCCAGACACTACAACTCCCCCGATCAAGGAGTCTGCACCCAGCCCCATCATGGCCCTGCCCGCCGCGTCTGCCATCATCGACGACGATGACGATTACTCAGGCTGGCTGGACGAGGAGTTGGAGGAGGATGTTGTTGAGCCGTTGCCGGCGAGACCTGTAGGCGAAGCTGTGTAGAGGAGAATATGTACATTTGGGGGACGGGTTATATTCATGGCGTTATGAGCGAGCATGGCTTCAGGTACAATGGGCGCGTGGCGTTAACATGGACCAGTGATCAGTCTAGGTGGACGGTCGTCCGCTGCCAGGGCTGTCGCATATACATTCTATTGATGGAATACAACAACTTCACAACATGCGGAACTCTCGCGCTAGCCTTGATGACCAACGTACGCAACAAGCCCGGTTTCCTGTGCATCATCAACGTGCCGCCGACTCCTATCCCACGGGTATAAATGAAATTGCAAACCAGCCGCCCACCAGATAATCCAATACCAACGCCATCTACAACACTTGTCGTCACCATTCTAACTGCTCTCTGCCAGACTCCTCAATGAGCTCACGTATCACAGGCCCCGCTGCGGCCTTGGTAGTCACCATCCTGGTGCGCTGCTTCATGCGCGTCCAGAACACGGGACAGTCCTTGCTGTCGCAGCGCACCTCGTCCAGTGGACTCATTCCCGAGCAGGTGCGGCACACGTCGAGCACCTCGAGGAAGCTGCGCTCGTCGGCGGCGAGGCGCGTCTGCAGGGCGAGCATGGAGGCGGGCGCGTCGTCGCGGCATGCCGGGCACAGGGCGTAGCCCTCCTCTGCGAACTTTGCGTTGCAGACGAGGCAGTGGGTCGAGCGCATGTACGACTCGAGCGTCGACCGCTTGCTCGCCTGGGCCGACGTCGCTTGGTGGACGCGCTGGACCTTGGGCATCTCGTCGTACCACTGCCGCACGTTGGCGCCCACCAGGTTGAAGATGCGCTCCAGCGGCGGGATGAGGTTCTTGGATATGTAGTACTCGGCGTCGAGCTGCCAGTGCGGGTTGACGAGGAGCTCCTCGGGCGCGACGCACCGGTCGATGAGCCGCGACCCCGGTGCGCCCGTGATCACCACGTACGGCACGCGCTCTCCGTACTGCGGCTCTGCCCTGGCGTCCTCGAGCATCTTCTTGGTGCTGATCAACGCGCCTGCCGGTGGTGGCCCCTTGTCCGAGTAAGTTCCCAGGCGGACCTCCTTGGCGAAGCAAAAGTCCTGCACGGAGACGGCTCCGCGCATGATCTTGTCGCATTGGGACTGGAAGTATGACTTGACCTGGCTCAGGTCGGCCGTTTCGAACAGCATCCTGAGTGCCTTCTCCTCGATCTTCTGTTCCGCGGGCGTGCCGTCCCGACGGACAGTCTCGATGCCCTTGGCGTCGAAGTCGGGCTTGGCCTGCCCTTTGCTTTCGTACTTGTACCCCACGTAGCGCTTCTTGGCTAGAAGCACGCAAGGATGGTAGACCTTTTCGAACTTGAGTTTGATCGGCCGCGGGTTCATCTCCGTGACCGCCTTTGCGATCTCGTTGCCAATGTCAAAGGCCTGCTCCCTCGTCCTCCCCTTCAAGTAGACAAAAAGGCTGTCCGTGTCGCCATACACGACTTCTGCACCCCATCGCTCGATGGAATGGATGTATGCAATTGCCCGCTCCAGTGTTTCTCTCCCAGTTTGGACAATACTGTCAGCGATTTCCGAGCAGGGCATTCGCCCAGAGAACGACGCAGACGTATAGCCATAGGTGACATTTGCCAAAAGCTTCAGCGCCAGTTGACGATTGTTCAGCAGCTGCTGCAATGTCTTGTCGTCCTTGTCCTTCTTCATGCCGCTTTTGACCATGACCCTGGTCTCGAGGATCTCTGTCAACATCTTGGCAAGCAGAGACTTGCGAATCTCTGCCTTGACGTACATCATGCCGTTTGGCGCAATGTTGATGCAGTCCTTCAAGAGCAAGAGTAAACCCTTCTGGCGCTCGTACTCTGTGAAGCCCATCTTGCTGGTCCCTCGCCAGTTCTTGATACGGCCGAGAAACGTGGAGTAGCAGTAATTGTACGCAATCATGACGCTGGGGTACAGGCTCTGGAAGTCCAGCACCAAGAGCGGGCTACTGTAGAAAGCACTCTGGGGCTCCATGACTAGAGGCAGGCATTCGAGTGCATTCTGGCCGCCAACCTGCTTTTTGCTCGGCGATACGAAGACGAAGTTTTCTGGCTTGGCGATCCTAGACATGATCGACTCGACTTTGAACTGTGATCCTCGGGAAAACACCGAGAAGAAGTCGACGCCGAGGAGTCTGGCCTGCTCGCTGGTTCGCGCAATGAGCTCGTTGGCTTCAAGGATCTCAATGTCCAGCCGCGCACGATTCTGGTAGTATCGCAACAGTTTTCCGAGCTCCGCCGGTTTATTGCTCCTGTACCACTTCGTGAGCGTTTTCCAGGAATAGTGCGGCACACGGCGGTGGAGCAAATGCCACACCACGTTCTCCATGGTATACTGAAGGAGGTTCAGCTCGCCCTGCATCGCTCGCCAAATGTTGATCATGTGTCGGCCGGTGACACGGATTGTCGACGTTGTGTTAAAGCCCCATCGGTCGTTGTTCTTGCCGAACCTGCCATGAGAATCGGACCTCATGCGAGAGAACTCGTCGCACAGGTCGTAGTCGTACTTGAGTCTCGCGCGTTCGATAAGGTAGCCCCACGAGCTCCCATGCACCTCGAAGCCTGTCAAGACGTCCGGGTCAAATGTCCTCACTATCTCGACCATCCGCACTATCAGATCCAGCTCGCTGTCCTCTGCAGCAACGGACGCATTTGTCACCCGTGTTATCTGTTGCGCGATAGTCCCATCGTGAGAGAGCACCAGCATTCCAGACCGGAGAGCGTTGACTGACTCTTGTGTGTTGTATGTCCTCTCATCAGACTTGCAGGCCCAGAATATGCACTGAATTTCGTCTTGTTCAGGATTCGGAATGAACTTTCCTCGGCTATTGACGTGCACCTCCAGGCTCATGGTGCTCATGTACTGAACCTCGTGTTCAACACTGGTTCTAGCCGCCTTCTGGGTAAACTTGAATCCATGCTTGTTCTTCGGCGTTGGCCCATCAATTTGGGACATCGCTCCCGGCTGCATTACGGCCTTTGGGCGGCGTCTCCTGACTTGCTCTCGACTGTTGTGAGTCTTATCATCGGCCCAATTCGAGACTGCCCGGTACGTAGGTGGTGGCCGATTGTATTCCCAACTACGCCAGCCGCATTGCCACTGTTGTCGCGTGTGTTGTCGCTGAAGGCTGACCATGCCTTGCGCTTCTGCTCTCCCATCCAGTGCGGTAGGGAGCCCACCTTGCAGGTCAAACTGGGGCAGGAAGGGCACGGTGTTGCTGTCAAGGCGATATTCCCTGCCTGCGTATTCCCGAATTCGATCGGGAACATCTTTCTCCTTGCTGTAGTATGCATCCTGATAAATGACGTCCGGCAAGTCGTACTTCGTCATGTCCATGCTGTCGGCGTATGTGGGTGGCAAAGCAGCAAAGGCAAACGTCCGCCGTTGGCACCGACCTCTGGGAACGGAGAAGGCGCTGAGCGTGTCATGGCCCTGGTGTCCGTTCCCTGCAGCACCAGGAGCACTATCTACAAAGGACACTTTCTTCTGTGTCCCTGTCTCCCGACTCAACTGCTTCGGAAGTGGTAGGTTTTCTCGTTTCGCAAAGCCATCGGATTCGGCCCCAGCCTTGGAGTCGGCAGCGCGGTCTGCTTGGAAACCACCAGAAGCCACCGACGGCGTTGTACGGCCAATGCTGGAGTCTCTCCCCAGCCGACGAGTGTCATTTGATCCCTTAGACACGCTCCTTGCAGCAAGGCCTGGCTTGATAGCATTCGGTCTCGTATTCTGAGAAGCGTCCAAGATCGTCGGTTTGAATCGCTTTGAGTTGGGACTGTCCGGCGGTGTCTCGGTCCCTCCGCGCTTGGAGTTTGTTTTGGGGGCGGCGTGTCGTTTGGGCACCCTGCATAAAAATCCATCATCCACGGCGGCATCAAGAAGGTCGTCTGTAACGGGTATCGTCGGGCACTGTCCCGTTTTCAGTACGCTGAAGGCAACGCCCGGTATCTCCCAAAACGGAGGTAGAGTTTCAGCAGTAGATTTCTGTCCTTCCGCTTGGTGTGTTTCCCGTGCATTTTGAGCATCCAAATCTCCCGGTGGGTTCGTTTCGTTCAGTTTCTGCAACATTTCCTCATCCGAATCGTCTGGGAAAACGCTGTCCTCTTCTTCTTGGACTTGCAGCGCCTTCTTCTCGTCGACTTCGATGCTACTCGCGGGATCCAGTACTGATTTGCCGAGGTTGGACGGCAGACCAAGGGCGGGCATCAGCTTGGAAGGATACAGGTCCTCCACAGACTGCAAGATGGTACTGACTTCCGCTTCGGGTTCTGCAGATTTAACGAACGTTTCAAATGACACGGCTGCACCTCCCAGGTCAGCAGCCTCCTGAGAAACCAAATCTCGTATGTCTTGTTGATATTCCTCTTCATGGATCCACCCCTGCGGTTGCGAATCTCGGGGATCCGCGGACATTGAGACCAGGGCTTCCGGGGGGAACGGGCTATTATGCTGCTGGGCCTTCGGCATTTGTCGTTGTCGCCTCTTGGTTTCATCCTTCCACAGGCCAGCCATGCTGTATACGAACTTTAGATCTCTCGGTATCGGGATTGTGCGTTCGACGAAGTCATGATGCAGCTGGCGCTCCTTGACCATCTTTCTGTTGACGATGTCCTGGACGCAAATGTCCACTTCGATTGAGCAGTGGCTCACGCGGGGCAGCGTCGGATCATCCGTGACCGACTCTGCCGGAACCGAAACGCTATGCCAGAGATGTGATGAATTCGAATCCTGATTATGCTGCGGCACCGGAGATCGAAAGGTAACCTTGGACGAATCGAGATAGTCGCACCCGTACAGGTTGTAGTCGACCATGAACTGCAACAGGTACTGCAGATGCGCCTCATACGGCTGAAATTTTCGTTTCATAATCACACCCTGCTGTAGGAGGTCGGCGAGTCGGGTCATTACGATAGGGTTGAACACGTAAATCTTGAGGAAGAGCCTATACCCGACGTGGAAACCGTAGAAAGGGATGCCCTTCACCAACGTGATCCTGGCAACGAACTTGGCGTTATCTCCATATTGGTCACGCCTGTAGCTCACAGCCAGCGCATGGTCGATGGACAAATGAAGGCGATATATGAATGCGCCGACTGATGGTCACGTCAGCCAAGTGCTGACTGCAGTTTTGCAACAGTCAACGAACCTTCTTCAGATGCTAGCCCACCATTGTACTCCACGTATAGGTACGGGAACGCCCCGTGTACGTGTGCGCAAACCTTTTGGCCCGTTTCGGTCGAGCCAAAGATCCGAACAACCGGCACCTTCGGGCCTCGCGAAACCTGCGACGGTCGCACATCGTTGCGCAGCTGTGGGTCATAGCGGCTGGGTGTCGCCTGGTAATGATCGATGCAGTTCAGTCTGACTCGGAACAAGTCCATACTTTCCAGCATGCGACGCCATCAGGGACATTTGGAACGGCGCGTATGCTCCATTTTGTGTCTGAAACTGAGCGTGAAGAGCCGATGCAAGCCAAAGGCGCTTCACGACCAGCCGCTGGATGACGCGCCGGCCCGCTTTGGGCTGTCGCGAGGTCACGTGGCGATAAAGGGTCTCCTTCAGCTGATTAACCACTTCAGGCGCATGCTGCCAGATGCTTGCGACATCACCTTCGGACCTGGCAGTTTTCCACCAACATCCGTCTTGCGCAAGTCCGCTGAGGAGCCGATCACTCGGCGGCAACACGATCCTTCAATCACCCTGTCTCCCAGTCCGTTCATATAGCGTCCAACATTCGTCGTCCAGCCGAGCAGCCACGCTCGCCGCAACCGCCGCCGCGATGCCGCCACCCCCAGCAAAGGCAGAGTCTGGCGCAGCGTCGAAGGAAGAGAACATTTACATCCCCTCTTTCATCAGCAAGCGTCCATTCTACGCTGGAGAGGAGGGCGATGATGCCGATTACCTCAAGCATCAGCGGCGCGAGGAGAAAGCCGAGAAATCGCAATGGTACGATCGCGGGAGGAAGGCTGGGCCGGCGGCAACCAAATATCGGAAAGGCGCCTGCGAAAACTGCGGCTCCATGACTCATAAGGCCAAAGATTGCCTAAGTCGCCCGAGAGCTAAAGGCGCAAAGTGGACAGGCAAGGACATCCAGGCGGATGAGATCGTCCAAGACATCAAGCTGGGCTGGGATGCGAAACGAGATCGCTGGAACGGATACGACACGAAGGAATATCGCAACGTGGTCGAAGAGTTCAATCAAATGGAGGAGCTCCGTAAAGAGGCGAAGCGGGCCGTGGACGGCGACGAGGCTGAAGACGAGGGCGACAAATACGCCGAAGAGAACGACATGAGCAAACACCAGAGCACAGCTACGCGACAGCTCAGAATAAGAGAGGATACCGCGAAATACCTCCTGAATCTCGATCTGGAATCCGCAAAATACGATCCGAAAACGCGATCACTGGTCGACGGCGGCGCAACTGGAGGCAAGTCTGCTGATTTGTTCGCCGAGGAAGGCTTCATGAAGTCGTCTGGTGAGGCAGGGGAGTTCGAAAAGGCGCAAAGGTATGCCTGGGAGGCACAAGAGAAAGCGGGTGATACCTCGCAACATCTGCAAGCGAACCCGACGGCCGGAGCCTTCTATCGAAAGAAGGAGCAGGAGGAGGCGGAGAGGAAGCGAGCAGAGCGTGAGAGGCAACTTCTCGAGAAGTACGGTGGCGGCGACCAGAAGCAAATGCCAGCCTCACTGCGCAACATGATGATCTCAGAATCAGAGACATTCGTCGAATACGACGAGGCGGGTCTGATCAAGGGCGCCCCCCGAAAGGCAGCAAAGTCAAAGTACGCGGAGGACGTAATGGTGAACAATCACAAGTCCATATGGGGCAGCTGGTGGTTCAACTTCAAGTGGGGATACGCGTGCTGTCACTCGTTCGTCAAGAACAGCTACTGCACTGGAGAGGAAGGCAAGGAAGCTTGGGAGGCTGCAGAACGACAGAGGACGGGAGTGAACTTGATTGAAGATGGGTCAGCTCCCTCGGAACCGCCGCAAGAGGAAGAGGCGCCCCGGAAAGAAGCTGAGGAAACGAGCACCAAGAAGCGCACTCGCGAAGAGATGCTGAACGGGGTGACGGAGGAAGAGATGGAGGAATACCGGCGGAAGAGGACTGTTGCAAACGATCCGATGGCAAAACTGCTCGGAAAGGACGAGCTGCTGCATTGAGTAGAGGCCACGGAAGAGAAAATAACACAGAGGAGCCAGCTCCAACATCCATCAACGCGCTTGACTCTGCGACACCGTCGCGACGTAAGATGTCACGAAGAATGAGTACCTGGTTAGGTGCACATTGTCTCCGGCTCATTAATCGTCCAGGGTTAAGTCTTAAGTCTTCGCTTTCCTTTCCTCTAACACGTTCCCTGAAATCCAGTTCCAGTACTCCAATTTTCTACTCCTGCGTTGCACCGACCTAGAGGCGGAAGAACCGCCATTCGCCGTACTTCTTCTGATGGCCATGGCCCGGTGTCCTGGCCTGTGTGAGGCTTATTCTGGCGCCCAATGCATCGCGAATATATAGCATGGTGATAGCACATTACCGCTGCTCCTCTTCGTTTCTTGTCTGTTGTGGCGCCAGTCAATTAGCAGGTCACTCTAAAGACGTTGTTGTCGACGGTTGCATGAGGCTAATCATGCTCGGTTTGTCGAGACAGCCGCCCAGATTTACATACGAGAGCAGGGCCAGTTAGTCGTGGCACTCATCGAGCGATGCACACATGAGTCTCAGAGTAATGTTGAAGTAGGACGGAATTCAACGCACGTGGGGTTGACCGTGAAATCATTCCATTTTTAACCACTGGCCAACGCCGCAAGCTATGACTAGAGATCCCTTCCCGTAGGTGGTAGCCCGGAACCACTTGCCCCAGTTACATGGGAAAACCATCGTGACATAGCCGATGAGTTTACTCGTCATCCTCCTCCTCCTCACCCTCGCCAGCACCCTCAGCGGCCTTGGCCTTCTTTCTGCGGACACGGCCGGGGCGGCCGCTGCCGAAGGGCGAGTTGAGAGCGAAGTCGATGTGCTTCTGGGAGTCGAGGCGGACGATGAAAGAGGGAACGTTGACGATCTGCTTGCCGACACGGATGTGGCGCTGGCGGATCAGGACGCGAGCGTGGTGGATCGACTTGGCCAGGCCAAGCTTGTAGACGCAGGTCTGCAGGCGACGCTCCAGGAAATCCTCGATCTTGAGGGCCAGGACGTAATCGAGCTTCATGCGGGACTCGTCGAGGACGCCGACGCGGACGAGACGGCGAATCAGGGCATTGCCCTCGAAGAGGCGCTTGGGGTCCTTCTCGTCGAGGGTGAGAAGCTGACTGTTGGGCTAGTTAGCCATCCATCCCTTCGTCGAGCAAAATACTTTCGGCGAGCTTACCGGGCAGCACGACGGATCTTGGACAGAGTCAGACCGACTCGCCAGACCTCACGCTTGTTGCGCAGGCCATACTCGCCAACGAGCTTCAGCTCGGAGTCACTGTTCCGTATATGTCAGTTTCGGCTCACAATCGACTTAAACAGAGTCAAGCTCATGTTCATTGGCCGGTGATACTGACAGTCGGGCAGCCTCGAAGGGTCTGCGGGGGACACGGGAGGTCTTCGAATACGCGCGGGGAGGCATCCTGAATGATGTTAATGCTTGCGCTTCGTTTGAGGTTGGCGATGCTGGCACTCACTTGACTTGCTCCTGTGGTGTTGGCGGGAGTTGGACGGTGGCACGCAAGTCCAGAAAATGTTCGAGGTTGTGGGGGGGAATTTTCGAGGTTCGACATCACGTGCGACGGGCAAGTCGAACCCTAAGAGCAGTTGCCGGCTCCACCTGTGGGCAAACCCACCACCCACCAACGCACGCGCTTGCCCTAGCCGCCATGCAGGCGAGGAAAAAAAGTTAGATTACCTAAGCTGCCCTTCCCACAAGCCGGCGCAAAATCACCACATCCACATTGAAGGCTTCACCATCCACATCCGACAACCCACGATCACGAACCCGCTGCTCGGCAAATAAGACGCGATGGGTCACTCCTACGGAAAGAGAGCGGGCACCCGCGTACGTTCAACGATCCAGATGTCGACCACGCCGTATCGCTGACTCCGAACAGTATGCCTTCAGCAGGAACTTCCGCCAGAAGGGCATGATCGCCCTGAACACGTACCTGAAGCAGTACCGGTTCGTAACCGCGAAAATCGACTATCAATATTTCAAATCAGCTAACTTGGAGGTAGTGTTGGCGACATTGTTGACATCAAGGTCAACGGTGCGGTTCAGAAGGGGTAAGGGAATCCGACGATACCGAATGTCTTGCGCGGCAGCACGAGAAGCCGCGCAGGGCCGACGAGGCGCAGAATGAGGCTGACAATTGAGTAGCATGCCCTACAAGGTCTACCACGGCAAGACCGGTGTCATCTACAACGTCACCAAGTCTGCTGTTGGTGTCATCATCTACAAGAAGGTCTGGCACCGGTACATCGAGAAGCGAATCAGCGTCCGAATCGAGCACATCCAGCCCTCCCGATCTCGCGAGGACTTCCTCAAGCGCGTCAAGACGAACGCCGAGGCCAAGAAGAAGGCCCGCGCCGAGGGCGTCACCGTCCAGGTCAAGCGCCTGCCTGCTCAGCCCCGCGAGGCCCGAACCGTTTCCCTGACCGACAGCCCCCCGGAGACCGTCACCCCTCTGCCTTACGAGACTACGATTTAAACGGGGTCCATTGGCGGGATGCGGCGGCTTGTTCATTTTTTTACTTGTGGTGGTGTCTCAGGATGGGAAAGAATTCAGCATGGCAAGGTCTGCATTTTGATGTCCATAGGGAATGAGACTAAAAGTGACATCCGCAAGTCAAAATAACTTGTGCCAGCCACACTGGAAGGTGAATCTACGATCTGAGCGTGTCTCTCATCACCGCTTCCCAGGCATCGATTTCTTGTTACAGCGTCACCATCGTCTGATATGCCGGTCTGGTTTTCTGGTGCAATGTGGTTCGGACCCCGTCACGCTCAAGAGCTGTGTTGGGGCGCGCATGGTCTACTGCCTGCATTCTCCCAGGCTGGCTCATGGAGAAGTTGAGATGCCGAACAGCAAACCCCCAACACTCCTTCCAAATTGCCCTGTTCAGGCAGCACAGCGCAGGATAGCTTATGGAATTGGCTCGACACTTTGCAGGACGTTTGCCCATGACACCCTGCTGGTCCCGTCACGCAACATCAAACTGTCATCGCTGTGCTGAAGACGCGAACACGGCTCTTGTTCGGGGCGGGGTTCTCCTCCCAGTATGACTCTTGGCTGGCTCTGCGCTCTCTCGACGACACCCCGCCTTATTACAAGAGCGCCTCAACACATTAGGCGAGCCGCCACGAGGACACCGCTGACGGTGGACTACAGTCACGGTACACCAGTTGGAGCCAATGGCATTTATGTTTTGAGCGCGTTGCTCCTAATTGTTCAGAGTCCCAGCGGCATAGGCTCACCGTAGCCGTTGCGTACCTAGTAGCAACCTCGGTATCTTGGCGTGATGAGCTCACTGTGTCATTGCATCGATTGACCAGCTTTTACTCACATCGCCCGCTTCAGACATCGAAGGGGTGACTCGCCGACCATGTCGAGATTGCGATGCACACTTGCCTTGTACCCGGCCGAGTCTAGCTCTATCAAGCGGGCTGGCTCCTGTCCTTTATTACAAGGTCGCCCATGGCTTTCAATTAGCTGGGGCGCACATACCCAGTAGATACCAAGTAAAAATGGTGGCTCAATGTGCAATGGACGCAGTTCCTTTGTGTACTGCGACTGCCCGTTCACTGGTGCTGACAAGGTACGTGTTAAGGTGATCAAGCGGCGAAATCCCCCAAAACCCAGACTGCGCTCTTAGTCGCAAAAGTCAGGGCTGAGACTGCAGACTGTCACAGGAACCATACTACCAGCACTGGCGCACTCGATACCAAAAAAGACAAAGGCCAATTTCACACACGCCGAATTACGGAAGAAGATAGATTTTAAGAGAGAACAGTTCTCACCGCCAAGCCATGGATGCGAAACCCGTGCAACAGAGACGCGCGTAGGGTAGTACTGGGTGGTTGCAGCATTGGCATCAGGCACCGGAGCGGAGCGGATTATCCACGATGCCGGAATCGTCGGCGGGACCCACCCAGTGATGTATGCGCAATGCACGCCACTAACAAGCTGGGGAACGTATCGCTGCAGCCCAGCGACAACAACGGTGCCACACCAGGCTGACGACACCATCCACGACTCCTCTACTTGGCGTGGCGGAGGCAAACACTCCCTCGCAAAAGAAGCTTGCGACACTTATTTGAGCGCCTGGTCTTGAGCTCTATACATATTGGAGAATCTGCGCCTCGTGGAGTGTGTGCTCCAGGCAATCTAACCACGCACTCCACCCCTGACTTGAGCTCGAGCTATCGTCCGGCGTCGCCGCACCTCGCCCACGATGACTTCTCTACGCACCACGGAGCATACCAAGTTTGTCGCCTCCCCGAATCTGACCGCTCTCAGACATTCGAGATGCACGGGTATTAGATTGCTTGCTAACAGATCGACGTGGATAGGACGGACCAGGAGCTGGCCATCAGCATCAAGAAGGCCACGAACAGCGACGAGATATCACCGAAACGCAAACATGTCCGCGCTTGCATCGTTTATACCTGGGACCACAGGTCCGCCCAGGCGTTCTGGTCAGGCATCAAAGTGTATGTCCACGGTTCTCGCGGCACATCGTCCGGTACACTCACCCGAAGCAAACAGGCAACCAATTCTTGCCGACGAGGTCCAAACGTTCAAGGCCCTGATCACGATTCACAAGGTCCTCCAGGAGGGCCACCCGTCGGCAATCAAAGACGCAATGGCCAACCGTAGCTGGATTGACGGCTTGAACCGTGGGATGACCGGCGAAGGCATCCGTGGCTACGGCCCGCTCATCCGGGAATACGTCTACTACCTTCTCGCCAAGCTCTCATTCCACCAGCAGCACCCGGAATTTAACGGGACGTTTGAATACGAGGAATACTTGAGCCTTAAGGCCATCAACGACCCGAACGAAGGCTACGAGACTATAACCGACCTCATGGTCCTGCAAGACAAGATTGAACAGTTCCAGAAATTGATCTTCTCCCACTTTCGAAATGTCGGAAACAACGAATGCCGGATCTCTGCCTTGGTACCCCTGGTCCAAGAAAGCTATGGCATCTACAAGTTCATTACGAGCATGCTCAGGGCAATGCATTCAAGTATGTGGTGGTCCTCTGCCGCTTGACACACTAGCTAACGTGAGCCGCAGTTACCGGAGATGACGAAGCTCTGCAGCCTCTGCGACAGCGATATGACGCCCAGCACTACCGTCTCGTCAAATTCTACTACGAGTGCTCAAACCTGCGGTACCTGACCAGCCTCATCACGATTCCCAAGCTGCCTCAAGATCCTCCCAATCTGCTGGCCGAAGACGACGAAGCCCCTGCCCTGCCTGCACGACCAAAGCAGGAGATCGAGCGTCAGCCAACCCCTCCGGTTGAGCCGAAGTCAGAGGAGCCCGATGAGATATCGGAATTCTGGAAGAGCGAGCTTGACCGTCAGAATCGAGAGTACGAGGAGCAGCAGAGGGTGCTTGAGGAGCGACAGCAGGCAGCACTGCTTGCTCAGCAGCGAGCTCAGCAGGATGCTCAGCGGGAATTCGAAGAGCAGCAGCGACGGCTTGCAGAGCAGCAGCAGCGCGACCAGGAGGCTCTTCTCGCCCAGCAAGCACAGTGGCAGACCCAAGGCCGGCTGGCAGAACTGGAGCGAGAGAACCTGAACGCCCGGGCGCAGTACGAGAACGACCAGCTGATGCTGCAGCAGTACGACCATCGTGTCAAGGCGCTGGAGGGAGAGTTGGCCCAGATTCAGAACAGCTTCGGACAGCAAATCACCAGCAAGGACGACCAGATCCGGGCCTTGCAAGAACAAGTGAACACTTGGCGGACCAAGTATGAATCCTTGGCCAAGCTTTATTCTCAGTTGCGCCACGAGCACCTCGACTTGCTGCAAAAGTTCAAGTCCGTCCAGCTGAAGGCCGCGAGCGCCCAGGAGGCCATCGACAAGAGGGAAAAACTGGAGCGAGAAATCAAGACCAAGAACCTGGAGCTTGCAGACATGATCCGCGAGAGAGACCGCGCGCTACACGACAAAGACAGGCTCAATGGAAGCAACAAGGATGAAGTGGAGAGGCTCAAGCGCGAGCTTCGAATGGCACAGGACAAGGCCGACAACCTGGAACGCAGCAAGGGAAACGAACTGTCCACGATGCTGGCCAAGTACAACCGCGAGATGAGCGATCTCGAGGAGGCGCTTCGAAACAAGTCGAGAGCTTTGGACGATGCACACTCCAAGCTCAGGGATGGCAGCTCCGACCTGGAACAGCTACTACGTGAAAAGGAGGAGGAGCTGGAGGTGTACAAGGCGGGCATGGATCAGACGCTGATCGAGCTCAATGATCTCAAGCAGAACCAGGGAGAGACAGACCACGCACTGGACGGCCAGATCGATGCTCTCATTCTGTCGAACCTCGACAAGATCAACGACATCATCGACTCAGTACTCCAGGCTGGCGTGTCCAGAGTCGACGATGCTCTCTACGAACTTGACTCGTCGATGCAAGCCGGAAACCAGAACGCCTCGCCCTCTTATGTCCTATCGCAAATCGAGAAGGCGTCGGCGAGCGCCATGGAGTTTGCTACGTCCTTCAACAATTTCATCGCCGACGGACCAAACAGCACCCACGCCGACGTCATCAAAGCCATCAACGTCTTTGCCGGCGCCATTGCGGACGTGTGCAGCAACACCAAAGGCTTGACCCGGCTCGCAACTGATGACAAGAAGACCGACTCCCTCATGAACGGAGCGCGTCTGTCTGCCCAATCTACTGTGCAGTTCTTCCGTGGACTCCAAAGCTTCCGCTTGGAGGGCATGGACCCGTTGCAGAAGACCGACGTTGTCATCAACAGCAACAATGATGTCCAAATGAACCTCCAGAAGCTCAACAAGCTGGCCGAGAGCTTCGCCCCTGGGTTTGGCAAGCTGGCTAACAACAAGGGAGATTTGGGAGACCTTGTCGATTCAGAACTGAGCAAAGCGGCTGATGCCATTGCGGCCGCCGCCGCACGGCTGGCAAAGCTCAAGAACAAGCCGCGAGATGGATACTCGACGTACGAAGTCAAGGTTCACGATTCTATCCTCGACGCGGCGACGGCTATCACCAACGCGATCGCAGAGCTCATCAAGGCAGCGACACTTACGCAGCAAGAGATTGTGCAGGCAGGCCGCGGGTCTTCCTCGCGAACAGCTTTCTACAAGAAGAACAACCGGTGGACCGAAGGCTTGATCTCGGCTGCCAAGGCAGTCGCATCATCCACGAACACCCTTATCGAGACGGCGGACGGGGTCTTGTCGAACCGCAACAGCCCGGAGCAGCTCATCGTCGCCTCCAACGATGTGGCGGCATCTACGGCACAGCTCGTGGCGGCGAGCAGGGTCAAGGCTGGCTTCATGTCCAAGAGCCAGGACAGACTGGAGCAGGCAAGCAAAGCGGTAGGCGCAGCGTGCAGGGCCTTGGTACGCCAAGTTCAGAGCATGATCAAGGAGCGCAGCCAGGACGAGGAGCAGGTCGATTACGCGAAGCTTGGCGCCCACGAGTTCAAGGTGCGCGAGATGGAACAACAGGTAAGCAAGTCTCTATATTCACACCCTTGGTTTGTTTGGTTCGCACTTCACTCTGGACGTCGTGCCTCGAGGATTGGGGTCTTGGAATTGGGCCCCGCCTTTCAGGGACGTCCCGCGACCCGTTGCCTAGCCGTTTTTCTACCCCCACGCGCACTTGCCTTCAATGCAGTCAAGAATAGGGTAGCGGGACGGCGTGCATGCAACGCACCTGGGGGTTGTCAGGCTCGGGATCATCGGAGGCTGCGATACTGGCGTGCGGTGGCACGCAGTTGGCGCAGCTACCTAGATGTCTGCAGATTCACGCGTGGCGGACGCGTGGTGGCACATGGGTGGCCGTCTCGTTCCTCTCCTCGAACCACCTTCTCGTGTGGTGTGCCATGCACCATTGGAGTTGCTGGAATGCGTACACACATTGTGTCGCCGGCGATCATGGGGCTTTGCTTTCTCGAGCAGCATTCATTCATGCATGGTAGTGCTTCCGCTAACCAATCTGGTCGCACGCAGGTCGAGATACTCCAGTTGGAGAATGCGCTAGCGTCAGCGCGACATCGTCTGGGCGAGATGCGCAAGATATCCTATCAAGAGGAGTAGCGAGTGAGCCAGACTTGCCAACGCCGCGTCTTGGGCAGATAGACGAAGCGCCTGTTTCGGGCGTCGCGCTGGCTGCGCCTAACAGCAGTGTTGGCCATGTCCTGTGCACCCTGCGGCCCCTGGAGGCTCCAAAGATTGGCGCTGTTGCCACCCAGACGCCCGTGCAGCATTGGAGCCGGGTAAACTGCCGGGGGGTTTGGTGGTCTCTGCTCTCGCCCCTGGATACATACTCCCGGTTCTCGCCCACAGGAGATGATTTCCACGTGGTGGTTGTCGTACAGTACAGGATTTGGCCTTCTGAGTTAGCAAGCGACGGCATAGGTGCCAGATTTGGCAGGGCGCGCCGCAAGCAGGGGTCCGCGACTCTGAGTGTTCAGGAAGAGGGCAGAATCACAATGGAGATTGTGGATGACGGAGAGAGCATGAATAATGCGTAAGCATGCGAGTGACTTTTCTTTCTCTGAATGGCAGCAGGCCGCGGTGTGAGCCCTCGCTGGCTTTGCATTCAAGTGGTGTACTGTAGTGTACTGTACTGTAGTGTACTTTGAACTACGGAGAGACATACATGGCGATGCCCGGGACTCATTCCTCTTTGATGCATCCGTGCCCGGGCCGACGAAGCGCAGCCCGGCCCAAGACATGCAGGCCGGGCCGGGAGATCGTCTCGGGACTTCCGCGACGGTGAGTCCCGGTCTGCGCTCGGCGACGAACCGCCCCCCACCCATGCTCGGCGGGCACGAGCGCAACGGTGACGGCGTAGATCGATGTAACGCTGCGATCGCTTAGGCAGTGCCAGGGACGGGGCTGCCCGGGGGCATGCTGGATTTGGAAGCACAGGAGAATCTGCCTCGGCTATACATTCTTACCGACCTATGCGCAGGGCACAGTACGGCTCCCGCGTGACAATAGCTACTGGGTCAGTTTCGGCGGTCAAGGCTAAGCCTCGTGCATTCATGCGGCGATACGTGGGCTCTTCGCGCGACAACTTGGAGTTGGCATGCCATTTGCGGGACGATGGGACGATGGGACATCGTCAGCGGCTCCCGAGGCCTGCCTCTGACGACCCTGTCTACTGCACGGCTTCACCATGGTGCGCCGGCTTACTGGCAGTCTTGGATCAGGACCCCACGCGCGGGGTGAAACTCGAACCAACGGCATACGTAGCTACGGTCGGGGCACGGAACTGTTCGTCACTGGACGTGGGGTGGGCAACGGTCGAGGCCCTCGTGCGCTTCCGAGATCTTCGATTGGACATGGGATCGTCCCTTGCTGCTCATTTTCGTGGGGGTGCACGCTCTATTCGGTGCTTCGTCTCGTGCTTCGATTGATTTGCGTCCCCTCTCCTGCCGCTCTCCGGCCGGTGGGCGCGCGCGTCTTTCTCTCTCTCTCGTTCTCCTCTCTCGCACGCGTGCGCGCCCTCTCTCACTCTCACCTTTCTACTGTACCGTGGTGGATATGGACAGTGGCCGCTGCCCAACTGCCGTGCGTGCACACTTGCGGTGACGCGCCGGGCCCATGACAAATAGGGCATGGCCCGTCACATGAACGTCGACGCCTGCAAAAGGAAGTTCCCGGGCGTACTCTGTAGATGGGTGGAACGCCCGGCTGCACTCCCTCCCAGCAGATCTCCTGTTCTGGACCGTGGTCCGCTGCGTGGCAGGGCTTGGGGCATGGCGGATGGGCGATCCAAAGATAAAGGGCGATACACGCCAGCACGTGTCGAGGGCCGCTCGAGGTGGTTGCGGACTGCCGGGCGAGGGAGGTCACAAGCCCGATGAGTTGGGGGTGCCCCAGGGCCTCATCGCTGCTCGGGGCGGGCGTCCGGCACTCGCTGCGCCATCATCGCACCAGCCACGCACAGTTTGGGCTTAGCAGCGTCGAGTGGCGCACGCAGAGAGAGCTTGACAGGCGCCGGCTGATTGGCCTGTTGGCTGAGCGTGAAACCGGTGTGCGGTGGGTCCCCTGGGCGCGCCTGGCCGGCCTGTGTCTGCCGGTGGGCAGCGCCGCCAGCGCCCCCGCACGCCGCCTCTCAGCGCCTGATGGTGGTGCTCCAGGGTCGCTGTGGCGATAGACGGGCCTCACCAAGTGAACGGCAGATGCGCCGCCATCCGCCACCCACACGTGGCAGGCGGATGGATGGGATAATAATGGTGGCACTCAATCCACCAGGCCGGGTCAAGCGGCGGCTCAGCCGCCCGCTGTCACTGAGACGAAACTCTGCTTCATTCCAGAAGCACACGACCGAGCACAATAGAAGGCAAGGCGGGCTGTCGCGTCTTAGACTTTTGTGCCGATGCAGATGGCCGCCACGAACGGGGCCGCGTGGGAGTGGGAGAGAATCACGCATGAGTGCCACTGCGCGAGCCGGTGTGCAGCGCGCCGCAGCGCATTGGAGGGGTCATCAGGGGAGGAGGGGTATCTAGAAGCACCTACCACTGGCGCTCTGTGGGAGGGCAGGGCATGATGCGCTTCGCAGATGCGGCGTCCGCCCAGGCGCTTGGGGTGACAGATGAGTTTGGATCAAGGGCCGGCGCCTGCCAACCGGGTAGCGTCCGCGGGCCAGAGGCTGGCTCCGCCTCGAACCACGACACAGGCCACTGGGCGGTGTTGGCGGCGACGGGCCTTCCAGCCAAGGACGCGCCGAGAGAGAGAGCGCAGGCTGCGCAGCCCCATCTGCCGTTGGCTCTGTCGCGGCTAGGCCTGTTGGTTCTGTTGGTCGTCGTCGTCGTCCCTTTGCGGGCTTCCCCCACCCCTGCGCAGCTGCACGTGCAAATGGCCCTCATCTTGAGCGACAGTCTGTAGCGAGGGCTGTATTTGCAGAATCTGGGACGCCGGCGGCTCACAATTGCGAAATCAGATATGGGAAACGACATTCCACGTCCAGAACCACAACGACCGCCGCCACTGTCACCATCCCCCACCGCCCACCACCACCTACAACAATCCCACATGGCAGCCGCGTGCTTTCTGCCAGGCACCGTCTCGCCCCCCCACCAAAAGAAACCATTTGGAGCAGGTTGGCACTTACCCTGGAGGGGCACTGGAGGGGGGTGTGTCGGTAAGGCAGGCGATTCGGTGGAGATCATGCACGTTCCCGCGGCTAGTCCGAACCGGGACAAGGGCGAATTTTCTGGCAGCGCCCCAGCACAGCTCGGGGCGTGCACCTCGAAAATGGCCAATTTGTATGGGCGTTGGTGGGTGTGGGCGAGAAGCCCAGGAGTTTCGCCCGTGCGACTGGGCAAACGCCTCTCTGGCGACGGTGGCTGCCTCAGCGGCCCCCTCCCCCCACCGGACGTCCAGGGCGGGCGGGTCGGATGACGCGAGCGAGGCACCCCGACTCACAGGACTTGGCTGTTCCTGCTCGGCCTTAAGAAAGGGGGGGGGTGGACGCGCGACCTGTGAATGTGCGAGCCTACGAGGAGGGTCCCGGAGAGTGCCAGGCCACAGGCTGAGCGAGGCACCATCCAAGGCTGGATGTGGATGGCCACAGCAGACGACAGCCGGTAAGGCCAGAGGCGGCGGCGGAGTGGCGGGCCGCTGAGATCAAGTGCCCGAATAGCACGTGGCAAAGAGCTGAGGCTGGCGTTAAGCGCAAACTGGAGAGCGAATCCAGGCGTTGATGTGCTTCCTACAGGTCGGCGTTTACGGCACAACCTCGACCGCAAGGGCATTGAGGGCAAACCGCCACGGGGAATCCAACTTGCGCTGATGGGGGAAGGTCGCAACGCCGGCCTGCAGATTGGTCCTTCCAGAACGACTCCCGAATGCAACCTCCCTGCGCCGCATTGTGTTCTTTTCTTGACCGCTGTCGCCCCATGCTTCTACTAGGTGCTGCACCCGGAGCGCAGGGCGAGACAGCCTGGTCCTGCAAGTACCTTTGCCTTTCCCATCTCGTGCCTTGCCTTACATGATGCGGCGCCACTGGGAGGACGGGTCGTTGGGTGGCTGCCCGGCTCATACCTTCTCACCGTCCCATTACTCGTCGGCTGCGAGCGCTACGGCTGCTGTCCCTCGTCGCGGGGTGGGGTTGAGCCCACTGCGCGAGCGAACCAACCGCGCCGCCCGCCGTTCTGGTTCACGGGAGAGATGGATGGAAGCCTTGGCGATCGGTAGACGTGAAACACGATCCTCCAGGCAGAAACGTGCAGTACTGCCCAGCCAGCAGATGCAGCACGAGGCAAAAAAACGGCAAAAAATGAGGGGACACAGATGCGTCCGCGCCAAGCGGCAGAACGCTTCGACCGGGACCGACGAGGCTACGACCTGTCCGGGCCTCGCATGTACGAGCACCGTACCGTAAATAAGCGTGTGCCTACGAATATGGCTTGCCAGAACTGATTGGGCATTGGACTCTTTGGGCGATGCGGCGACGGCGCCGTGCGTGGTCTCGAAGAAGTAATGGCTCATCGCCAATCACCATGGGCAACCAGCCCGCACCGTGCTTCGACCCAATTGGGTGGTGCTGCGGCTTCTGCCGTGCCCGACGAGCCGTACTGCCTGTATGTAACTCCAAAAACCATCTAGGGAAGCCGTGTGGCTCGGGGTTTTGGGAGCCTCGGGGTTTTGGGCGCCTGTCGCCCCCCCCTTCTCTCTGCGCCAGGCTGAACTGAACCCCGCGAGATGATGCCAATGCGGGATGTGTAGATCCGATGGGCCGCCCTCATTTGTTCGGGTCGTCGCTGCATCGAACCTGGGGGTCCCAGCCAACATGACGCTTTACGCCCCTCCCTCCCTCGCCGCCCAGGATGGGACGCAAACTCGCCGCTAGCTAGCAAACGGGCCAGCCCTGGTCGCCAGGGTCTGATGGCCGCTGCTGTGTCCCACCCCTCCCCCGTCCTCCTTTCGCTGCGGTTGGCTTTCCCCGCGAGTCTGGTCTGGTGGCGCCTGCGCTCATTGGACGGCGGCACTTGGGCGTGTCTCGCGCGGGGAGGGGGGGACCCCCGACTTTGTGTCTTGTCTGCAGCCATGCTTGCCTGCGCGTCGATGTTTGCTGCGAAAGCGACATGTTTTGCAAACATTGACGACCGCAGCGGCGGCGGCGGCGCCCTATAGGCGTCGGAATCTTCAGCTCGGGTCGGGTACGAGTCGGTTGCTTGTCCCAGGAAAAAACTGGAGGGGGGAGGCTGGCCAGGAGGACTCGCGGGCCAAGTTGCTGCTACTGTGCGCCGTGGCCGGCGAGATACAGTATCCATCTCGTCTCTTTCCATGTTGTCGCGACATCTCGCCGCGCGGCGACGGGCCACAGGATGCAGAGGTGACATTCAAGTGCCTGCCCTCCCGTATTGCATTCCAATTACTCCCTTGCCGCGGCAACAGCCGTGCGCGCGGTGAGTGAGCTCCGTCTGTACGTGGCGGCCCTGCAGCTGCTGCTCCCGGCTGCGCGGTGCTCCCTGTACTGTCCCTCGTAGACCGAGCAGGCACAATGGCTTTTGCGCTGTCAATGACCGCGATGCGCTGCGCTGCGCTGACTGACTCTACGCCATACGGAGTCCCTCCTTTTGCTGCTTAATGTGCGACGCGCTGCGCTGACTTTGTACCATGCTCCTGTCCGCTGGGCGTTGGGTCATTGGGCTGCTCTGCCCAGGTGTGTCCCCCCACGCTGGCGCGGTAGCCGCAGCGCAACACAAACTACGGTACGTCGGTTGGGCACAGCCGTCTACCCGGGACGGGACCCGTGCCGGCAGCAGCAGCACAGCGGACCGAGACATGAACCCTGCCTGACTGCAATGTCTCGGCAACGAGAACCACGGCGTCCCATGGAACCGGGAGGCTACATTCACGTTCCCAAGATTCCGTACCCAAGTCACGGCGCCGAGTCTGGGGGCCGGCGACAAGGGCTCCCTGGCTAAATTGACCCGTACGTCCGGGTGCAGCGGGTTGAGCAGGCTAACAACGAGCGCGCGCCACGTTTACCTGCCATAATTACCTGCCGTCCAAGTGTGCTAAATTCAGCCTGCGCGGATTGTCACAGCTAGCGTCCGGACGCCATTTCGATGCCACCAAGTGCAATGAGGTAACTGACCTGCGGGTCCAGCGCGTCTGGGGAACTCGGGTTGGTGCGGTAGCGCCTTCAAGCCATGCCAAGACGCTATGGATGGGGCTGCTGGTGCTGTCGCTGATGCTGCCTCGCCTTAGCGGCCGTTTTCCCGTGCAGAGCACCCGCAAGGCCAGGTAGGTACGACGCCAAACCCCACGCGCAAACTCTCGTCCTGGCGCGCGCCGGCATTTCCAAACCATACCTAGTACTATACCATGCCATACCATACCAAGGGCACGGCATGGCATGTACAACCCGGCGCGAGCCTGCTAAGTCTTCCAGAACGCAGCCCTGGTGTCTCCAGCCATGGCCCAATTGGTGTCCTGGACTGACATGCCCTTGCTATCGGCGTCCCGACACGTCGGGACTCGGCACCGCCTGGGGGGAGAGAGAGACCACGATGGGCGATGACACATTCGCCATGCGACATTGCCGCATGCGCATCTTGGGGGCGCTGCTGTTGTCCGTGGTGATTGTATTGTAGCAGCATCACAAATTCACAATCCCATCAGCGAGCAACACCCGCTGGCGCGCGGGCCGACTCCACCAAACAACCTTCACGCATCTACACATACGCAGCCCGCCCGGCCGGGGAACCACCTGAAGCCCGAAAGCTCCGGGGTGGGCTCGCACAAAAAGACAAATACTTGCATCGTCCAGGGGAGGGGTGTTAAATTACCCGCGCGCAGGATGGGTGAACCCCTTTGCGTCCCGCGCCCGTCTGCCGAGGCCAGCGGTGAACTGTGCGCGCCCCGTGTGTGTGCGTGCCATGGGGGAAACCCGCCCCCCGCGCGCGAGAGGAGCAAGGGCTCTCGCACGCCCTTCTCGTTGCATGCCTTACCTAACGCCCTGCGAGCACGTCGCTGCGAGTTGCAGTTCGGACACCTACCTACGTTACTACGTTACCAGCCTGCGAAGGACGTGCGCGGCGTTCTCCGAGTGCGTGGCGCCTGCTGGCTAATTATAGGGCTGAGAGGAGCTGAGGCCAGCCCAGCCGGCGGGCGGCCGCCCTCAATCACATCTTGCACTCTACAGGCAAGGCCGTACTGTGCTGTACTGCAACGTACTGTACTGTCCTGTACTGTGCGTACATGCGTGTGTGCACGCGTGCATGCATTGGGAACCCTTTGGTGTGGGGGTGGCCCAGTTGCGAGCCTCACGAAGTTTGCTGCCCGCCAACTGTCGCACCCGTGGTCTGGTTCGGCAGCACGGCCTGTGGCGGGCGTCACGGCGGCTGCCACACCCGTCGCCCCGTGTGCGTCTCGCACGTCCAAGGGCCATCTGTGACGGTGTCCTCCCCCCCCTTTTGTGTTTTGCGGCCCATGGGCCACGTGCCGCCATCTGGGCGAGGGTGTCGTCGTCGAGGGCCCATCCAGTGAGCGGGCGAAGCGGCGAGGGAGCCCTGCTGCAGCTTTGTATTTGCAAATCGTGGGCGGTGACGGTGTGGGAAGCGAGAGTAATCCTCTGCCAAAGGGGCAAGTCGTGTGCCGGCACAACGCGCGCGCGCGCGACAATAGAATGGGCTGTGAATGCAAATCTCGAGCTCATATGCACTACAGTAGGTAGCTAGAGTGGCCGGCGAACAGGAAAACCGTTATGCCTCGCTGCCCTGTGCCGTGCATGCCATTGAGCCGCCAACCGTTCAATGCCTCCTTGACGGACAGATTGCATGGGATAAATGACGTGGAGGCCGATTCTGGGGGGTGGGCAGCCCCCTTGAGCATGAAGCTCACGATAGTTTGGGGTTGCAGGGCGGGTGGGGGGGTCCCGGCTCGACGCCATGATTTTTGGTGGCCGCCGTCCCCTCGACATGAAATCGAGTGCGACCTCGAATCGAGGGATGGCCCGTGGGGCCATGCCGTCCGGTAGCCTGCACTTGCAGGGCAGGGCAGGGTAGCACGACGTCCTTTCTCCCTCCTGGCGCCTCCCAACGTGGATGGATGCAGCGTCCTGTGAAAGTCGGGCCCAGCCAATCCTCTGCCGCTGCGTTCCCCAAAACGCTAATTCTGACGTCTGGCACTGCTTGACGGGAAGTGGCTGCCCTGGCACCCACCCTGCTTGTCTGCCAAGCCTGACTGTCAGCAGCAGCCCCGTTTGCTGGCGTGTGGATCTGTGGATCCCTGTGACGATCGTTCAGGGCCTGGTCCCCTGTGCTTCGGGTCCCCCACCAACCCCTACGCCAACGCCCCCTCCACCGCCCATGGCCCTGGCAAATCCAGCAAACTGACCCGCCCACCACCTGTGGAGACCTGCGCCCGTGTAAGTCGTCCACCACCTCACTTCACCTCAGCTTTTGAAATTGTGTGCCAGAGGTTCCGTCCCCCGGGGTCGCCTGGCATGGCCGCCAACCCGTGGACTTGATCAGTGCGCCATCTGTAGATTTTTCTTCCGGAGGCGGACCCAGCGCCCAGTTCCCACTGACGTCTAGTTGAGACAAACACCCTGGCGTTGGCTCTCGTTCCTCTCGTGGCTGTCCTTCCTCTCGTGGCTTTCGTTTGCCTCGTGGCTCTCGTTTCTCTCGTGGCTCTCTGGCTTTCACTGCCCGCTGAAGGGGCCCGTTTCCAGAGCTGCGATCCCGCACGCACTTGTTGCTGGAACAACGCTGCGCCGAAACCAAAGCCCTAGGTAAGACCTCTACGTGCCGAAGCGAGTCGCGCACAGAAATCTCTTTGCCACGAAAATGCGATGAAGATCCGAAAATACGACATCCCATGTGAAGGGGGAAAATGTGCACCCCTGCGTCCGGGGACCCAGTGCACGGTTTCCTGGTAACCAATACCCCTAACTTCGGCACTACAGCAGATCTTGGACCCTGAGGCCACCAACAGCACGCCACACAACACGCAGGCAATTCTGGCTTTTCAGGTCAATCCCTCAAGGATGACTGCAGTGTAGATACTCTCCGCATTGTTTGGCGAAACATATAGCTGCTAAGGGAGTGTTGGCAGTTGTATGACCCAACTGTACCCGGCTGAATGAACATGAGTAGTGCTATTTGTAGAGCCAACCTTTGCTAGTTGTAGAGCCCATATGAGCAATAGCAGCGACACCAAAGCAATGACAGCAACGACAGCAACGAAAGCAACGACAGTAACGACATTAGCGAAAGCAACAGGTAGCGTGCCTCTACCTTACCGTCCCATGCCTGCGCTAGTGCGCAACAAAAATCACTGGAGCAGCATAGGGGTAGGGCGCGGCCGAGAAAAGAAAAAGCCCGGCAGGCGTACCAGGTCGCCGCCACCTTCGACAACATCGAGCAGGCTCATCGCTCCGAGCACCGCTTTATGGGTGCCAAGAAATGTAGGAGGGCTCTACAACTAGCAAAATTTGGCTCTACGAATAGCACTCCTCATGAACATCGGGGACGCGGTGATCTCGAAACAGGGCGTGCCAAGCTCAAATCGAGAATCGCAAATCGTGATTGTCTAGCTACCTAATCTCGGTGCCGATCATGAGGCCAACCTCATTTATAAAAGCTCCATTGCTTTCCCTGAAACCTGCGCCGTCCATCATGTACAAATGTGGAAAACCCGAAAAAGCAGTCGTAAGACGCATCCCAACCCAAGCCACCAATGACTCTCATTATCATTGGAGAGCTACTTCAGCTTGTGTGTGAAGCATCGCCAATCAGAAAGGCATCTGATATTGAGCGGTCGGGTCGATGACCGGGGGAGGTGCTTGGAAAGTGGAAGCTGAAGATTGTTAGCGAATGTTCAGCAAAAGTTAAAGAAGTAACTCACGGTGAGGTCCCTCGATTTCAGGGAAGCCCATGTACTGATCGTACTCGAGAGGGTTGTTGATGTTGAAGGCGTCGGTGTCGTTGACGCGCTCAAGGTCAAACGGGGTGGAAGGCCAACCGATGAGATGCTGAGTAGCAGCGTAGTCGTAGTGCATCAGGGGGTTCTGGAACTCTCGCGGCATGGAGATATGAGCGAGGTCATGGTTGCAGTCTTCGACCGCATGAACCGGAATACCCAGGGCGCCGACAGAATTCTCGTCATAGGCGTCTCCGAGAAGCTCCTTGGCCAGCTGCTCGGGGGTGCCCCGAACAGCGTGTTGCATGGCAATCTTCTTGGAAGCAGTGACAGGCGAGTTGCGTGGAGCAATGATGGCGTTCTGGTTCGAAGCCATACGTGCAAGAAGTTCCGCGCCTTGGTCGGCGAAGTAGCCAGCCTTGATCATCTTGGACAGAAGCTCAACCTCGGTGCTGGGGTAATCGCCCTGGTTGATCTCCGAAAGGGAACCAGCAGACGCCTTCTTGTCTCGAAACAGCTTGGCGGTACCATCGCGTTCATCGGTGATGGTCCATTTGAGCTCGCGGAGGTACGCGGCGGGTTCGATGATGTTCATCTCAGGACAGGCAATGCTGAGAAAGATCGAAAGGGAGACTCGATCTTTTCCAACTTCATCGCGCACGAAGGAGTAGACCTTGGCAATGAGCGCCCACTTGTTGCGAAATGGATCCTTGCTCCAAAGAATGGTAAGGAATCCGGAGGCGTTCTTCTGCTGGACATCGGGGAAAATCTTCAGGTAGTAGCCTACCACACATTGTCAGCCCACCGTCACACGGCGAAGAGGTTCAGACAAGACATACTGCGAAAAGCCATGAAAGCATTGAGAGGGCGCTTCGCTCTGTCAGAGGGCCGTCCCTTGCGATTTTCGGTTCCAGAAACAACCGGGTCCGCGTTGATAGCTGCCAGAACACGGTTTTCGGCGGGTAGGTGGAAAATTCGAGCCGCAAGGTCGAAGATCACTTCATCCGGCATGTACTGGAGAAGTTGCTGGCTCTGGACGAGCGACAGGCGCTGGAGGACTTCCTCACGAGTTGCCATTTTGCCTGCGATAATGGCACTTGTCGGGTGTGAGGTTGGTGAGGATGAAGAGTCGAACGTTGGGGAGAGGAGTTCGCTGGGTGAGGGAGTGGACTTATTGCCCTTGGGGAGGTGTGGGTGTGGGGTGCGTGTAGCGATGGCTCACTGGGGTGGGGTGGGCCCTGGCAGAGCCTGTGGGGGTGCACCGTTCTGGGTTGGGGCGGCTGGGCACGGAGGACGCCTAGGTGTCGGGGGAGGGAGGGGGGAGAGGGAAGCTGGACCCGTGGACAAGCCAATTTTCCAGAGAACTTGGGTGGCAAGTTTCTGCACCCACAGCCGTTTGATCAGCACCTTTTAGAAAGGTTTGAAGATACTGGAGAAGAGTAGTGCTATTCGTAGAGCCGACTTTTGCTGGCTGTAGAGCCCCGCCCTACCGCAGCAGCAACGAGAGAAACGACAGCAGCGACAGCAGCGAAAGCAGCGAAAGCAACGGGGGGAATAGTAGCAAACTACTAGCAATAGGTAGAGCGCCCTGTCGTCCTATGCTTGCGCAACAAAAATGGCTATCGCAGCATGGGGTAAGGGCGCGGCCGAGATGATATGTAGGACGGCTCTACAACGAGCAAAAGTTGGCTCTACAAATAGCACTACTCCTGGAGAAGCATGACAACGCCATTCTTCCCAGTGTTCGCTGCGCAATTGTTTCTTGCTAACACCGAACGCATTTTAACTGGATTTTGAAGATATATTGATATGACTTTGGGTTCTTTTTCGTACAACTTATGTCTACACAGTGTTCTGTCCGTCATGCCGCTCAGGCCGAAACCTCGGTGTTTAGCGGCCAGCCTCTACCCCTCGAACCACAACAAGTGCCAAGGTTGGTCTACTTGCTCCCTATCTCGCTCGCTGGAAGCACACCAGGTGGAAAAACGCGTCTACTTCCTCCCTATCTTGCTGAAGATCGAACGATGCAAGTAGCTGGTTCATGAAGGGGAATGTGAGGTGGCCGCGCAAGTCAGTCATGGGCATCTTGACCTAAGACGTTGGATTCACGTTAGCATGACCACCGAATCCTTTGTAGTTTATCACGCGATTGACGCATCAACATACCAGTGGGAGTTTGTACAGGTAGTCTCGCACAGGCACTTCGAGGTGCGACGCGGTCTGGGTCTCTCGTTAGCTCCTGAAAGCGCTTGCACAGTGGAATCAGGCACTCACAGCCCTTGAAAGATTGATGCCAGGATATGGGGAGCCGGTTCCCTTCGAGAAAGTTATGAATTGTTCCACGGCGCGTTGACCCGAGATCATATCACGGGGGCGGCCAGTCTTGAGAATTGGTCAGCTAGGCATGTCTCATGGGAAATTGGAATGCACTCACCACATCCATGCGCTGCACAAGTTCTCTGTAGAATCTCTCGATCGGAGCGACAACCCCCCAAACTGTGCTGGGGATCTTGGCGAGAAAGCGTCGTTCGGGAGCGGATTCCGGGAATATTGGCTCATGATAGTTGCGCAGAAACTTGTTCCATGTTGATCCTGGAACCACGCGAAGCGGATGGTCAATAGGAGCGACCCTCCAACCTTTCTCTCCAATGTTCGTGATCAAGGTATTGCCATCTGCAGTGAGTCGAACTTCACTGTGCGTAGCACCCAAGTGCGCTCCCGGGGTAGGACAATCCATCTTGTCGAAACCTTCACGGGACACGGCCCAGGAGGACTTGATGAACAGCTTGAGCGCTTCTGTGACGCGAACGCGCTCGATTGCGTCTTGCCATGGCTCATCAAACAGTCGGTCGGAAATCAAGAAGCACGCGTACAGCAATGTGGTGACTGTCTTGGAAACGAGAGATCCAGCCACAAGAAGTGGATGTGCCTCAGGGAGCCAACGCTCAGTGGTCATCAACATTGCGACGACGCCAAGGTTCGCGATGCGGTTCTTCTCCCTAGTAGATGTCGCATCATACCAGGGATGCAGTGGGTTGACGATAGGGTTGGCGTTTTGCGAGTTTGCGTCGGCAGAACCGTACTGGGGATCCCGAGAGACCGCAGGCATCGCACTCAGGAACCAGAGAGACAAAGCACTCTGGATGACCATCCTGGGATGAACTCGAATTATTTTGGCCATGAGCTGGAGTCGCTTGAGAATTTCATTGTCTGGGTCGAGATCCCGAAGGAGAACACGAAGAGCTTCAATGACCTCCACAACAACGTCTGTTGATGAAACTCGTTAGCATTCTGGAAACGAGTGTCAGTGTCCCGTGTTGTTTCTTACAGTTAAGAGAGGGATATCGGGGATGTTCGCCAGCATGGCGACGGAGGTAAATATTCAGAACTTGGACGCGGATCTCTTGAATGGCTGCAGTAGGCATTTGCATGACGTCGACCGATTCCCAGAAGGGAGCAAAGCTGGACAAACTGTCCATGGCGACTGATCATGCACGTTGAGTGCTCTGTAGGAAGTCGCTTCTTGAGAGCTTTTTGCAGGGTGGGAAGACGCGTTGCGAGATGCAGGGAGGAAGAATGCGCGCCGAGATGTGCGAGGCGAAGGTGTGTTGATGAGTGCAGGGCAGAATGTCTGGTCCGATGGAAGGATCTGTTGCCAGGTGGAACCTGATGGACCTGTTTGTTACTGCGCAGCTGGCCGCAGCTGTTCAGCGGCCAGGCACTAGCCAGGCAACAAGGCTCAGTGCCACGCCTCTGACTCCGTTTGCTTGGGGTGATTTTTTTCCGTGGCAGATTCACTGCTCTACCCATACATCCGTGTGCACCTGAATTTCTCCGCTTCTCGCACCCAAGGCACTCCTCTCTGACACAGAACGTACCATCCGCCCTCTCTTCTACTCCATCATTTCCCTTGCCGCGAACCTAACGACTACACGAGACCGCATTCGGAGACTCTTTCATCATGCCTGTTCCACTTGCCGTACCTGTCCCCGACCGGGAGGGCAAGACTGATGCTGCGATGACATTTGTCTACTCTGACACAGACATCCACGTCCTTGTCTCTAACACCTTGCACAAGAGGACCGTGAGACACATTGCAGAGAACTTCAGGTTCGTCACCTCAGGAGCCGTGGAGAAATCCGAGCTAATCTCAACAGCCGTCGCATGAATGAGCCCGTCATAGTGTTCCTTGACGCTATTCATCAGAAGTACCGCCTGGTCACTTGGGGCGAGGGATGCACTCTTGACCCTGAGAACATGGGAGCGTTCGTCCTTCATTGCGGTGAGCAATAATCTAGCAGAAACATGTCCATAACCCCAGCTAAGATGCTCTGCAGACATGTCTGAACGGGAGGCGACCCAGCCTGCACCCACTGCGACTCCTTCTCCTACCAAGGAGGAGCGCATCCCGCGTCCTTGCAATAGCTGGATCCTGTATCGAGGACACCACGCGGTGCAGCTGAAGATCCAGAACCCGCGATTCACCGCAGCCCAGCTTTGTAAGTCGTTTGCTCCATCGTTCAGCGTGGACCTCGCCTGACCAGACACAGCGACCAGGATCTCCACCATGTGGAAGGCCGAGCCGGCCAGCGAGAAAGCCATCTGGCAGCAAAAGGCCAAGGAAGCAGATCGCCTCCACAAGGAAAAATACCCAGACTACAAGTACACCACCTCGAAGCGAGCGAAAAAGCGCCGCGTTGGTGGAGCTGTCTGGGCCGGTAAGCCGACGTGAATAGACACTATTATGACGGGGTGCTAATCGGAGACAGGACCCAACTGAACGTACGGAAGCGAAATTGCCCCGCGATCTGGGTTTGGGAAGCCTAATTTCGATGGATTGGGTGATACTGTGGCTTTTTTGAAGCACCCTTGCTGGGCTGTGTCGCGAAACGCGTTGTGACCTTAAGACAGACTCAAAGTGCCATTACTTGCGAATGAAATCCGAATCCAGGTGGCCCATCTACATGCTTCAAGTAAACGACTTGCTCCAATCACTGCTCCATATGAACGTCCCACATCGCCATTCCGACCCATGCTCCTTCTCACCCGAGGGCCCAAGTGGCCGACGACAGATATAAAACGACCGCCCTGGCAAACGGTCAGCGCGAATCGACACCACAGCAGAAGAGATACGCGCCGTCACGCGAAAGTACTCTAGCGGAAGGGCTTGCCGGGGACATACCGCAGTTGACACCAGGCTTTTTGGTGATTAGACTGATACAAGGCTCATCGTGCTCACAACGCGGGGGGACACGCTTCCCAAGAAGCTTGGACCAGGATTCTTTGGCCTCGATAGGATCAAAGACGTTTTCAGCGGGAGAAGTAGAGCGCTCTAGGGAGAGGGGAGGCTGTGACGGATTCTGAGCTGGCTTGTCGCTGTCTTGCATGACTCGTGCGGGCGGTTCCGGGGTGCCAACTGAAGCGGCGGGGGCGTCTGTTGCGTTCCCGCCATCCAGAGGCGTTTGACTGAGCTTCTCTGCTGCAGGTTCGTATCTCTGGCCCAGTGGCTTAAAAAAGCCTTGTAGTGTTCTTTGCCCGGGTGTAGTTCTGGCGCCGGCGGCACTCGAACTGTCAGCTTGTCGGGGCCGTTTTGTGGATCTCGTAGTGGTGTTTTTCCCCGGAGACCTCTTGCGCTGCCCAGGTAGCAGCGGATCAGTCGTAGAAGGAACATCTTTGGGGGTGTTGGAGTCGTCCTTTGCAGGAACATCCTCGTCCCTCACGGGAGTTGCACTTGAGCTTGAAGAAGGAGCGTTGTCCGCTTTCTGTGACACTGATTGCAGTCCTGTATTGGACGCAGACCTAGAGAACATGTCTCTGATGCTCTGGCGGCGGTCAAACTCTGGTATGAGCCTGGCAGAGAGCGGAAGGCTGTCCTTGTGAGACCATCCGCGCAAGCGTTTTCCGTCGCTGAACATGCCGGGAGGGTTCGTCACATCAGTGAGGGACACACGCCGCCCATCCATCTCGACTGAATCGGCCAGCATCCCAAAGACCGGGCAGTGATCTGACCCCATCAAGCCTTCCTGTATATCGGCGTGTGTGAACCAGGGCTTCACGCCGGCGCTGCACAATATGTAGTCGATGCGGCTGCCGTTGTTGGCGGGCCGGGTGTTGCGCTTCGTGTCCCAACAGGTGTTCATGCCCGGACGACCGGGATGGAAGCACCGGCACAAATCCCAGAGCACTGGGGTCTCTCTTCCCTCGTCTCTTTGCCCGGACACACTGCCATCAAAAATGAGGTGGTTGAAGATGCGTCGCGAAGGCACCTCTTTCCACTCCTCCAGAGACATGCCTTCCTTGCGAAGACATTCCGCGACGTTCGTGGAGTCCATCTCAGATCGGACGACATTCAAGTCGCCTGTGAGTATGACCTGTTTCCCTGATGCGATAATGTTTCGCACTCGCACATCGAGGGCCTCCAGGAAGGCGATCCGAAAGTTGTGTCGAGATTCGTTTCGGTTGGCAGGACTGTATACACCCAGGAGGACAAAAGCGGGAAACTCGAGGATGACGCAGCGCCCCTCAGAATCTAGTTCCAGCTCGTCGACGTTGCCCGAGAGTTGTCCGGGCATGGGGTATCCACCAATCTGTTGATCTGAAGGAAGGTCACGGAACTTCGTTGACGACTGTGGTGGAGTAAGAACGCCTGTGACGCCTTCCTCAGCACGCACAGGGGCGCAGGTCGCGTTTCGTGTGTAGATAGCCACCCCTGAATAGCCTAAGGACTATCATGTCAGCCGAACTGTCTTGAGCATCTTGCGCAGGCACACAAAGATAGTGTGCGACCTTTCTTGTGCCTCGGAAGACTAAAGTAAACATCCCAACCTGGGACGAGAACCATATCATCTTGTAGGTCTTTGCGTTGTATCTTCACCTCCTGCATGACGACGATGTCGGCCTCTAGAATGTCGAACATTGCCTGTTGAGCAGTGTAAGCAGCAGCAGCTACGGTTGGCACCCCTTGGAATTGGTACTACCTGAAATGTCCGTTGCTCCCTCCATGGTTGGTATGCGAAAGGGTTTCTGTTCTGCTTATGAGCGGGCAATGATCACTTAGAAACAGAGCACCTTGACCACCTTATGCCATTCACTATACAGTCTGTTAGTCTCAAGCCCTAGAGGGATCCACAGCCAAGTCCACCTGTAAACTGACCATTCCATGATGTTATTCGAAATCCCATCTTGAATTGCCTTCAAAGCTATCCCGCATGCTTCAACGAGCGGACGACGCCAGAGTCCAGTCCACTGAGCCTCGTTGCGTCGGAAGGCGGCAATGCCTCGGCAGCCCTGGCGCGGCTGCCGAGAGGGTGGTGCTCGATTCAGACGAGTTCGAAACGCGCTGTCGGTTGCATGGCTTGCGCTTTCGCATGAGTCTGTACACAGAACCTAGCGTCCATGCCGGGGATGATGGAGATGACGTTGAGCTCAGGCACGTCACCACTGTCTCCACATTAGGAACTCGCGACGGTCGAGGCAGGACGGCTGCGCGCCTGCCCCACGAAATCACGTGGGTCGCTGATCTCCTTCGCGCCTGACAATTGAGGCACCGACGATTGGCTCTAGCCGAGCTCCATCCGGAATGAGCTGATTGACCTCACAACCTGCATCCGCCAATTCTTCAAGGACGAACAGGACCACCATCATGCTTGCTGCTCGACCCGCCACCCGCGCCGCCTCGCGGCTTGCTGCGCAGTTGCGCGCCCCCGCTCAGCGACGCTTTGCCAGCACCGCCGAGAACGAGTTCATCAAGGAGCGCCAGCATATCAAGGAGCACGCCAAGGGCACCACTGGTAGGCCGCCAATCCATTGACCACGGAGAGCAATGTTGACATCAAGCAGAGCTGTGGAAGAAGATCTCCATTTAGTATGTTTTCCGCATATTCCGTTGGTGCCTCAGACGACCCGCGCCCGAATCGCCCGAACCGCCCGACGCGAAAGCGCCGAATCGCTTTCACGATGATAAGCTAACCCGCTACGAAGCGCCGTCATCCCCGCCCTGGCTCTCTCTGGTGCCAACGCCTGGTACCTTTGGAAGGCTCACTGGGAGCACTGGAACCACATGCCTCCTCTGGAGGAGCGCACCGAGTACCCATACCAGAACATTCGCACCAAGAACTATCAGTGGGGCGATGGAGACAAGGTGAGCTTTCGCAGATGTGCCGCGGCCTTGATTTGGCAGCATTGGACTGTGGCTAACGATGAAATAGACCTTGTTGTAAGTATCGGTCCGCATTGCATCTCTCTCGCACATCTCGCGCACCTACCGGCCCTCGGCTTTCGTAATGTGACTTCGATTAGACGTGCTAATGTATGGACACAGCTGGAACGAGTCGGTCAACTACCACAACAAGGACAAGGTCGCGTGAGAGGGATTTGTAAAGGCCAAAACTACAATTTGCTAGTGGCAGTGATAGACGATCTCCTGGGTAACCCCCTTGTACAACTTCTCTTTGTTCAATTGACGATAGTGTTGAGGATGATGGCATTGTGCTCTCTATGATGTCTCGCCGATGATGAACCACCTAGAACTGCCTGGCCAAACCTACTTGCAACGTCCTGACGTAACGGGCATCAGAAGACGTGTCACATGAAGGTCGTCGAACGCGCGGAATCAGCTCAGATGCGTAGTTCTGCGAGGCAAACTGGTCACGTTCGAAATGTTCTTGAGATACGCGCAGATCGTGCACTTTTGACATAAAATCCGCCCAAGCCGTGAGGCTTGAACGTCATCTCCGTGAGAGAGCAGCTGTTCAGAGAGCAGCCATTTCTGGGCACTGCCCGTCCTCTATTTGACCACCATGCTAGATGCTAAGGGCGCCGAAAAGGGCAAATGCGGAATGCTGCGATAGCCTTAGTTGCTGTAGCAGCCCGGCAGCCGCGATAGTTCCAATTGTGCAGCTTGGTGGCGGCCTTGATCGCTGCTGGGCTGCGATGCCCGCGATGCCTTTAAATGCAGCCAATACGGTTGCACAGTTCCCTGCACGGCGGCCGGTCCACAGCTACCGGTCGGGGTGGTGGTCCATTGGAATGACTAGTGCTGTTCGCACAGTCAAAAAAGTCTAGTCGCACAGATAAACTCAGTGGTTGAGGCCGCGCCAGCCATCTTCTTGTTGCGACGACAGCGGGCGCGCCGTATATTGCAGCTATTCGCCGCGAATTCTCCTCCTGCTCCTGTTGCTGCTGTTGCTTCTGTTCTTTCAATCCAACAATGAATTTGCAGAGGCTCCCGCGCTGGGCGTACCTTAATTGTGTGTGGTGGACAAGGCGATGCGGCACTCGGTAGGAAGTACCTATGGGTCGTCTGTGCGACTAGACATTTCTACCGGTGCGAACAGCACTGCCCGCGGGAAAATTGGTGGTCCCCAAATGGCTGGGTCAACTGACAAGCTCCCGCAGTGCCTAAAGCCATCTTTGGTGGTTCCTCACCGAAGATCTCCCGAACACACTTATCAACACCAGACGCGTCAACAGCAGTGCGGAGGGAGGTGCGAGCCTCATGTCCTCGGCACAAGGAAGTTGGCAGTCTTGATGCAGGTGCTTACGAACGCTTTGCTGAACAGCGCCGCGCCATGGGACACGCATAAGGGCCACTACGACAGGATTCAACCCGATTGCGCCCCTCTCAGCGGCGTGCCGTGGCCTTACATCGCATTCACTGTCGGATCGACGCCATGGCGCGATATCTGACGCCTGCCAAAATCGGGCTTTTGGCTCTTCTGGAGCTTTACACCGAGGAGGCAATTCCCAGCGAGGCGATAATGCCTGTTCTGTCCTTCATCACGTCTCATATTGTGGACCATGGCTACTCGAAGCCACAATCAACCCAAACGACACGGTGGAACAAGGCGGAGAGCACTGTGAGGCTGGTGATTGCCATGAAAGACTTTGAGAGGCTGCTGGGAAGCTATCCTTTCCTGATGGGCTTGCCGGGACGAAAGCTGTGGGATCAGTTCCTGGCCCGGCTTTGGGAGATCAATTCCTTGGACGCGCTCCATTCCTTTTTTGAGAGAATAGGAGCGATGTTGGCAAGATCCAAAGACGAACGTCGGAGACTAGACGGAGGCGAGTCGCAAGGTGAAGACGATCACATCAAACTGACCCGCAACTCGCCATATGGCGCGTTCATCCGCCGCGCACGGCTTGAGTTCCAGCGGCTTAGATTCCATGATTGCACGGAGCTCTGGAGAGACTTTGTGAGATACCGGCAGCCCACAGCTACCTATCTGCGAAGGAAACAGCCCGGATTCGGTCGTCTGAGCTTCGACGAGGTGCTGCGACACGGGGAGAACGAAGAATGGGACGCCCGAAGTGTTGGCGACTTGGCGGCAGTCGCGTATGGAGACATGCTTACTGGGGATCTCAATGGGACGGTCGCTGTCAGCACTGATGACGTTGAACTTCTGCTGGAGTTCCAGATTGATCAGATGCAGAGTGAGTGGCAAACACACGCTTCAAGACTGGACATGCCTCTGACCGCAGGTGTGCAGAATACGGCAACAGAATCCCCGTGGAAATTCACCGGCAATTCCAGGACTTGCTTCACGACAGCTTCTTGGTACCGAGCTTGACGCACTACCTGAGGTGAGGCGACGCCCCTCGCTGTACTCGATCTCTGCGCTTCTAACCACACTGCAGCTTCCTCGATGCGTGGCGTGCCGGCGACTATCCCACTGCCTTCGATTCCCTTCACCGTTACTTCGACTATACAATGCAGTACCGTGACCGGCTCTTCTACCAATATGCGCTCATGAACCTCGCCGTGTTGCAAGCGGATTTTGGCTGTCACAAGGATGCCGTCTCAGCAATGCTTGAAACAGTATCGACAGCTCGGGAGAACCGAGACATGACGTGCCTGAACTTTGCTCTCAACTGGCTGTTTCACTTCGGCCGTGCTCATCCTGACCTTGTTCATGACCTCGAGCGCAACAGCATGCTAGGCACGGGAAAGGAGACACTGGCATTTCTGCGAGTGAAGGCTAGGGAGTCCGGCATGTGGACGCTCTGGAGCTCCGTCCTCCTGAGCGAGGCAAAGGTTGCCCTCATCAACGGCGAATCTGTAGCGACGTCGCTGGAGCACATGGCTCGCAGTTCGCAACTGATCGTGGAGAGGAACATGAAGACCATGTTTGGGTCTCATCTTGCGCTGCAAGCGGCTCTATGGAATCGGCTGGGTGTAACAACTTTGTCCAGCCTCGTCGCCGACATATTTCTTCGCTGTCACGCGCGACACTCGGTATTCGATGACGAGCTGAAGCACACTTGTCGCATGGCAGTGACCTTGGCCGACCGAGGCAAATATGCCGAGGCACTCCAGGTACTCGAAAACCTGGATGAGAACTCTCTTCGATCCTGGAAACCGAGCCAATACTGGCACAAATATCGAGGAATCATCAAGCTAAAGCGAGACTTGCACCACAATAACCTGGACGGTGCAGAGCGCCTGATGGCGCAGCTTCTCCAGTCTAAACCCGACGACCTAGAGCCTGACATGGCGTTCATGATTGAGGGGCTGCACATTGAGTACCTGACGCGACGCGGGGACATTCAGGCAGCGTTCGCGTCCGTGGACAAGCTCATGTCTCAGCTGTGCGATGAGAGCAAGGACATTGCTCTCCGCGTCAAGCTCCTCCTGCTCAAGGTGGCACTTCTGGACAAATGTGGCAGACCACAGAGAGCCATGTCCACGGCCGTCCGAGCCGCTAACCTGGCCTGGCGTGGGAGGCTCGTCCCATGCCTTTGGCAAGCAGTTGGCGCCCTGTCAAACATTCTCGTATCCCTCGGCGCATTTGAGGCGGCTGCCCAACTTCTCACCGCTACGCTGCCACGAGCGTTCGAATGCGAGTCCCCAGGCCTGGTGGGCCAGCTGTACTCGTATCTCGCGGACGCAAACATGGGCCTTGCAGGCATCATGCCTCCCAAATCGAGCAAGCGAACAGAGCACATGAACCGGGCGGCGGGCGCTGTGCAAGAGGCATTTGATCATTATTCAGCCATGGAGGACATCGAGCGACAATGCGAACTGATGGCGAAGAAAGCCATGATCATGAAACTTCAAGGGGAAGTCGGTTTGGCGGCGGACTTTGCGGCCGCGTACGTGGAGCTGCGGAAGAGCGCTGAGATATGGGGCACACAAGACGCATGAGCGCGTGTCAACAGGACCCCTAACGCTGGGTTGCATTGTATCGCAACAGGTCTTTGCGTATTATGTACACAATGGGTAGCAGAGACGCGGTTATTATCACCGAGCTATCTCCTCGGCGTGGCTCCGGATTCTTGCTACCATGTACTTCATAAAAATAGACAGGCGTCTGGCTTGGCGAGACGAGACGCCACCGGCGATACCATTACCAGTGAATCTTTTCCCCTTTGCGATTCTTCAACCCACTCTCCTCGGATGTGACAACAGTTGCGCCCTCCGTGACATGGTTTGTGGCCCAGACTTGGGCTATGCAGAGCTCGAATGGACCCTCGATTCGGTCCGTCAGGCCGATGCCAACGCTCCTGACCTTTTGCCTCAGGAGCTCCGTCTGTGGTTCTACAACGAACCCGTGGTTCGTCCGCACGAAATCATTCCATTTGACCATGACAGTCTCCCAATGGCCGGGCCGTTTCGCGAACAGCCGATGTTGATGCAGGTCGGTCGGCTCAACCGCCTCCGTCTGCAGGTTTATAAAGTATGCCCTCCCGTCGGACTTGATCCTCATGGCAAGGTAGGTGTAGGGGTCAATGTCCCATACGGCCTTGCCAAAAATCGTCGGGGGTTGGTCGGGAGTGCGAAACGCCGCGTAGCCGCTGCGCTGGATGTTGGGCCGGCCTTGCGGGAGAGACGTGGAGATTCGGCCGTGGAATCGCGCGTAGCCGGCCGGGGACGACGTTTGGACGCTTGAGGAAGTATCTGTATTCGTATCGCGTCGATCGACAAAGTCAAGGTTGCTTTCGGACGATCCGCCGATGAGGTTGTCGGACATGATTATACAGTCGTTGACTGCGGCCCGAGTGTGGAAGTCGTAGAGCGGCCGAGGCCCCGACGGGCCTTTGACTGCCTCGAGTTTCCATGCTGTACAGCGACGGTCAGTCGGCAATGCGCAAGCACACAGAGACATGGAAGTACCTATGCTCGAGCGGCGCTTAAGCTCGTCAACACTGCGCGCCAGGAAGCCCTTGGCGAGCAACGGCCCGGTGGCCTTCATGCTGCTGAAGCTGACGTAGCGATTTGCTCGGACGGCGACAAGGTTGGAATTGGAGCCAGGTGGCTCATCGAGGGCAGGAAACCATGAGCCTTGTGCGCATTGGCGTTGCGTTGGGGAAAGTAGAGATTCAGTCGCCCAGGCTATATGGGCGAGCGCAGGCGCAAGCCATAGCAGACGGCGATGCGAATCTGGGGCGCTGGATTGACACCTGTGTAAAATTGACACGGGGTGCCGTGTGCGAAAGCTGCGACTGCAAAGCCCGGAAGCAGACCCGCACAGCCTGCACCCTGTGTGGCGGCTCGGAAGATCACGCGGTCCGGTCCCTCTCTTTTTTTGGTGCCGTATCACGATGTTCGAAAAGGCCGGACAAGCGTTCCAGTGTCGCTCAATTCTTGCCTGACCTAGTCAGCGCCCCGTTATTCCTCACCGGAAGGGAACGGGCCTGTTTTATTGACCACCGTTGAGAAGTCACAGACCTCCCGACCGACCGCGATGCCGACCTCCGTGGCTGCGCCGACATGGCGCACACTCGCCTCGCTTCCTCGGCAGCGATGCGCCGCAAGCCTCCTGACCGTTCCCGCAACTCGCCGCCATGCCTCGGGCCCTTCGCGGAATCGAATCATTCGAGAGCTGGATAGGGCGTCGCGGGTGAGCTCCAGCAAGATGAGCAAGGAGCAGAGCATGTCGCAAATGCAAAAGGTCGCGAACGCCGAGTACTTCAAGGACGGCGGCGGACCTCTCTTTCCAGGTACGAGCCAATCTAGGCGAGGGCGCATTGGCACTCTCAGCCCAGGGGTAGAATTCTGGTGATTCTAGAGGACTTGGTCTGACTTGTTTTGCTGCAGGCACCTTCGTCTCCTTGCCCCTGTCACGATACCCGCGAAGCCCGTCCGAATTCGCCCAATACCAATGGAGTCGCATGCGCCACTGGCTCGTCGGCGCCGTCTCGATCCTCAACTTCAAACTCAAGTCCATGCCGAACTGGACAACGCGGCCGAAGTGGAAGGCCAGGCGCGGAAAGATTGCGCCGACGGCCAAGGCCATGTATCGAGAGATGCTGGAGGCCTTTGCCGCGGGAGACAAGGCAACACTGCAGAGGATATGCTTGAACGAGTTTGCGAAGAAGCTGGTCGCCGCCGTCGACCGGAGAGACCCCAAGGAGCGGGTCCGGTTCGAGCTCGTCAAGTACAACAACCCCCTCTTCTTCCCTCGCCTCCTGTCGCACCAGATCCACCAGGTCAACCCGTTCGACAAGGTGCTGGTGACTGAGCAGGCCGTCGTCGCCATCAACTCGACACAGCAGGCATCCAGACAGAACATCGCTACCGGCGAGACGGTGCCGGGGAGCGTGAAGCTCCAGGACAAGATCGAGTACGTTGTCCTGTCGCGACAGGCCAACCAAAAGACTTTCGAAACCGGGCCGTGGCGGATATGGGGCACGACGTCGGCTACGACTCTGGCCAGCTACCTAGAAGAAAAGGCTGTCATTGACCGGGAGCAGGCAAAGCGGGCAGGGTGGGACGAGACCGCAACGAAATAAGCCGTCGAGGACAAAAGCACAGAGAATGCAAGGCGAGCACCAGGAGGCACTCGGGGGCATCGGCGTGACTGCACGTGTATGAGAAAACATGTACCATAAAAGAGCGTTTGAGGTGACGCCACTGTATTATATCATGGCGCCGCTGGCGTCCACTGCCGCCTCGGCTGAGCATCATTTTCTCCATCTCAACCTCTATCGTCTTGCTTGCTCCAACACCAATCTCAACTTCTACGATGCTGTTTCCGCCAACATCCACCATGCCCAACCCATCCCCCGTATTCAACGTGTTTATGTCTTCTATCGCATCCGACAACTCGTAGCAGCTGCTCTCCGCGTCTGCTGCGCATGTGTGGCCGGGAGCGCGTACCGCCTAGAAGAACTTGCCGGCCTTGGAAGTAATGACAACTTCCTGCTGGACATCCTGCTCGCTGTGTATGCTATCTTCCGCCTCGATCGGTCGATCCAGGGCGGTGAAGGGCTCGTTTCGAACCTTTGCCTTGATGTACTGGAAGCCAAGTCTCAGGGCCAGGGCGCCGAAACCCCATAGGAAGCCGCCGACGGGTGCGGCCACGAAGGCGCCAAACGCGCTCCAATCGTCGCCATACAGACCATTTTGGAGGAGAAGAAGCTTGCTTCCCTCATCAGCATTGCCGTAGTAGATGGTGCCGAAGAGGAACACGGTAAAGATTCCTCCCAGGCCACCGACGACGACCTCGAAGCCTCGCCACCAGTACAGACGCTCGCTGAGTCCCATACACAGTACGGGGATGGTAGCGGCGGAGAGCAAGTCGCTGATGAGGTAGATCTGCAGAATGGACGTGGCTTTGAGGGCGAGGACGACGACCGGGATCATGGTCAGAACCACCATGAGGCGGATGTACCAGATGTTGAGGCGGTTGCGGAACAGGTCATTTGACGCCGCGGAGACCATGGCGGACTGAGTGCTGTCAAAGGCCGCAGTGCTCAGGCTCACGACCATGACGAGGACGATGCCGACTACCCAGTTGGGAAGCGTCTCCAGGAGGGCAAAGAACGCCAAAGAGCCGCTCTGCGCCGGGTCGCCGGGCCAGGTGCCGGACCATACGGCTATGAGGCCGGCGCAGCCAACGAGCGTGAGAATGCACAATATCCCGATCGTGGCCACCGAGACGCCAATCCATAGATCCTTGTCCGTCTTTGCCGAGAAGGTTCGAAGCCAGAAGTTGGCGAGGAAGAGATCATTCGTGCCCACGGCGACCGGCAAGATGTACAAAAGGTACCAACCAACCGTCGACGCTTCCGTGAGTCCCGAGGAATCAATCAGCTCAGACTTGATCTCGGTCTTTACACCGACAGCGATGGACGCGATGACGATGAGCCCCACGACCATGCCGCCTTGGATGACATCCGTGAGGAAGGAAATCCTGAAGCCTCCGAGTGCTGCAGAGCGCACGTTAGCCTTTGTTCTGCCCACTTATATGATGCCGGGAGTCAACTAACAGGTGTAAATGGTCGTGACAATGCACTCGACGATGATTACCGGAAGCTGGTCGATGCCGGTCAAGGCGCTGACGACCTGACCCAGGGACGACAATTCGGCGATCATGTAAAGAAACAGAGTGACCAGCGTCATAAAGCTCAGGTACAACATGGTGACGGTGCCATATCGCTGCCGCGTCCACTCCGTCAGGACGAAGCCATGGGGACATTTGCGCCGAATGATAGGGCCCAAAGCGCCAAAGAGCAAGAATGGGAGGGCCGACGCGAGCGCGTAGGTAAGGACGCCCTGGACACCAGCGATGGTTGCGATCTCAGGATAGGTGAACAGAATGCCGGATCCGAGTGCTTCAAGTTCGTTAGTACGGAACGGGGAAGGGGAAGGGGGCAGGGGGTTTGGAATTTGGAGCGGCAGCACGTTTCCCACGCAAGCATTAACTTGATCGAGTAATTACGGTGCAATCTCAGCTTCGTTCTCGTAGGCCAGGCATCTCTCACTTGCGGAACGAGGTTCCCCATTGAGTTGGATGCCAGACGCTGCGAGAACTCCGCGCCCGTAGTGAGCCGCATTCTCCTCTCTGTCATGATGAGCAAGCTCCCCGACTTCTCATCCACTTAGCGCAGGTTCATCACTCCGGAATACTTAGGATTGGCCGTTGCCAGGCTTGGCCAGTCGCAGATACCGTTGGAGACGCTGAGCCGCGGGGAGCGGTGCGGGGAGCCAGCGCATCGCTCGAGAGAGGAGAGCAAAGATCTTGGGTACGAACCTACTCATTGCCGTCGAGTCATATGCTTTTGCCGGTCATGCCGTCCGTTTGTCCTGTGCCATCCACGAATTGGGAAGGCTACCGCTCCGGAGTCATGGTGCTTGCAGTCGCAGCACACCAGTTGCATCAATCACTCACCCGACGCAATGAAGTTGAGGGCCAGGGGAAATGCTGTTGGGCCGGTCAGCTCACCACGTCCAGTGTGCGGGGTGTCCGGATCTAGGCGCTCCAGAGGAGCCGTCGCGGGTTGATGGATCCTGCTGACCAGTTTGCGTTCCGTTGCCGGACAAGAAATCCTTCTTGCTCTGGTTCCTCAACCTCCAAGCAATGGCAGTGCCCAGAACCCTGCGGCGAAGCCATCAGTAATGCGCCCACGATGATCTTGGCAAACCTTGGCCGGAGGAGGAACACACAGAAAGGCGCCATATGTGAGGTAAATGATGGCGTTGGACGCCGCAAAGGATGGTTGACCCATGGTGTGTGTAACGGGCGTGAGTGACGCAAGTGCGGAGGCGATGAAGTCAATGCCAGACGCATAAAAACCCGTCGACGACGTGACGCTTGGCGAAGGAGACTGGCAGCGACGAGGCGAGCCTGGATTCTTTGATGATATTTATGAGAAAACCTGAGCCTCCCAAGTTGGTGGCATGATTTGGTAAAAATTTACACTATCGGGTGTCGCCCCAGCGGGCGACCCAGAAAGGTTAATGCCTCTCCCTCAATCGCCGCCACCCCGACGAACAGTCGCACCACACTAGCGGACCGAATCACTGCAGACTCCAGCGTCACGCAAGAACCGCGCCGCATTTGGACGCTTACCCAGTCTGCACGGATGCCGCGACAATCTCTGCACTTCAGCCAAGGCATTTGCTTCTGTGACCTGCCCAATGCCAACATGGAGGGCCGTCATCCTCAATCCAGCACCACGGAGCCAGTATTTCGTAGTCAAGGCGGCACGTTGGGAAATGCTGCTTGTTATGGTTCACGATTATTAGTACAGTAGTATTTGACAAGTCCCTCCAAGATGTGTGGCTCTGCAAGACCATGACTGGCAAGAAGCCTCGAACTCTCCAGAGCCACGATCCCAATTCGTCGTCTGAGCCGGACCCAATGGCGCCCGTGCAATATCAGCCTCCCTTCCGGAGGACAGTCGTCCGAGATTCTGATCCGAGAAAAGCATCGGCCTGGTACGATCTGCTGGCAAACAGACAGACGACAATCAAGTGCAGCTGTGAGGGATACCCAGAGATGCCCTTGATACAAGACCGCCAACGTCGGACAAACTTCCCGTATCCATTCCCGTCGCCCGAAATCATCCCGCCCAAACGCCACCAGATATGCCACGTTCCAAGACCACTGTGACCAAGGAGAAAGGTCCTGTGACTTAGCAGTCGCAACGTTGAGAGGCAGAAACCTGCGTCCCGTCTGCCAGAATTCGTCTGCGATGGACCTCATCGTTCCACACAAGGTGAAAATCCGTTGATCTCCGCCAATTGTACACATGCCAAACAGAAATGAAAAAAGAACGCCCGGGGCCTCTTGTAGAGGCAACATCGATTGTCGCATCAGCGCAATAGCCTTGCCTGCAGGCGATAAAGGCAGGTCAGGATCGACACGAAGATGCAGGCGATCGTTAGGATCTGTTGCATATTAGAACATTTTTTTTGTTTTGCCAAAGGAAAGGTGAAAAAGACAATGAAGAGAAAAGGAGAAGTGTTGATGGCTCTGAAATTCGAATCCGGGTTGACACCTGCGCCAGATTACTGCGCAGGACGTTCGGGGTTCTTCGACTCTGAATTGTTTCCGTCAGCTGCGGAGTTAGATTCGTCAGCCTGGTGCGAGTTGTTGGAGTGGTTGTTGGGGGCACCAGTCGAGCCGGGGAGTCCAGGGAAGGTTGGCATCATTGGGCCAGGCGAGAACATCACGGGGTTAAACATGTCGAAGCCCGGGTACATAGCCTGGGGCATGTAGCCAGGGTACATGCCTGGTGGGCTGGCCTGAGGGCTCAAAGGAGCAGCCATGTACGGGTACGCCCACTGAGGAGGATAAGGCACCCAAGGCACCATGGAGTAAGGGCTCATCATCTCGGTCGATGGCGCTGCTGCCAGCGTTCCAGGGTGCGACGAGGACGGCGTGGCGGCCGCATTGTTTTGGGTGCCTGTCTTCGTAGGCGATCTGGCCTCTGCGACACTGTTGTCGGACTCGACGGAGCTGTTAGACACAACGCGGTGGCTGAGGTCAAAGTCCACAGACTTTTTGGCCGAGAGTTGGGAGGTGTGAGATCCGGCGCCCTGAAGATCGCTGTTCAAGTCAGAAATCGCGCGATGTCCCACTGGGGCGTCGAACAAACCACGTCCAGAGGACGAGGAGTCGCCGAGTATGGACGGACGAGGCTGGCGCGTACGTCCAGGCGTGAAGGAGTTGGAGGCATACTGAGTGCGTCGGCCGGGCGGTCCCCGGACCCCCGTCGTGGTGACCGTGTGGTGGTCAGACGGCTTCTCGAGCTCAAACGAACCGACTCGAGGGCGACGGGTCAGGGTTTGGGCGTGGCGGGACGGACCGCCCGCAGGTGCGGCTCGGCGGGGTGTGTCAATGATCCGAGACTCCTTTCGCTCGACTCGGATGCAGTAGTCATCAATGAACGTTTTGTTCTAAAATCACGACGTTAGCTGATGAACGTAGAGGAAGCACACCATATCGTGGCACTTCAGGTCGACTTACCATGGCCTCAATGAGCTCATCTGGAGCGTCAGGACGAGCGAACTCCACGAACGCGAAACAAGTCTTCTGGCCTATAATGCGTATCAGTGTTAGCCGTCCTCGAAATGCTGCTCGTTGGGGAAAACATACCATTCATACCTGGCACGTCCTTGCAATGAAGCTGGACTTCCAGCACTCTGCCGCAGGAGCTCGCTAGAGACTGCAAAACGTCCTTGGTTATAGTAGGCGGCAGGTTTCCCATATAGACAGACCGGCGATCCTTGTCGTATTGCTGCAGGAAGCCTCTTTCACGTGGGCGGAATGCAGACGCAGTTCCGTTGTGGGCCAGCGTCTTCGGGTCAAAGACCTTGACACAGAAGGTAGGATCAGTGGCAAAAACCTGCACTCGAGTGTTAGTCCCATCGTGGGCCGGAATTGGGGACACTGAACTTACTCGTGGAGGATCGCGCTTTGCATCGTACATTTTGTACGTAACAATGACGGCCTGGGGAAGCCCAGCCGCCACCCGAAGACCCTCTTCAAGGAAGTCGGTCTTGGAAATTTCTCCCAAACGACCGAGGAGGTCGGCTGCCTCGCTGTGGCGAGTGCGCTGGCCGGAGTGCTTGTAAACAATGAATGACGCTGGTGGGACGTGTCAGCCAAAATCACAGGAACGGGAGCGAATTTGCAAGCTTACACTGGGCGCGCGCCATCTCTGTGCGGCAAGGTCGACCAAGAATCATCGCTCCCTTGCCTTCTCTCATCGCTCGCTGAGCCTCGTCGTCGAACTGAGCATCCATTAGCATACCAGGACACTGAAATCTTCTGTCTGCCTAGACGTACCCTGTACTGGCAAAACGCAAACGGCATGTGTCTGCCGTCGCGCTTGATCTTGACGAATACCGTTCCGAAACGGCCGAAGACCCGAGTGACTTCTTCCTCGAGTTCGTTGTCGGAGAAATGCTGCGGCAGGCTAATAACACAGAGTCAGCGCTTGTCAGAATATTTGCGCGGGTCTAGTGCCGGACTCACTTTGCAACAAACATGCATGCCGAGCCGGCGTACATCGTCTGGGGATCAACCTTGTTTCTACCATCGCTGTACACCGTGAGGTTCGTGGCGTCATTACCACGAGGGTCAGCACAAGTATCCTCATTGGAGCCGTCGGTAAATACGTCACCATCGTCGGCAGATCCGAATGCCATGAAGGTGGAAGACCTAGTACATGAAAGTCAGCCAAAAAGTAGTTTGCACGATGACGGTTCGGGGGTCATACCGGTTGGATCGAGGGGTTCCACCGTCCGAGGCGAGCTTCATTGCCTGCAGTCTATCTCGCGTCAGCTGTTGTTCCCTGGGAGAAAGAGGTGAGGAAAGAGCTTACCGGCTGTTGGGGAACGGCGAGAGGATGTCGCTTGCAGTCTCAAATCGGGCTCCTGTGCCACGTTAGCCTCAGCAACCTTGAATAGAGCGTGCTCCGCAATAATGTTGCGGACGACGGATGAGAAGGACTTACCACCTCCGCGGTTGCTGTCTTCGTCGGAAGAAGCAGCAGCATCCTTTCCGAGGGGCTCACAAGAGGCCGTCTTTCTGACGGAGTGAAGGGCGAGGGTGTCGCCAAGCGACGGCTTCTTCCCCGACTTTGGGGTAGTGGGGGACATTTTTGAACCTCGAGCGCTCAAGGGCTGTTGTCAATACCTATGGCCTTTTTTGAGGTCGGGTTTCTTGATTCGGGTGTGTGCGAGTCGTCCTTGAAGACAGGCGCACGATGACAACAAGCTTTCGTAGTGACACAAGGTGTCAGGAACGTGGCTGAGAGGGCACGAGAGTGATGGAAGCGTAAATGCTCCGGGACTTGCTTTTGTGAAGCTTGTTCGCTCTGCAAACGAAGGACACAAAGTCGCGAAGGTCACGCGACGGGGGGATGTGTGAGGTGGGAGAGTGCTGGGAGGAGAGGTGGAGGAACTGGGACTTCCCAGCTGGGGAGCGCGAGTGGTCAAGGTTGATGCTCCAAACCCGAAGGAATGAATAGTGGTCCTATAGCACCGCGAGGAGGTTGATGATCTTGGTGGTGTTGTTGTAGGGAAAGAACGGTTGAGGGAGAGAGGGTGCAGAAAGCAGAAGTGGTGGTGGGTGGTGGGTGGTGGGCGGCGCGTGTTGTGGAACGGGCAGGTGCGCGCAGTCTCCGCCACCTGCGCGGCAGCTGGCGTGCGCCCCTTCCTCTTTCGGCGCCTGGCGTTCCTCGAAGGCCCGCCCCCCCTTCTGGCTCCCCGACGGCCCATTCGCCTCACGCGGGCAGGCACTCGCATGGAGCTAATTGCCTTCCAGGTAGGCACGCACTGACTGGTTGCCTTGCTACGAAGTACCTAGTGCTCTAGAGAACCTGGAAGCTTATTGCAGCGCAAGGTACACAGTAGTCGATCCCTGCATTCCCCGCTCCTCGATTCTCCAGGAGCCTGTTCATGGTAGCGCTACTCGGGTTTGTTTGATATCGTGCGTGCACGCGCGCTGGGACGTGCAACTGTGTGCAGTATTGCCCCTGGCAGAAGGGATTCGTCCTAGCCACCGACAGCCGCGTGCGCCGTCCTCGCTCAGAACAAGACTCGCCATGCCTTCCCGATGCCGCTGATATCCCATGGCTGGGGCTTGGTCCTGTCCATCCACTTCATGTGTTTCCACTCGCGCTCCTCTGGCGTACACACGTTCATCATCTGATAATATTCCCACCAGTCCGGAAACCAGCCAGAAGATTCCCAATCGAGAACGGCGGTGGTTTGGTATTGCTCATCCATCATTACATTCCAGGGGCAGTGGTCCCCGTGTACGAAGACTGAGACTCTGAGCTGTGGGAGGATATCGAAGAGGTCGAAGTCGTCACGGTACGAATCACCGCCAAATACGAAATATCTCGAAACGATTCGACGTCGCAATGCACAATCATCCATAGCCAGTGGTGATAGATCTGCATTACCACCAAGAGGAGGGTCGCGCGAAGGACAGGCATCGGCAGTGGCGTAAATATCTTTTGGTAGGCTTGGGAGTCGTGGCACGGTCCGGATTTGGGCAACGAGGTCCCAAATCTCGTGGCAGATGCGATTCTTGTGCTTGTGGTTCAGTTCGGTCCAAACCTACCTGAGCGTTCTCCCTCAGATGAAGAAGTGCAAGAAATCCCGCCACAGACTCTGTTTCGCGCTCCAAATCGGTACTTCGAGTCATGAACCCTCGGGATGGCAACAGAAGACGCGTGTGTGTATGAATAAGTCGCATTGCCGCTTCTTCCGTGGGCCGAACATCGTAGCTCTGTTCGAAAACGATATCATGCTGGATCAAGTTGGCTCTGCGCGCAGCATAAAACTGGAGCGCGATCTGACGCGCTTCGAAGTCTGGGTAATCTGTGAATGTTAACGGCGTGAACTTCTCTGAATGGCTTTGATCTTACCCATGATGATAGCTGCTTGATGCTGGGGAGTCTGTAGCGGGGGGAGATGATCGTGGTAGGTGCGTAGGTAAGTAAGGGTGGTTGTGACTGGTAGATGCTGTCACAGGCAGAGAGGGCCCTCGCTTTCAAGTACCAAGAATTGTGACGACTATGGCGTGGAAAAAGTTTGCCGGGAGGCCTCCGTGCTGTCTGCCATGTATAACAAAGGTTTGCCGGCATGGAAAGCAAGGCAAATTTCGCCCTCGCTGCCCATTCATGGCAAGGCCACGCGGGTTTGCTTAGAACTAGGCGTCAATACACACGCTTACGCGGGCTGAGTCGTTCGACTGTATGCAGCGTCACTCCAGTCAAAAGGGTAGCCGAAAAATAATGTGCGCTGTAGCAACCTTTGATGCCGAGCTGGAGTGCTTGACCCTTCCCCGCGAGCCGATCTGGACTACGTGCCAAACGCTTCCATGGTAACAACAATACCTACGTATACCAGCTAGAGAAGAAAACAATGGCTCCCACTCTCAGTGCCCGCTTTCGATCTTGGGAATCGCTTTCCAAGACATACGATGACGCATGAGATCCTGCAAATCGCCAACCGACCCAGGCGCAGGCACGGGCCTGGCACTCTGCTTCCACCCTGGCAGAGCGCTGGCTCCTGCATATTCACAGCCCGGAAATGTTATGTCGGTAATGTCAAATTGAGGCAGAATCAGCCTTTTGGATCGAAATGGTCCCCCGGAGCGGCAAAGATTGACCGTCGCCAAGGGAAAGCTCAGGCGAGCAGAGCAACGCCACGACTTCGGATTAGACCGCAATCTGGTCGACAAATTGCCAGACCCGATCTCTGAAGGCGTCGGGCTCGTCTGATGGGGGACTATGGCCAGAATTCTCGAAAACAATTAGCTGCGCATTGGGCACGCACTGAGCAATCTCTTCGCTGAACATGACGGGCGTAATAGGGTCGTGCCTCCCACACACCACAAGGGTAGGGACCTTGATCTGTTCAAGGCGGTCGCGCAAGTCGAACCTAGGTTGGTTGTGAGTGAAGCAAAAGTTGTGCGTCTTGTAGTGAAGGATCAGCTCGTCGGCCTCGGCGCGCTTGTCTTTATCAAGTGTCGAGGGGGTGTTTTGTCCCGCCTTGTCCTCCGGAGTGTAGATGGGCAGGATCTCGATGAAAGCCGCTGCTAGGTCCTCATTGTCTCGTATGTTTCCACTCCATGCCCGCACTTGGCGATCCGCGTCTGGCCGTATCCGTCCGTCCGTGAGAACCGACTTGAAGCAGCGCAGCACTCCCAGCACTCCGTTTGCCCAAGTGTCGCGAAGAATCAGGGCAGAGACGCAACGGGGGTATGCTAACGCATACTCCAAAGCGACCATGCCTCCGTAAGATCCCCCAGCAATGACGGCTTTATTGGCTCCCGCCCATTCACTGAGGACATGTTAGCGAGGAGCCGCCCAAAAAGAGGAACACAATAGCGCTGAGTGCAATGCGTACCGCAGTTCATCGACATCGGCGGCCCAGCGCTGATGCGTGAAGGGTTCTTTGTCATCGCTCCGGCCGCTGCCCCTCGCATCGTACACAAGGAGACGGAATCGAGATGACAAGAAACCGAAAGACCGAAGCGGCTCGCGGTGATCAGATACACCTTGCGCGCCATGGAGAGCTATGAGGAGGGGCTTCGTCTGGTCGTCCGCCCCCAGCAACTTTACTTGCAAGGTTGCGCCATCGCTGAGCGTAACCGAGGCCTGTTTGCATGTCGCGTCCATTGTTGACCCGATTTCTAGATCACGTCAAATCGCTGATTGTTTGGATAGAGACAATACTGCGGCGCGGAACTTTGCTTTGGCATCAAGCCCTCGACTCCTCGGATGCCGTGTCGAAGAGGCATTGAAGGTCATGCGAAAAGCCTCGCCAACCCCTCATTGATGGGGATACCCGACCAAATTTAGACAGTTTGGAGTCGGCGGCTTGCACTGCTACGCTGCGAGGGACAGTAAGCCCAGGCCGCACAAACCGGAATTCCGCCAGATGCCGTTGGCCGGTAAAGATTTGGCAATGCCGTGGCTCATTGCAGTGAGTTCTATGTCGCACGTGAGTATCTCTACATATCCCTCCCTAACGATCTGTGCTGTGGCTCGATTGTTCAGAAAGCTGGCAGACACCGCTTCCAAGATGTATCAAATCGTCATGATGCTCGCATGGGCTGGAGCCCAGCTCGTGTGGCGAGAGCGCCGCAACGCAACGTCGACCTAAGGGCCAGCGTTCCGGTGCCCACCATGGTACGCACCTCGCATTCGCCTTGGCCTGCCAGCACCCTTTCATCTGATCCTCAAAAGGAGAGCCTGTCTGCAGGCCCGTGTTTCCTACCTGGGCAAAGGCGTAGATTCGGAGGCCCATTTGACACTCTGCAAAACTGCGAGTTTTGCCCAATCCTGTGGTTGGCAGCGATAAAAATGGCGACGGCGGCAGCAATCGAGACGGCGGCAATGACAGCAAGGCCGGGAACGATAGGAATGACAGGAACAACGGCAACGACAGTGGCAGCGGCAAATGACAGGTTTGCTTCAACCGAGGCGGTTAACCACCTTTAGTTTGCTTTGGATGGGATGCTGGCTGGCGTCGAGGCAGGCCACTACTGTGCCAGGTCTCTACAACAAGAATGGCTGGCATCGGAAGGCAGTACGGCTATGGGCCCGAATAGTAGGCGGAACTCCTTGCACATTTGCAAATATGAAGACTTATAAGAGATGACGGTACTGCGATCATATGGCCTTTGCGCTCTGTGGCCCAAGGCATGCCGTGCATTGGCTGTCGCTGCGTCCAGTAGGGTTTAGTAGACGCCTGAGTTTTACATTTCGTTCAATGTTGTGCAAGTATGCGATCTATAGTGCAGGACAAGCCAGGCAATGCAATGACCCGCGAGCCCGTGCTTCCCGCATCCTGCTCACGGAGCCATTGACCCTGGCTGGCTTTGGTGCAGCCTCGGTCACATTTGGACGTCGGCACTCACAGCTTGAGCGCGGCGCTGCCCAGAATGCCCACACATTGGGTACCTAGGGGCGATAAAGCAGGTCAATAGTGCAACACCAAGACCAGTCTCCTGGGGCTTCCTGAACCCAGGGACGAGGATGATCGTTCGGGCCTGCCGCATTTCTTTGGAGGACTCCCCGTGTGCTGAAGAAGGACGGTTGGACGGCTTGGACTGGTAGCCTGGAAGTCAGACAATATCGCGTGGGCGTCACACGGAACGTGACGCTTGCCACTGAACAGTCTCAGCTATCTTGGTACCCATGCAACCATGCTTGCCATGCTAGCTGGTGCCGGATTAACATCGACGCCACAGGTGACGCGAGGACTTGGCGATGTTGGGGCGTTCACAGGCACCATTTGCTTTTGCTACTTTCCTTGCAGCTGCCCCGTCAGCGCGACCATGCCCGCCTCCAGCCTTCTGTTTGTCCAGGATATCACCACAATGATATCTAGGTGTCAAGAGCACCATGAGCACATCAATTGGTCTTAATATCACTGTTTCTCATGATTTCTTGGACCGCAGGAGCAGTCTACTGGTCGGTCGTATAATCGTCGTTCTGTTCGGTTGCGATGAATAGTGAACACAGCTCTCCCTCGACTGGGCAAAAGGGATCAAAGCTGTCGGTGTCCCGCCGACGGTGAAAGAAGCAAATGAAGCTATATTCCTCCGAAGAGCAGAGCCTAGACGTCGTGCTCTGGCTGCAGTGCAGTAGCTAGCACGGTTCTGCAACGTCCCGCGCGAAGCTAACGACGTGCTAACGAGGCCGCGCGCCGTTCAAGGGGCTCCGGACCTGTCTCGACTCTTTCGCTTGGTCGTACAGGGAATGGTGTCGAGGTGAAAAGAAAAACCCCATTGCCAACAAAAAAACCAAGCCTGCGGGAATAGCCGCACTCGCCCAATCGTCTGAGCGGCTTCGTCTTCGGTGCGGAGCGATGCGCTTGCGCCCTGCATCTCACGGTCCGCTCAAGCTATCAATGTTCTCGCAACAAACCAGGACATGCAATCGACGAACCTACAGGCGCGCGCGCGGACCATGCGCGAAAACATGGACGGCGTGCAGCAGCTAGAGCGTTTGTGTTTCTTTTCTGATTGCCAATAGCCCGTCCGGCTCAGGCGCTGCAGGGGCAAGATGCACGACGCCGCCGTCCGCGTACACTTGCACTTGGAGCCGTGAACCGAGGTGGCGTGCGGCTGGGGTGCTATCCGGGTTGGAGGAAGCCATGAAGCAGTCGGCGACCAAGACAACCCCGGCCTGCATGCTCTGTCAAAAGTTAGAGACGCTAACTTGACTGAGTACCAAAGGGGCTTCCGATCCGCGTCGGCGCGCTGGGCGACCACCAGCCCGGTTCAAGGCTGGTTGGACGTCGGGGAAGCCACTGAGACGGCGCCCTGCAGGCGAGACCTTGGGGAATGGTCTGAAGTCGGCTTGTTGAGCCCTGGCTCGTCTTCTCATCCATCCTTGTTGCCCATCCAATCCATCTCGCCCTCCTCATGTCTAGCGTCTGCGGCGCCATCCATCTCACCTGCAAGGAAGGGGACTAACGCTCCACCACACCTGCTCATGACCGTCCCGCACTGCGCAAGCGCGCCTTGCTGCTGGGCCAGTGTTGTGGCTGCTGCCGCATGTCGAATGCTTGGATACCTCACCTTGGTCTTGGGAGGCCTTCCTGTTATGGTCGTGGCACGCCGACCCAGCCAGCCTCGTACAAGTCGATGAAAGGGCTTGGACAGGTGCGGCAACGAGGTAAGTAGTTCCCACTCACATGGGTGTTTATGCATCGGAGCCCCTGCCTTGCCTCGATCAGGAAACGAGTTGGCAGACGGCCTTGTCTTTGACAGACGCTGGCAGGTGATAGCATGTCGGTTGTTGTCTTCCCTTAAAACCGATCACATCCGCTTCACTTGCCGCTGGCTGCAGTTCCGGCCGTGTTCCGTCACCCAAATCAGCAACAGCCCTTCTTTACAAGGCCTAAGGTGCACAATGCCTAGATTACTTTCGCTCACGTACACCCGGCCCAAGCGAGTTGCATCGCTCGAGAGCCGCGGGTCGGTTGAGGATGTCAGAAGTGAGGGCTCGGTGCGCTCCGGTCGTTCTGGCTGTTCGGCCGGCATTCCAGACTCTCTAGCATTCGACAATATCATGAATGGCGGCACCTGTCCAGTGTGTATATACTCAAGCATTTCATTTCATCTCTGCAAGTCTGGGCTGACCCATGCTTTCGCTCGCATAGCCAATGACAGTTCGCGACTTCATGAACTACCTCGTCTATATCGAGCACTCGGCCGAGAACCTGCAATTCTGGCTATGGTACAAGGACTATGTCAAGCGCTTCAACTCGGCCAACACTGCGGACATAGCACTCGCCCCGGAGTGGACACAGACCATGGAGGATGATGCCATTGCCAGGATCCGAAGAGAGCACGCGGAAAAGCTGCGTCCGGAGACCAAGGCTGCCGAAATCTTCAAAGGGACCGACTTCGAGAAGAACACGCCAGACACGTCCGGCGGAAACCCTTTCAACACTCCGCCGCGAACCCCGCATAGCGGAACGGGAGATCACTCGTCGCTTTACTCGGGCCCTCACACCATGCCGTCTTTCGCGCCATCGAACTACAGATCTCATGCCGCTGAGACGTTCAATGCTGCCGGGGCCAAACAGCCATGTACGTCTTGGCGGCTCCCTTATGGTCTGGACTCTGAAGGACTTCTGTCGCTGACATTCTCTTGCAGTCACGATTCAACCATTCCGCGAAGAGATCGACAGGATCATTGCAACTTACATTGGGGAAGGGGCGCCTCGACAGCTCAACCTTTCCGCCTGGGAGCAAAAGGCGGCAGTCAATGCGCTCGCCCACACCACCCACCCCAGTGCTCTCAGAGGACTCTTCAAAACGGTCGACTCCTCGCTCCGTCGACAGGCTCATCCAAATTTCGTGCGCTGGTCCATATGCAACGGCAATCCTGCCCGCGTCTTCTTTGCCCGCGCGCTTGGCGTCGGCTTGATTGTCGGGGGTTTGGTCATGGGAGTTCTTCTCACGCTCAGCAAGCTCGGCAGAGGCTACCGCGCCTTGTCTGCCATCGCTCTGGTCTTGGGTATCAGCACACTTGTCGCCGCGTACAAGGGCATGTGTGTCGTTCTCCACGGCATACACCATCGCCATATCCGCCCTTGGGAGCTGTTTGTCCAAGACGATGGCGAGGATCTCGGCAAGCGCAGCTTCGACTCGTTTGGGTCCGACAACAGCTACGAGGACGAGCCCTGGATCGTCAAGTACGAGCGAAGGAACGTGATTCGCAAAGTCTTTGACCGGGAGGTCTGGATCCAGGAACCTGCACTGCGGCAGATTCAGGACACGATCTTCGTCCAGGCCATATTAGCATCACTGGTCCTGGGCGGCATTGTGACGGCAATATTTGTCGCTGTTCCGGGTGGCCATTTCATGTAAGATTAGCAATGTATTCGTGTGAACGACCTGGTTGAGTCTGGTTGGCGCAAGAGGCGGTTGTTTGGTCAGCGTCCGGCGGGGGCTCCTTTCCTTGACCTGTTACTCGTGGTGAGGGCAAAACTTGACGAATCGGCAGTACTCTGACTGCTTGCAATCCATACCTGTACAGCAATTTCAATCAGTTTGATGGACACGAACGTGTGTGCGTAGCCGTGGCTGTTATTCACTGGTGTCGCCGGCGCCAGCAGGGTGACGAGAGTGTGGCCCCGGAGTGGCGTCTCCAAGATCCGGGGACAAGGGCGAGTCAGTGAATGGCTGTTTTCCCCGGGTTGTCTTGGACCCCAGCCCCAGCGGGAGCACAGAAATCATCTCGGACAAGGCGGTCCGAGACGGGGTGTTAACTGTTCGGTCTCCCCAGTCCCCAGTCCCGACGATCCGTGAGCCTCGGTCAAACGGGACTGGGGGCCCGTTATCGATAAGCGCGGACCCTCCATAAGCTGCGGGCTCAACACCCCTCCTCAGTCCTGGATCCTGACCGGCCGGACTTACTCGGCCATTATCAGTAAACACATTGCGCACGCCCGGACGCGCGAGCGAGCCGTGACAACACTCGACCCGGTCGCAAGCTCGATGCACTACCCTAGCAACTTGCCACAGCACGGCGCATCCGCATCGACATGAGTCCCGCAGTCGAAAACCACCAGCCCAGCGGCTCCGCAGCCGGGCGGCGGGACCTCGCCCATGGAGGTGACCACGCGGCGGTGCAGCTACCGAGGACGACGATGTCGACCGAAGAGATCGACGATACCATAACGAGGCCTGGCAGCGTCAGAATCAATGTCAAAGGGGCATTTATCGTCGACCCGGATACGAGAACGCCGGCGCCTGGTGCCGCTCAAGGAAATGGGAGAGGCAGTCCGACACATCCCGAGACGAGCGATATTCGGTTGCCATACCACACGGCAGTGGTGAGCCACATCGCCGTCGATGTACGTATACTCCTCTAATAGCGAGCGTCTTCTCTTGCGTGGGTAGTGGACTAACCGACGTGGTGGTGGTGCAGATTGGCGGCTCTCTCATAAAGCTTGTCTACTTCTCAAGAGAGGTCCATTCGACCGAGCCCGGGGGCCGACTCAACTTCCAGAGCTTCGAGACCGATCGCGTGGACGACTGCGTCGAATTGATGAAAAACTTGCGCGATAAGCAGCTGGAGCTCAATGGTTCGCAGCCCAGCGAGCTCTGCGTCATGGCGACCGGAGGTGGCGCGTACAAGTTCTATGACAAGATCCGCGATGCGCTCGGCGTCGATGTACTGCGGGAGGACGAGATGGAGTGCCTCATCATCGGTAAGCTTCTTCCCAGGCCAGGGATTCCAAGTCCCGACGCTGACGAAAATCCGCGCAACCAGGTCTCGACTTCTTCATCACCGAGATACCGCGCGAGGTCTTCACCTACTCCGAGACCGATCCCATGCACTTCGTCAGCCCCCGCGAGGCCATCTACCCTTATCTCCTTGTCAACATCGGCTCTGGAGTGTCCTTCCTCAAGGTTACCGGCCCGCGCTCGTACGAGCGAGTGGGCGGTACGTCATTAGGAGGAGGTACATTATGGGGACTGCTGTCCCTACTGACGGGCGCACAGACCTTTGACGAAATGCTGGATTCAGCCGAACATGGCGACAATGCCAAGGTTGATATGCTGGTCGGCGACATTTACGGCACAGACTATGGAAAGATTGGCCTCAAGAGCACAGCGATTGCGTCTTCTTTTGGCAAGGTGTTCCGCATGAAGAATGCTGCGGCCAGCGCTGCTGCTGCACAAGCATCAGGAAGCACGGACGGTCAGGCTACACCAGCAGATGTCGGATTCTCGGATGGCGACATTTCGAGGTCGCTGCTCTATGCCGTATCGAACAACATCGGCCAGATTGCTTACCTGCAATCGCAAATCCATAACCTCTCCGACATATACTTTGGCGGGTCTTTCATTCGCGGCCACCGGCAGACGATGAACACGCTCAGCTATGCCATTAGGTTCTGGAGTAAAGGCGAGAAGCAAGCTTACTTCCTCCGCCACGAGGGTTATCTCGGCGCCGTGGGTGCGTTCCTCAAGCGGCAGCCAAAGAATTGGGGCAGGCGTGCGAGCCTGGAGGGAATGGATGAGGTATTGGAGTGGAGGCGGAACGAAAAGGCCAAGGAGAGTCAAACAGCGGTAGATGGCCATTGACGGCCATTGACGAGCAACAAAACGGTAGTTCATGGTCAATCAGCGGGCAGAACATGCATGTAAATAACATTTGAAGCATATGGCGGCTTGTTTGGGTACATTGGGAACGCATGGTCACGAGCCTGGAGGGCACGGAGGGCGTGGATGGAAGCGTCCAACCTGGCGGTAGGGAAGACATGGACGCCGTCGTGGTTCATTTGACCTGGTAAAGCGAGGTCGATCATCATCGAGCAGATGTCTACCGCTGTGGGATTCAGACATTGTACAATTGGACTTATCAGCATGAGCGTCACGTTGCGTATCCCAATGGTGCGATCGTGGCACAGCGTGGTGCACTACGGCGAGTGAGGAGGCGAATGTTCCCTTGTTTCGAACATCCAGGGTATTCTAGTATACATAGCTATACAAATTACCGTTTTTCCTTCATCCGAGAATCGATTATCGGCTTGTGCGTCGAGGTTGCCAGATCCATGTTTGGTCTACATATCCACAAATCCATGGACGGGCATGGCAGTGGCCGCACTGCGATGCTTTTTGGTGTACATGTGAGCTCTTTCAAAGGACACATCGCAGTGGAGCGATCATCTGTCGAGCGAATTGACCAGGCCGCCAGCTGGCGAGGCAGTGCAGTATGACGAAGTCCATAGCAGCGCCATTTCTCACTTTTTTGCTGGCGGCTCGTTTTTCGAGTCTTCAGGGGTTGGCTTCTCCGGTGGCGTGGAATCCATGCCAAGCTTATCCAACAGCGACCTCATCATATCCTCCATCTCCTTCTCTGCCTCCGGGTCAACGTTGCCAGGCCGCTGTAGCACCGCTTGCGTCCTTTGCCTCAGCTCCTCCACCGAGCAGAGGTCGAAAGCCCAAGATATGCCGCCCGTCAGCATGATGCCAAAGCTCATGACATTGAGCGTGGCGAGCCCGAGGGCTTGTGTGGCGAGGCTCACGCGGTCCGAGCCATCGAACGGCTTTGTGTAGCGGTTGGAGGTGTGGAAGGGCGGAAGCGTGTCGAATCGACGCCGCAGGACGGAGCGTCTGGAGACGGCGATTGACGCGGCGAGAAAGGAAGCGCCGGCGAAAAATAGGCCGAACTCGCGCACTTGCCGCATCAGGGGCGAGTAGGAGGCTGTTGAGGAGGTTGGTGATGGTTGGGGTTCTGATTTGCTCGGCTGAGGCGAGGCCGGCTCGCTCTTGTTAGGAGTCATGGTGGGCGTGGCGAACAACATGGGCGCCCCTTTCAAACAGTCCTTTGATGCCGCAAGCCGTCGCTTTCAGAAAGACAGGTGTTGCGCCGCTTAAACCTCTTGTGGAGATGGATCGTGGATGAGATGAGGTCTGAGTTCAGGTGAGAAAAGACTGGTGGTGAGCCGTGATTGGTGCGGTGCTTTCATGGCGTTGGCAGTTTCGCGCTGAAAAGGTCTGGCGGACATGACCTGCCGGCGTCCCAGCGAAACATCAGCGGGCCGCCGCGCTGTGCCCCACCGCCCGTCCATCTCTCCAGTGCGGATGCATGAACGTCGCAACTCACCAACCTCACCTTCGCTGCGGCAACGTCCAACCCGAAAACATCGTCTGCTCTGGGGTTTCTGTTCGGTGATTCGGTTCTATCTCTCGTATAGCCTCCCCATTTGCCAGCACGCACTAGTTCCAAATTCTCGCGTCAACTTTATTGCGTATTGGAGCCACGCGAATTACCCCAAGGCGCTCGGTTGCAACTTGCAATATGCCCAAACCCAAGGCTTCATCGAAGCAGAGCAAGCCCGGGGCCTCTACGCCTCAGACTATTCCAACGACGAGTCCGCCCAATTGGCCCCAATTTAAGCCGCCACTGCCCGTCGTTGATCTGACTCCAGAGCTTCATCCTGCGACATCCAAGATAGCCCTCATCCCGTCGTTCTTCCCAAAGTCTCTCTGCCGGGACTACGTCACATTCCTTAAGACCCTCCCGCTGCAGACCACGCCAGGGCGGCCAAAGCGCGGCGAGGCTGTGCGCGTCAATGATCGGTTCCAGATTGAGGACCATGCGTTTTCTCAGAGACTCTGGGAGCAGACTGGCTTGAAGGAGGCGTTGCTGGACAACGAGGAGCTGAGGGAGCTGTGGTGAGTGAACTTGACCACTTGAATCCGGTGTGTCGGCAGTGCTAACGGGGCGAATATTAGGGGTGGCGAGCCCGTCGGTCTGAGCCCCAACATTCGAATCTACCGGTACTCCAAAGGCCAGTATTTTGACTGCCATTGTGAGTGGACAACCCAGGCATATCCTTATCGCCCGCGCCCATCATCTCAGGGGGGTTGACTGACAGCTGGCTAAGATGATGATTACAACACTGTCACACTTCATGCCGAGCCACCGATAGCGGCGAAAACAACGTGGACTTTACTCTTGTATCTCACATCCGCCGCAGAAGGCTGTATTGGCGGCGAGACAGTCTTCTATCCACACGACCGAAAACTCCCGTCGGAGGAGATTGCCGTGCCTCTCGACACGGGCATGCTCCTTCTGCATAAGCATGGCGACGACTGTCTACTGGTGGGTGTCTTTTCGATCACGCACGAAGAGCGACGTTGGAAAGCTGACAGAAGTCCAGCATGAAGGACGGGAGGTAAAGGCCGGCGAGAAATGGGTGATCCGAACAGATCTGTGCGTTAGGCGGTGACGCTTCATGTTAGCAACCTGTTCATCTGCACCTCATCTTGAGAGAGACAAAAGTTCGTCGTAAACAAGGCCCGAGAAACAGCTTGGCGTTGGCTCGGTATGGCGTTGAAACGAGTGCCGCAACAGCATGGCGGCACCGGGACCGGCGACAACAGCGTATGAAGATCAATTCGACTAATCGATTGCTCAAGCCTCGGCATCGTTGCTTTTGGTGTAATCACCAGCAGCTCAGCGATTGGAGAAGGGTGGCGAGGGTCTGCCTCATCGTGCTCACAGGCACATTACAGTGGTGATCTTCCCAGCCCATAGTGTCGGTCCTATCCGTGCCCGGCCGTTTCAGAAGTCTGGGACGATGGGAGGCAGGCAGCGCGCATGAGCCGCCGTCTCAGCTTTTGGACTGGGAACAAGGCTACAGTCTCATAGAGCAGCGTGCAACGTCGCATTTGCACTTGAGCTGATTGAAGACTACGGGCGGCGTCAGGAAGTGCTTCTGCGAGTCTTTTGCTGCATCTTTTGCCCGCGAGCGCAACACAGGGGTGTGTGCGACCGTCATGTTGATATCACGCTCGATCCGTTACGTCCACTGTGCCAAGCGCATGGTTGCAAATTCGATTTTTCGGGTCGGAGGATTAGGTCCCCGTGCTTGTGAGTAACGGCAACACGAGATCTCACTGCGTCATTGGGGGGGATAGACGCGGCGAAACACTGGGAAAGGGGGAAACACAACTCTAGTCGTCGCGGAGTGGCTCCATCACGGCGATCTGTTACAATGCTGACGCCAGGGATGTTCAGCGGCTCTTGGACAGGGCGAAGGACGACGGCACTTCCCAAGGTCCAGCGGCAGAGCATCAACTGTGCGAGGGACTTTACTTCCTTGGGGACCTGACAGGCATCCCGTCCGCTCCAAGGCTGGCGACTTTTCCTCCACCAGGATACTCCTCCGCGGCGCAATGATGGCCAATCGGGCGTGCTGGTGGTGGCTGTCTTGCTACAGGTCGGGGCAGGGCAGCGGTGCGACGAACCAGGCGCTGATGGCGGGCGGTGCCGAACTGTGCCTCGAGTGGCACCAGGGGAAGGGGGAAGTCTGGGCAGGGGAATAAGCAAGCACAGCTCGCCTTCGCGCGAACGGGCGCAGCGGTCGGGTCACAGCACAGGACACCGTGTCGGACGCCGAGCTTGGGCAGGCGACGGGTGGGTGGACGGTCTCGCGGTCTGGCCGCCAGCAGGTCGTCGGTGAGCGGGCGGCACGCAGCAGCAATTGCGCGCGAGCTCGGCGCTTCTCGCCAATGAGTTGGTCGTGCGAGCCAGTGGCGCCAGAGTATTTACGGGGTACGAGGCGGCAATTACTGCTGGCCGCCCCAGGGTGACAGCATGGCCAGCCATCCGACTGATCAAGGCCGGTCCGTGGTTTCAGATGCTGTCCTTGTGGCTTCCAGGAGTCCAGCGGCCGCAGAATCTTCGACATTGGCGCCCAAGTCCCCGCCGAAGCCGTGGTCAGACGCTCAGAGACGGGTGTGTGCGGCCTGCGTAACCTGATGCTGAGCTCGCGTGCGCCAGCGCGAGAGTGCGTCACCGCGTCCTGCATCTGCGCCGTACCTGCAGATGGCAGCCTGTAGCCTAACCCTTTCCAGAACCTCGAAGAGCCCTGGGAGATTCGCAGAGCAATGCGCCGCGCCTCCAAGCCGCGGCCACTTCCCGTCGTGCCATGGACAAGCCTCGCTGCCCCTGTCCTATCAAATGGCTACCTATGCGCCAGAGGCCGCCGTCAGCACAGCCAGCTTTGCAGGATACGACGAGAGCACGACTGGCCAGTGACCAAGCACTGCTCGCCGCGCGTGGCATCAACAACTCCCTGTATCCCGCCTGGTGCATGGAAGCCCCAGGCTGACCCGGCGGTCGCTGCATCCACTATACTGTCGAAGAGAGGGTCCAGGGCCCCAGCTAAAGTGGAAACATTTTCCGTCACAACCATCAATTGCCCCAGGACAACCCTGCTGCCGAACGCTCCGCAACATAAAGCAAGTTGAGGAAGACGCCGTGCGGCACTGCATGGCACTGTAGCGGGCTTGGTACATCGCAAATAGAGGAGGCGGTACAAAGTACTGCGTACTCTGCTCCGTGGTACAATCTCGGGCGTTGGGCGGACAGCAGATGCGTGGTGGCCGCTTGAGACCCGAGAGGGGGGCCAGCGCAGCATCATTCGTCCCGCCAGTCTCAGACTTTTCCCACGCCCGCCTCCCGGGACAGCATGAACAGCCTCCAATACTCCAATACTCCGCTCAGCTCGTCTCCCTGGGCTGCCCCTGATTTACGACGCCTTCGTCCGGTCCGCATTCTTCTTTCTTCTCACTCCTCTCCTCCAAACGTTGCCACGTAACCGGATACACATTGCCGGAGAAAAGGCGTCGTCCGAATCCCCCCACATTTTAGCGACGTCGGTCATCGGGCGTCTGCCGAATTCCAACGAGGCCCGCCTGCCACCTGCGGCTAGCGAAGAATCGTCTCTTTCGCGCCCCCCCTAAGCCGAACCCCACCATTCTCGCAACTGTCAAAGCCCATCGTCCAGCGCCTCTTCCGAGACACCGCGCCTCGTGCAACGCCCACGCGCGCGCTCCAGCATCCGTCGACGACAGACTCGGCCGATACGACCAGCCCTTCGTTCTTGGCTCGCTCGGGCGGGTCCCGTATATTGTCAACGTCCGCTCCTGTTCGCGCCAGCGTATGCGTCCCTGGGCTGGTCACAGCTCACCGTCTGGGAGCGCTGCATCGCTACGACCGAGGGGTCTTTCGTGACCGACATTCGCAGCGCACACGAGCACGCGACGACCCATAATACCCCTACGATACAGGCGACGCTCGGAAACCCGTTGCGCATGGGTCTTTAGTTTCCCGAAGCGGCACAAGTGAAGCAAATCCGACTGCTGCCGACGGCGACGACATTGCGCTCTGGGACATGGAGACACACATCCTTGGTGCCATCACTCGTTCACTGTAAAACGCTTGGCCCAACGACAGGACCCATCAGAGCGTGCAATCGTGTGTTTTCTTCACCCAACCTCATCGAATACCTGTACTTGGCAGCGGTGCTGTCGGCATGGCTTACGAAGGAGGATATGGCGGGCCTGGCCAGCATCGCCCGTACGCTGGACCTGCAGCACCACGTTCTGCCCCTCGTGGGTACAACGACCGGCCGCCGCCCACGAGGCAGTACGAACCGCAGCCGCAGTACAATGACTACAATGACGGGTATGGCTACGAGGGCCAGGCCGGAGGTTATGGCCACCAGCCGCAAGATTACGGGCAAGCACCGCAGGGTCAGCGACGGCCCTCGCAAGACTATTACGGGCCTGGGGTGGGAGGTGGCGGCCGTCCCATGCCTCCGGCCGGTCGAGGAGGTCCAGGACCCCGGCCCTCCACAGCAGAAGATCATCGGGGGCATGCGTATCCGCCTCGTGGCAGGGGAATGGGACCTGCTCCTGACCGAGGTATGCCCGGTGGCAGAGGTGGCCCGGCCCCCGACTTCCATGGTAAGTACGCTTAGTCGATCATGCTGAAGAACTGTGGCTCAAACATCCAACCCCGCGTACAGGCCGTCGTCCGCCGATGAATGGGCCACCGGGCCGTCGAGAGCCTGGTTACAGCCCAGATCAGGCACTTCCCGACCAAATGTCAGCCATGTCTCTTCACAGCCAGCGGTCTGGCAGCCATCCGCAAGGCCGTTCGAGCTCGGAAAGTTATCGAGGGCCTGGAGAATACGGTCGACAATTTGCCAATGGGGCAGGCGGCCCTCAGTCCCGGGACTACCCACGACAGGGACCGGCCCCGGGACGGGAACCGGCAGGCTATGGAGGCTATGAGGATGGCTACAGTGCCGACCCCAACATGGGCCCGCGTCACGACTTTGGTCCCCCTGGCCGCAGCATGACCATGCCCGTCCAGGATTCTGGTGCGAGGCAGGCCATGCCTGCACCTCAGCGCGTAGACTCGATGCCGTTCAGTGGCCCTGCTGGACGTGGCATGCCTCCGAGGCCGTCAACCACGACCGGCACGCGTCCGGTGCCTCAACGGACATACCCCGAGGACGCAAGCGCAAATAACCAGTACGGCGGCGCCTACCACGATAGTAGGGGCTATGGAAATCAACCCGCGCCCGCTGTCGATGATTTCTTCGACTCATACTTCGATAACGACCCGGTAGGCAATACGGACCATGGCTCCCAAGCACCGCCGCATCGTTCGAGTCTCCCCGATTTTGATTCCGCGCCGCCTCAACGGCGGGGATCATTTGAGCAAGCGATGCTTCCGGGACCGCAGCAGCCTCACCAGGGCGCTCATCAGACTCCAAGACTGCATCATGCCAAGTCAGAGGCGAACGTTCGCGAGCCGCAGGCGGCCGTGTTCGAGATGGCCGGCGATATACCCTCGGTTCCTGCAGTCCCTCATATTAAGCCATATCAACCCGAATTCTCGAACGGATATGGTGGCTCTGGAGGCTACGAACCGATGCCACCCCCGGCCCGCGGGCCTAGCGTACCACCTGGTCCTGGAGGCGGTCCGCGACCCGGAGGTTTCGCTCGCGGCGACATGTCCAGGACCCATACTGGACTGTCACAGAGCACCAATTCCGACTCCTTGCCCTCTCATCCCACGCCTGTGCGTCCGGGGTTGATGGCGAACTCGATGGTCAGCATGCAAGACAGACCGCCTCCTGTCCGTAACTACACCGGCGTGCCGCAGGGCACTCCAGCACAGCCTCAGGCCCCCCCTCCTCCTCAGCAACAGCCGCAGCAGCAGCCGCGGATGGCTGCACGAGCTGGCCATCGGGTTCCAGAGGTCGCGCCGTTGGAGGAACCAGTGACGCAACAGGAGCTCGAGAGACTTCGGATGGTCATCAAGGGCAACGCGAACGACCAAGCCTCAGCTCTGAGGCTGGCAAAGAAACTCATCGAAGCGGCTGATGTGCTTGCACCTAGGCTGCCTGATCCCAAGCAACGTATGAGAGCGCGCGAGCGGTATCTACTGGACGCCCACAAGATCTTGAAGAAGCTTTCCAACGCTCAAAACCAGGATGCAATGTTCATCATGGCCGATAGCATCGGCCGGGGCCTATTTGGGCACGAACCGGATAATAAGGAGGCCTTCACACTGTATCAATCCGCGGCCAAGCTCGGCAATGCGGCAGCGGCGTACCGGACGGCCGTCTGCTGCGAGATAGGGCATGAAGAGGGGGGTGGGACACGCAAGGATCCATTGAAAGCCATGCAGTGGTACAAGCGGGCAGCGACGCTTGGCGATCCGCCCGCCATGTACAAGGTGGGAATGATTCTGTTAAAGGGACTGCTGGGCCAGCCTAGAAACCCGCGAGAGGCGGTGGGGTGGTTGAAGCGGGCAGCTGAGCAAGCCGATTCGGAGAATCCTCACGCTCTGCACGAGCTCGGACTGCTGTATGAGTCTGCACAGCCAAACGACGCCATCATCCGAGACGAATTGTATGCACTGAATCTTTTCCAGCAAGCGGCCGATCTTGGTTACAAGTTCTCGCAGTTCCGGCTGGGATGTGCGTACGAGTTCGGGCTGCTTGGCTGCCCGATCGACCCAAGACAGTCCATCTTCTGGTACTCTAAGGCAGCTACGCAAGAAGAGCACCAGTCCGAGCTGGCCCTCAGTGGGTGGTACCTCACAGGAAGTGAGGGTGTCTTGAATCAGAGCGACACGGAGGCCTATTTGTGGGCGAGAAAGGCGGCGGTCGCAGGGCTAGCCAAGGCCGAGTACGCCATGGGCTACTTTACTGAGACGGGCATCGGTATCCCAGCGAATCTCGAGGACGCGAAACGGTGGTATTGGAGGGCTGCGGGTAAGCCTACTGTCCCCTGCGGAAGGATTAAGTACGAAGAGCTAACGTGATGAACAGCGCAAGACTTCCCGAAGGCGCGAGAGAGGCTGGAGGACCTCAAGCGGGCGGGCAAGAACGGCTATCCGAGACAACGTGAACGTATATCGCGGAGTCGCATCGAGAAGCAGCAAGACGGGGAATGCACCGTCATGTAAAGTCGAGTCTAGTTCCATCGGCCACGAGCCTATGCAAACTTATTTGCTGCATGTTTGAGCAGGCCGACGCGGGGCGCGGCATGGGGAACCAAGCGTCGGGGTGTATGTGAGGCTGGTTGGTCAGGTAGACGCAGGTCATGTACGACGATGCGTGGTAGAGCCGGCGTTGCAATTTAGCACACTACCTGCGATAAGGCCGCGCGGCGACGTCGTCTTAGGAACTGCATCTGAGTATCCGTGCCGCCATTGGCGTGGAGCAACGGCCCCTCTTGCGGGACTGGGCGCGCTGTGCACGATCAGATACAAGCCAGTTACGTCGCTACAGGCAGACAGCCTGACGGTGCGATCAGCGAGATGGCGGGGTAGATCGCTCGCCGAGATGGGAGATCACTGTTCGGGGTTGGCCAAGGGGCCCGTTGAATGTCGTGTTATCAACACTGGCAGGGACTTCTTCCACCTTCCAAGGATCACTTTGCGCCAAGGAGGTATTGGCCCATTGGGCAGCTACCACCCAATCCCATGTTGAACCGTCCCGCCAGGGTTTATTCTCTATCGCTTGCCGAACAAACCACCAAATGCTGCACCCACGCCGCCCCCGCCGCCCCCTCCCCGGCCGCCATGGCGGCGGGCCTCGTTGCGGATCCATTCCTCGAGGAACTGGCGGTCAGCGAGCTTGCGGCCGTCAGTGACGCGCGTGGCCGTTTGGGGCTCGCCGGCGTCGAAGCTGAGCAGGGTGGGGACCGAGGTGATCATGTATGTCATGGCGAGGTTGTCGGCGCCGGAGACGGCCATGATGTCCGGGCTGTCAAACTCGACGGGAGCCAGGAAGACGCCACCCTCGGGCTCACCCACCCCGGACTCAACGAGGGAGGTGAGCAGCGGGAGGACGGTGCGGCACGTCGGGCACCACGAGGCGGTCCAGAAGGTGAGGAGGGGGGCGCGCGCCGAGGACGACAACGACAGGTGTGTGTAGAAGGAGTCCGGGTTGCGGATTCTGCAGGCCGGGCCGTTAACACGGGGTTACATGTCAGTCACGCGCCGGGCCTGATGGGGGAGGAGCAGCATCTCGAGCCACATTCTTCTTCACAATGCAAACAAAACCCTCAACCGCAAGGGGGGGAACGTACGGGTCGAGAACTTGATTCCTAGCCGGGCGGGCGGCGGACGAGGAGAAACTGGCAGCTTGCCGGCAAGCCAGGGGCGTTCTCATGGGGGCCGCGTGACGCTGCTGCTGACGATACGGCGGCTGGCGGGTGACGCGCCCAAGCGCCGGCACGGCCGGTGGAGTCTTGAAATGGCGAGCAGTGGCTGCGGCGCCGAGGCGGGCGGCATGCGGGGTGGCTGCCGACATGGCGAGGCGGCCGAAAAGCCCGTGCTGGCAGGTGAACTGTGGGTGGTCGTGGTCGATGTCTCGCCGCGGCAGATGCGTGGTGAGTGATCTCGTTGCAGGAAGGACTTTGGCGGCATCCACGTGTTGTTGGTTGCTGGGCTGTCGCCGCGCTCGCGGAACCGCGGGAAGCTTGGCCTGGGCTGGGATGCCTGGAGAAGCGGGCCCCTGACGGGACGTTTGCGGAGAACCCTGGCCGCCTGCGGTGGGCGCGCGCCCGCTGCGCTGTGGCTGTTCAAGGTTGCGGACGGGAGCGCTGTCGTCATAGCGCACACGTCACTGTCCCTGCACCGGAGATCGGCATGCGCTGGCTTCAGCTGTCTCCCGGCAATTGCTCGCTTCCAGTCCATTGCCCGTGGAACGGGAACATGAGAGGCGGAATCGCCTGGGCTCCAGAGACTGCACTGGGAGGTTGTTTCCAGCTAGGCCACCAGGGTGATTGACGTTCTGGCGTTCGGTTCTCCATCCACATGGGCATATCATCAAGCACTGCCCGGCTGTCGCTGGGCAGGGCGCGGCACCGCTCGAGTCATTGTAGAAGCTGGTAGTGACATGCACGGAAGCCACTGTATCAGCCCCCTTGGTCGTACCAGACATGAGTGAAATACTCGCCCAATTATCTCTTCTACGGCCGGCAGAATGCGACGGACATGCTCCAAGACATGCGCCAAGAGGTGAGCAAATCAATCGTCGAGCGCACCGACCACGCAACCCGGTGGCTGCTGCACAAGAGCCGCGCGCGCCGCCCTTGCTGCAGCGGTGCATCGTCATACTGCAGCCGTCGTGCATGATCTGAATGGATCTCCCGCACCAACCTCGTCCCATGTGCTCCCAGTCTAACGACCACGCAATGGCATCCAACCGCTGTCAGATGGCCTTACCTTCGACAGCGGGTTCGCCGCCTCCATCTCATATCTAGCTATGCGCTCATACATACCTTAGGTAATAGTCTATACCCCCCTTGGAGCGCTGGGCTTCCATGGTTCAAGGGCCTGAACCATGGGCTGGCCCGTGCCCCCGGCATTGAAGGAGAGATCTGAAGGGCCCGCTGGTGACCAACGAACGTCGGAGTCGAGAGACGATCGCTTCGAGTGCACGCCGCGCAGGGAGGGAGGCGAGGATGCATGTCGGGTGCCCATCCCAGTTAGTGGTGGCCGCGAAACATGTCCGCCTGACCTTGTGGTGGAGCGGTCGACGCCAAAACACGAGGGTAATCTGCGGGACAGCGCACTGCGCGCAGCATCTCCAGGTTCCCTTCGCGGTCAGCAGTTCGGGGAAGTCGCCGTCGCAAGGCAGCCGAGGAGGCGTCATCTGCATCGCTCGAGGTCCTGTGCCGTCGACTCGCTACAAGGTTGGTACACGAAATGTGAGGAAGCTGCTGCCCACTTGAACATGACGGTCCAAGGGCCGAGATAATAAGGGGCCCGGGCGGGCACCTAGGCGTCCCCGGAACGCCGGCTCGGTATGTAAAGTTGCCTGGGGCTCTGGGGTGACATCCGCGGCCATCATGGTCGTGGGTCGTTGGCGCTGAACCCCTGTAAAACGGTGGCGGCGATCGCTGAGCCGCGAGCCTCGTGCCCTGGGGTGGGCAACCTGAATGAGCCCTCCAGGTTCCAGTCAAGGTACCTGTAGGTCAGGCAGGAGGATCCTAGGAGGGGTGCTCGCGGGGCGCCTAGACGTCCCTGCCTTGCAGGGTACTTCGTATCTCAGGATGGATTAGTGTATGCGCCACGTCAAGTTTAACCTTATGATCCTCGACTCGCGCCTACAACATCGCGTTCTTTCTTCCTCTTCCTCCTCCCCTCAACAACAACCTCATCCCTCTGCCGATTTCCCTGGTGAGGTGCCCGACACGAAGGGCCAGAGCCGCATATCTCCGTCGCGTTTATTGTGCGCTGCGGCTCTCCTTGATCCGCTACTTCGGAAGCATTCCACGCAACTGTGGCGTCTCGACCACCCGCCCTCGCCGCACGCCCGACCTAGCCGACTGCAACTTTCCTCTCTCCGCGAGCTTCTCGGTGGCACCTGCCATCGCGTCATCTTCGGCGCCCTTGAATTGGCATACGCAGGGCCGCGTCTGGGGAGCAGCCCGTGGGAGAGGCTGACAGGAGCGACTGGTCCGCCATTTGTCCGCCGTCAACGCCCCTCGCCTCACCATGCGCGAGGTGCTCGTTGGAGCTGGCGCATAGATTGTATCTCGTTCCTCCATCCCGGATCCGAAACACATCTGCCTACTCTTCTCTCCTATCCTTTCCAACTCCATGGGCTCGCGCCGCGTCCCTATTCCTACTCCCCTCAGCACCTATACACCTAGACCCGTGGTATTCGTTGCATCAATCTCATAACAGTTCGATTTTGAACTGCATTTATTTGCATTCCTACTATTTACTGGCCTTGGATACGCAACTTCAACCCTCTGGTCTTGTTACTCAGCGGAACCAGGCTCGGCTCTCAGCGTCATCGTCGGAGAAATTGTAACCTCGCCATTGACTCAACACTATCACCCGCCCCATCGACAAAGGAAGCTTGCAAATTAGTCGCTTGCTCTGTGCGCGCATCGCAGATGTCGTCGTCAGAAGACTCCAGCAAGGGCGCCACGCCTCGGCGCTGGAAGATTCCCAGTCTCTTCAGGCCGGGGCCTAGCAGGGAATCCTCAAACGAGAAGTCAGGGCCATCGAAATGGAGTCTGGGTGTGCTCAACGACAAAGAGACAGTGGAAGTCCCAGGTATGGAGGTCCAATCACCTGCGTTTGACCCCTCGTTCAAGCAAAGAAGCGGCATGTGCCAGATGTATGCTGACATGCCATGCAGGCTCCGTTTTGCTCCTGGCCTCAGACCGCAACGAGCCGCTCGGCCTGCGTAACGTCAACGCCAGAACATCGCATTCCTCCATTCCAATTGGCTTCCCGCTTGATGTCCCGACAACGCCCGGGGGGACCAGAATCAAGCCGGACTCACACCTCCATCCTGATCCGCAGCAATCGGATCCCGTTGAAGACAAGAAGACAACCAGTGATGGCAATATCATCCTCGAACCTCAACCTGAAGAGTCAGCGAATGACCCACTCAACTGGCCTGCCTGGCGACGAGACGTTGCGCTACTGTCTTTGGGCTTCTACTGCATGATAGGTGGTGGGATTACGCCTCTCATCGCCGCCGGCTTCACCGACGTCGCCCGTGACTACGATGTTTCTGTCGAAACCGTCTCACTCACAACCGGCCTATACATGATGGGCTTGGGAATGGGCTCCGTTATTGCCTCTCCCACAGCCATTCTGTTCGGAAAACGTCCCGTATATCTTGTTAGTGCCATCGTCTTCATTGGGACTTGCCTGTGGGCGGCCTGGTCACCCAGCTTCTCGTCCCTGCTAGCCGCCAGAGTCTTCCAGGGCGTCGCGATCAGCCCGGTCGAGTGTCTGCCGTCTGCCACCATCGCCGAGATCTTCTTCCTCCACGAGCGGGCGTACCGAATTGGCATTTATACCCTCCTTCTGCTGGGTGGCAAGAACCTTGTTCCCCTGGTGAGCGCCGCCATCATAGGCAGTTTTGGCTGGCGCTGGGTATTCTGGTAAGATTGCTCTTAAAATACGCGAACAACAACCTTCCAGCAGCTGCTCACATTTGTTTAGGATTGTGGCCATGGTTGTCGGTCTCGGCTTCATTCTCCTCTTTCTTTTCGTCCCAGAGACGTTCTGGGACAGGACTCCGACGAGAAAGCCGTCAAAACGGCCGAGCTTCTTGCGTCGGCTATCGTCTCGCCACCATGCACCAACCACTGCGACTCCGTCTGGTCATGAGGATGCTGCCAGGCGGCCTTCATCTCCGGGAATAGAAGAGAGGAACACCAACCTCCATGTCGGCTTTGCGCCTGTAGCATCCGCCGACCAAAGCCTTCAGCAACCCACTGCCACCGTCGAGACTCCGGCGATAGCACATACGTCGGCGCGCCATGTCGGCTGGGCTGAAGCTAGGGCTGAAGGTGAAGAGCAGGGAAAGCATGAAGCCACATCGCCACCAGACAACCAGCAACCCGAAGGCCATCATGAAGCTGGGCCTACTGCCAACTCCCCACCCACAATGTCGGCAGCAAACATTCCCACAATACAGCTCCCGGAACATGAAATATCGGTTTTAGACAGCATTGACAGCCCAAGGCATACACTGTCACCGACAGCCAGCATTCGACGTACTTCCCACCTTCAGCACGAAAGTTCGCCATATTCCCACTCCGCCACTGGGAGTGAAGCAAATGTCGGTTATTCTGCACATGGGCCGAACCTCGACCCAGAAAACATACCGGCGTCCAAGCTCAGGGCGCCACTGAAGGTGCAGGAATACACGCATAATCTGCGCCAGCTTCCGCCTCAAACCTTCACCCAGCAGCTTAAACCGTATCACGGGCGTCTCAACAATGACAATTGGTTCAAGGTCATGGTCCGCCCCTTCGTTCTATTCGCCTATCCCGCCGTTCTTTGGTCTGCGGCTGTTTACGCATGCTCCATTGGCTGGCTGATCGTCATCTCCGAGACTATGGCTATCATCTATCGCGACCCTACAGTCTACAACTTCTCGGCGTTGCAGACGGGCTTGGTCTACGTTTCGCCGTTCGTAGGTGGGATCCTCGGAACTGGCGTTGCCGGCAAAGTCAGCGACATTATCGTGAGAGCCATGGCGCGCCGCAATGGTGGCCTCTACGAGCCGGAGTTTCGCCTTATCATGGCCGGGCCGATACTCATCACCACCGTCATGGGGCTCATGGGCTTCGGCTGGTCCGCACAGGAGAAGGATCACTGGATCGTACCAACTCTGTTTTTCGGTATCCTATCCTTCGGCTGCTCCCTTGGCTCCACGACATCCATCACCTATTGCGTTGACAGCTACCGCCAGTACGCTGGCGAAGCACTCGTGACACTCAATTTCTCCAAGAACGTCTTGCACGGACTTGTGTTCAGCTTGTTCGTGGCGCATTGGATGGCCGAAGACGGACCTAAGATGGTTTTCATTTGGCTCGGTGTCATACAGTTGATACTCCAGCTATTTACGATCCCGCTATACATCTACGGCAAGAGAGCACGCATGTGGACGGTAAGGCAGAATTTTATGGAGAAGCTGTGACGTACCACAAAGGGCGCCCTACGTTACTGGCGGAGGCAGGACGAACAAGCTGCGTGAGGTTATTACGATACCCAAGCGCAGAAACGCACGAACAGATCTTAGCAAGAGATGGGTGAGATAGAGACTGGTAGACGAGGGCTGGACCGACCTCGCATTACTGTTTTGCGCTTTTGACGACATTGGGCATGACGCATCTTCACTTTTTACCACAGCGCTTCACGAAGTCAAGATTTGGTTAGGAGTATTACAGGGCATCCTGGATCGTACATAGACTTTGGACACTTGACTGGGTGGCATACTTCTTCATGCTTGGGTTGCACAGCATCAGGCCTGATTGCATTCGCGACTGAATTAGACGAATACATTGGACGCATTGCCATGGGAGATATGGGCACTTTCCTGTCAACAACGAACTAATGAGCATGTACAAAGGTCTGTGGCACTCAACCAAACAGGAATGGTGTTGGAAATTGAGTGTCTCACTCGCTGGTTGAAGGCCGGAGGGTTCTCGCGAGAAGATTGTCGTATATTATTCAGTGCCGATTCCTTGGCAGGACGAACGAAGCCAGTTCCCAAATACTCTGCTCTCGAAGTAGCCGAAAACTCCCGCGGCAGCGCCACCAGTGCAAAGCCAGCCACGATGCGCCTCATGTATGTTTTGCTGGGACTGCCAGCACTAACGATGGCAGGTAAGCAACCGCAACGCGCGACCGGCAGTCCAGAACAACCGAATGGTATGGAGAATCGATCAAGTAACCCGCCCATGTGGAGTACAGCGCGAGTGAGAGCGTCTGGGCCGAAGCAGTGTTGCGTCGACGGGGAGCTCGGGGGCGTGAGGTGCATCGGCCGGGCGGACGAGGGTCATTCCTGCAGTAAGTGGATTCCACCATACTGCGTCTACATTTCACCCGCTATGGATTCTGCTATGGATTCTCTAAACTCGCTCGCTCGCAGGGACGGACGTGCCGTGTGGGTGCGTGGAAGGCTTGGAGTGCGTGCAGGTGAGCAAGAAGTACAAGATACCGGGCGTGTGCCAGGTTCCGAAGGCAAAGGCGAGCCCGTCGGGGGGTGGGGGTCAGTAGGCAGGACCTTTCACAACGTAGGGATTTCCAGATCTTGAGGGAGAGGTGGCTCGTTATTCTACGTTTGGTTGAATAAAGTTGGCCGTCTGGGTGATTATTGTTCATGGCGGAATTCGAGAACTCGCGAGTGAAGATGGTGGATGTACTGGACTGGCAGAGCTGCAAGAGGTACATTTAGGCAGCGCGTGGGGCAAGGCTGAAGAACACTTTGAAGGAGCCATTTGATGTCTCCAATTCCGTTGCCATGAGGTATCATCTTTTGGTGAGAGTGGTAGTGAGAGTTCCATGCTTGAAGTCAGAGGCTTCCAGTAGATGAGCGCCTGTGACGCTGGGCGGTCAGCCGGTCATCCACTGAACGCACCCCCACAGAATCCGCCTCGTCAAGCTCTTACAACCTCACTTCACCCATTGTTCACACACCAGCCGCCAAACTCAACGCAGCACCGGCCTTTCGATTCCCATGACCAAAAGAAACCCAACATAAGGCTCATCCGTTCATTGCCCCCAAGTCCTCAGCCAAACCATGTCCAAGGTTCCTCCGCTGCTGGAGCCCTACCTCGGCCTGCCCCCGGAGGCGGCCCTCGTCGTCCTCACGAGCGTTCTCGGCGCAAGCACCAACTGGCTGGTCCAGAGGTTTCTTTATTCGCTCCTGCGTCATCGCCAGAGGGGCTCGGATGTGGACGCAGAGGGACTGGGCGAGGGACATGACGTGGGTGTAGTGCTCGTCAGCTTCATGCGTGACGGGGCTTTCTGGAGGGACGGGGCGAGCAGACTGGTCAGTTCTTTGATGCGGCTGCCGACGAGTGGTAGTAGCCACAGATTTTATGAGGCAAAAGGCTGACTTTGAATACCAGGGCCTGGATCTAGATGCCCTCCGGAGAGCGGGCAAGTTCGCCTTTGTGGACGGCTTGACCGGCTTGTTCGTCCCCGCACAGCCGGACGCAAAGGACCGGATACTACGAAGCGCCAAGCTGGATGACGTCGGCAAAGGCATTGAGGCTGCCATAGCAGAGGTGCGCGCGAGCAGGACAGTCCTCATCGTTGACCAGATGGACGCCCTGCTCGCGGTATCCAATCCGTCCGACACGGTGACGAGCCTCTCCATCCAGAACATGCTCCTGTCATTGCGCGAGGTGAGTGACACATGACCACCATCCCAATCCCACATGGACCGTTTCTGGAAGGTCTGGAGCATTCAGCATGGAACTGACGCGATCTTGAAATCTACCTGGCAGCGCGTGCATGCCACCGTTCTCACCCTCGCCGCGGACGACCCGCTGCTGCATCCGCAGGCCACATCGCTCGAGCGGGAGCACGCCGCGCTCGCGTTGTCGCAGGTTCATGCGGCCCGTACGGTCATGGCCCTGCGCATGCTCGACACTGGTGCTGCGAAGGATGTGAGCGGAGTGGTGCGCATCACGGCGCGCGGGACTGACGAGGACGGAGGCGAGGCGGCAGGGCAAGCGGAGGGCGATGCCGAGTATCTCTACTATGTGGCTGGTGATGGCGGCGTGAGAGTGTTTGAAAGAGGCACATGAGTGTCTCCATGAGCACCAGCATGTACATAAATCATTGGGTGGCTGCGTCGTCGGCCGACTTTCATCGACAGCGCCGACGATGGCAATCGTTGCAGAAACGACATACGACATACGATATCCCCGAACGTACAGCTGTCAAGGGCACAAAGACCAATGCATAGGTGCACGCACAAGAGACGTCTCGGGTCTCAGAAGTGCCACCCAGCAAGTCTACATCCACAACGCAGGAGCAGCTCCGCCGAGCCGGGAAGGACAGGAGAGGACAATATGTGACGAATCAAGATGCCATTAAGACGTTCGTGAACCGACTGCGAATGCCCTCACGGAAATCTTGTTTCTCTGGGCAGAAAGCAAAAGGCCCGTTTTGTACCTTGCTTAAACACGTCAAAAACACCGTGTCCCATGCTCCGGCCGCCGCTTTCCCTTTCTACACCACCAGTCGCCGCCAGTCGGTCCAGCTGTAACCCCCCAAAAAAGTGAGGCGTCCAAGCAGGTAGACGTAGCGCTCAATTCGGTCGTTCCGGCATCGTCGGCCGCCATCGAGCATGCGCCATCCCTCCTGCTCAACAAGTCTCCCCTCCCCTCGTGGTCCACAAGAGTCGTTCCGTCATCGTAGCTTTATTGCTTTTTTTGTCGTTTGGGATGCGATGGCGAAAATTTAAGAGGACTCGGACTTGGGGGCGCTGCGGGCACCCTTGGGCTGGCCGGTCTGGAAGCCGTTGTGGAATCGTCGGGACACGTCCTTGAGGTAGCGCATGCGGCCGGTGCCGACGGTCTTTCTCCGCTTGGCCTTCTCGCCCCAGTTGACTGTTAACCCGCACCTGTCAGCGTCTTTGCACATTTCGGAAGTCTCGACGGATCGGAACGAGTTCGTTCGGTTCGGTTATGGAGGTGAGGACGTACACTTTCGGGTCTTGGCGGAGGGGTAGCCGCAGGAGGAGCACTCATGCTTCTGGACGTGCAGCGAGCGGCGACCTGTGATATTTTCGTCAGCAATTCTGACCCAACGGACAGTCTTTTTCGTTCCGAGTCCGCAGTTCGCCCATGGCAATTCGCCCATGGCAGTCCCTTCTCGTCCTTCTCTTGCCGGATCTCGCAACGGGCTGTGGGAGGACTAACCGCATCGTCGGCACAGAACGTGCGTCTTGTTGTGACGCTTACCGAAGCTGGAGGTACCCTTCGCTGCAGGAAATCGTCAGCATTCACGTTCCGTTCATTCTACCCTCGTCCGGGCGCTCGATTGCCGTCGAGGAAGGCGTCGCGACGTACTCATTTTGGCGGTTGTGGCTGGGCGTGTGGTTGATTGACGATCAAGGAAATTCTCGAAATGCAAGAGGGCTTTTTTCGGTGGAGTGTCGAATTGGACTGGCTAGCCCTAATTGCAGTGGAGGGCGGATTCGGTGGGTGGGATGTTCCGGCACGGTCATGTGATATTACCCTCGCTCAAACGCACGTGACCGACCTCTGCCCCAGGCCCGCGCAATACTGGGGCGGGCCTCCAAGATAATTTTAGCGAGTCAGCGCCCGCATCTACCCGTAGAAGCCCTGTTTGACGGCAGTACTGTACATAATGTATTCCTCCCCTCATGACATGTAACCATGGAATCATGGACAACCGGACTCGGCCAATTTCCTCTCGCGGTGCCATGAGGAGCGAGTAGAGTAACTGCGGCAAAGTGCCTTGCAATCTACCATGCTCGCTCTAAAGAACCTTGAACCGGCACATCATATGTTTGCATATAGCTGATTTGACGTGATTCATCAATTATAGAGGTATCTTTTACGCCCAAACTCATGTCCCGCAGCCTCAAACAAGTGTCCAAATATCCCATTTCCCCTTGACTCCGTCCATAACAAGTCGTACAGTAAATGCATTCAATAGTAAGTCGCCAACGGCTCGCTCGCATGACAAATGTGGACCGTACTGTCCATTCGGTCCTCAAGGGAATACTGAGGGTCCAAACGTTTCGCCTGGCATGAGATGCCTGGTAATGGCCTTGCCCTCGAAATCCAACGTCTGGAACGCACCGACATTGCCCCACCAGTCTGGCTTTTTCTGACTTGTCAGGTACAAGGTGAAGAAGATGAGAAGTGTTGAGAGAATGAGGCCGCAGTCCAGAGCAGCCGACACGATGTAGTTGTACTGCAACCACCAGCCCGTGTAGCGACGCTTAATGAAGTGGTTGAAGATGATGCCGACGACGCCCCAGCAGAGGAAGATGTAGACGGTGGCGGGTGGCAGCAGCCCCGTGCCACCGTAAATGACCGGTGTGCAGATATATCGCCAGATGGACTTTGGCCAGCGCCGGGCCAGCAACCAGGTAACAATAGGTGTTATCGCACCAACGAGCCAGAACCACTGAAGAGATGCGTACGTCGCGCCGTGGCTAAAAATACGGGCTGGCCCGATGGCACCCCAGACGACCGAAGCGGTATAGAAGACGCGGCCGTTCGGGCACGAATAGTTATTCGGCTGATCAAGGCTGCACACGTCGGGGATCTTGCTGACCGCCCAGTTCATAACGCCAATCTGCACGATGGCCGACCAGACTGAGGCGATGAGCTGAGAAGCAAACATGACCCGAGGGGGCACCTTCATGTAATGGCCAAGCTTGAGGTCTTGGGAGAAGTAGAGGGCCTGCGACATGGAGATGTAGCCGTAGTTCTTGAACATCATCATGGCCAGGGGTCGTCCGGGGACCATGTAGCCAATGATGAATTCGGTCAAAACGTTGAGCCCGAGCTGGATGTTGGTAATTGCCTGAATGAGGCCAATCGGGATGAGCCAGATGATGGGCAACATCATGCAGACGACATACGCCCAAGCCGGGAACCCAGTGGGCCAACCTGCAACGACTCCAAAGGAGATGGCCACCATGACCACGAAGAGAGCTAGGTCACATTTAGCACGGGAATGCATCATTCACAGAGTTGTGTGCGGCGACGATGGAAACTTACCAGCATACCACCAGTCCTCAGCATCGCGGTACTTCTTCATGAGGCGCATGTGAACATCGTCCTCCTGATGGCGAGCCATCTTGAATTGTCTCCAGATTTCCTTTCCGTGGTAAAGTCCGACGTGAATGATGACAGCAGACATGGCGGCAAATGACAGGCCGTACGCCATGGCGAACTGCGTTGAAAGGTAAAGAGGAGAGTATTCTTTGTATGCCGTCTCGTTGAACTCGAAATTTGCGTCGAGAATGCGACTGACATTGTAGATGTTGCCCCTGTTGTCATAGGACTCGGACGACTGCACAGGCAGATAGTCGGCGTACCAAGTGCCGCTGAAATGGATGCCCATGGAGACGAAGACGAAAAAGACGATGATTCCTCCAAGGACATTAGCAATGGCATGGAAGGGGGGAATCAGTGGCGAGCCGACAAAGCCGCTGACGATGCTCCAATCGAATGTAATCGGCATCAGACCGTAGCCGTGCTGCCCGCCAAAGACCTTATTCACGACAACGTTGTTGGGTGCAATCCAGCAGACCCAGGCGAACACAGAGAGGCCCCTGAAGATCCAGCCGGGAAACCAGTAGTAGATGAAGGCGCCACAGCCTATGATCAGGAAGAGCCTGTAGCGGCCAATGGACCAGCCGTTAGTCTTCGAGGGGTCTGATATCGAATGGTCGTGGAGCGTGTAGAACAAGGCGCAGTTGACCAGATCCGCGGGCCAGATCATAGCTGCAGGCCAAACCAAGAAGCGCCGAGCCAGGCCGGCCAAGCCATAGCCAGTGCAGAGCGTGGTGATGCCGAAGAGAAGCTGGAACGCGATGCCGAAGTCCTGACCGTAGAAGACCTTTTGCGCGATAAGAACATCCGTCGCATACAAAACTCCGCCGCCATACGCCGCCTATCAGACAGTGTCAGTCAAGATATTGGTTATCAATAATAGCGGCTGTGCATACATTGGACATCGCGACAATGACGACATGTTCCTTGTAGTTGAACTTGCCAGGTCGGAGATTGAATTTGAGACCAAAGAGGTTCCATTCGCGGTCTGGCATGACGAGATCCCAGCCACGGCCGATTGGGTACGCGATCAGCTGGATAACATAGGTCGTGATAGCGACACTCGGGTTGCGCAGTGAGAAGAGCATGTTGACACCGGAGCCGACGGTGCAGAGAATCAAGCCGATGACCCAAGCCCGTATCGTATTGGCGGGAACATCGACATCGTAGTTTCGCACTACGGCACGAACCTAGACGCAGCACGCATTAGACGAGATTTGACGAGAGACAAAGCCAGCGGGCATGACCCGCGAAGAGAGCAGCAAGAGAACCCCGGGGGTTCATGCAGGCGACAGAAGCCTCGGCAGTTGGTGACAGGAGGGTTACTACCTCTGGGTAGGGACTGTTGTCCTCCATGAGAGCATGCTCGATCTCGATGCCTTTCTCGGCATTGCCGGTTGCGATAGCAGCGTCTACATCGTTGAGCTCGTCGATGGGGAGATTCGGATCCAACTTGTGCGCCTTCTCAAACTGTTGGAGATGCTGGAGGTGATCAACGCCCGACGCATTCGACTCGAGAGGACCCGGAATGGGCGTGATCTCCTCTGCCTCGTGGCGCTTGCGAAATAGAAGTGATCGCACCATGATGAATGGCTATCCCACACGGGCGGTGGGTTGTTGTGTCGGTTCTGGTGAGAGCACAGTCAACCGTCTGGCCGTTCGGCGCTGGGGTCGTCAGGATGCCGCCGCCTGGACCACGGCCTCGGCGCTCGTCGTCGTCGTAGTCGTCGCGGAGTTCGTGGTCGCCGTCGTCGTCAGTCGACTGCCGGCCGTCGACTGTCAACTGAGCGAGCGAGAGTTGAGCTGGGCTATGGGCCACGTCTCCGGGTCCGTCTCTTTGGCGAGCCGGTATCTCTGCGGATTGACAGCCTGCTGTTGGACAGGAAGGGGAGGGCAGAGGGGAGGGACGAAAGACGGCCAGCCTGCTTTCTGCGCCCTTGGCGCACGAGGACTGGGATGCCCGCCAGTGGCAGTCGCACCGTTTCCGCACCGTCCAGGCTCCCCCTGGTAGCCGACGACTCAGCTCTCAGTCTTTGGGGTCCGGTCACCTCTCAGTACGGGGGCCGCCGCCCAGTGGGAGAATTCCCCGCAATCTGAGGTGGTCTGGGGCGCCGCAGACCCTTCTCCCCAGGGCGCTCCCAAAGGTACCTTGGACTTGCCGCAGCCGGGGACCAGTGGAACTGGAAGCTCGCACGGCGGCCCTCGGTGGGCCCGGCCTGCCCTGCGACAGGCTCGAATGGCACCAACAGCCCGCCGTCGCGAGCGAGTCCAGAAGTCCCGGCCCTGCAAAAAGGACCTTCCATCTGCATGCAGCACTCGCTTCCGGCCCAGCTCGCACGGTGCGTGCGTCGGCAGGCCCTCGAGGACTTTCGCACTGCCAGTGGAGTTGGGCTTGCCGACGATCATGTGGAATGCGGAAGGCGGCTTTGCTAGGTGACACTGCGCCGCGACGGCCGCTCGGCGCTCCGGCCAGCGGGCACCCTCGCATCAGTCGCACTGTGCTCCCCTTGGCCCGACCTGCCTATCCGGGTGTAGCCGTCCACGGGGTGGCTGCTCCAGCCCCGGCCGTCCTCCAGCCAGCGACGCGGCTTCAGTTCCAACCTTGACGACCCCCTCCCACATCCCCCAAGCGGCACGCGTGGGCCGAATGATGGTGCCGTGGCACGGGAATTTCTTCCCTCCAATTCGTGCAGCCCGTCTTGCCCCTTTCACTGCGCTAGCTGCTTCTAACAGCCCTTCTCGTGAATTGGCCTTTTGGCACCAAGGCCCGGCCAGCCACTGACTCGCGGCAACGAGATGCGCGCCTGGGATCTCGCGGCGTCCAGCGGGACAGTGAATGTCGCGCCAACAAGGCGACACAAGCAGCAACATGGACAAAATCTGCCCAGAACCGACGCTGGCAGTCGATGGACACGGGAATCCGTCTCAGCCGGATGACGAGCCCCGACCTGCCTTGTTCGCGAGGTGGGAGACCGCCTTCAGTCATCAATCTGAAGGAACCAGAAGAGCCTGCAGGGTCACTGGCCAGCCAATGGTGTCGTCGCGCCATGCTCCAATATCTCAATGGTGGCGCCGCGGGTGCTTATCTTTGTGCGCCCGAATGTTGGGCACTGTTGTGCTGGTGGCTGCGGCCTAGTCTTCTAGCGAGGCTCTTCAACGGCACCGGGTCTCAGGGCGTCAGGCGTCAGACAGTGCCTGCAACTCCAACCGCGATCGGAGGGGCTCAGGCACGACGACGTTACTGCGCGCACTCAATGACCAGTCAGCAATCTGTTCGCTCGTGATGTCAGCTTTGATCTGGCCATCGCCAGCATTTTTTCTTTATGCTGCAAGTCAGCCAGCCTGGGACCACTTCCGCTTCCAAGCGAAATCCCTCTAACCTTCTTGACATCCTATTAATACCTGAACCCGTCTCGCCTCCACTCGGACAGCGTCCGTTGCAGAGAAATCCACGTCGGGAGACAGTTCCAGATCGCCGCCGAGTCTTATTTCGCCGAAAGCGATGGAGAGTGTCTCTGAATAGCACCCTTGATGAATGAATGGGTAGAATGACTGCAGGACCGACTTCAATCGTACTCAGGAAATACTCGTGAGTCGAACTAACAGGGAGGCCACATGTTCACCTGGAATGCACAACAGCTGCCCGAGCGACACGCAGGTGGATCATCACTGGCATCTCGTATCTCTCTGGGCCGAGACAGTGACTACCGTCGAGACATGAGTCTAAGCCGTCGGCGTTGGTGCCGAGCAAATGAGACAGTCGATATCACGCCGATGATAGCACTCGCACATACCCAACGACCTGCCGCGGTCAACTACAGCCATGGGCTTCAGACGTCATATTGCAGTAGTGATCCAGTGTCACCCTCAAGCAGTATGACAGGTCTGGGGCGGCCTGCCTCACCTGAGCAGCCGTGGCTCACACCAAGAATTCGCATTCGCTAAAGGTTTGAGGACGATGACATGTCCCGACCTGACCTCCCATTGATATAGACCCTTAGAGGGCGAGCCCCATGGTTTTAACGCATAGCGAAGCCAGCCTGGGGATGCCAAGACCTCTACGAAAAGCAGAGTGTTGCAAACAAAGTTTCTATTAGGTCGCATGGCAGTTATTTTCGTCCTTGCATTATGCCACGAATGCTCAGCTTTCATGTTGCTTCAGAGCGGATCCAAATCTGCGGCGTGGCCCATTGACACGTTCCATAACGTCGACCGTCCGTGAGTGACCTTGCGCCACTCGTCTGTGTCCCGAACCACTTCGACATAGCCCTTTACCGCATCCAGCACCAGGTCGAATCTCTGCTGGTCTAGCAGGCGCGCAGCGAAAGCTACTGCATGTGCGTCCAGGATCGTGGGCCTGTCGCCGAAAATCCAGGTCTTACCCTCGCCTTTGTGGACTTCAAGAAGGGTAGCCAGATCTGACATCAAATCATGCGCTTGGTTCTCGGCCCGCAGAATGTTTTCTGGCTCAAGAGTCCTGCTATAGTATGTATCATGACTGGAAGCGAACAGTGCCGTCCCTACGCGTCAGTCACTCGGTCACCAGGTGGGCTGCTTGACGCCACTTACAAGACACTCTTGATCTCCAGCGCTCTCCGGTGCGCTTCCGTGAGCTCCGGATCCTCGAGCATCGCGGCGGCCTGATTCTGGAGCCCGTCTTTCCTGTCGTCTGGTGCTACAAGCAGCGCTTTGGCATGGTAGGCGTAAATCTTGTCCATGACACGCTCAATCGTCTCGCGATGCTCTTCAGGCAACAATTCTGGCTGCTTCTGGCACAGCCACCCGGCGATATCACGGCTCTCAACAAGATTTGAGTCGAGCAGCGGCGATGTGAGGGCCGGAACCTACTCATGCGTTTAGCACACGTCGAAGGCAGAGGGGCCGGACGAGATGTGTGGAGGAGGCTGAGGGCCCCAATATGCAGGCATGGGTGGGACCAGACGGGGACTCACTTGACCCTTGGGATTGACTTGTGTGAGATACCTCTCCGAGTAATTCTCCTCTCGATGAAGGTTGACCATCTTCACTTCGAGCCTCGGCGCTGTTTCGGGATTCAACGCCTGGCCGAGAACAAAAGCGAAACGGGACATGAGAGAGTACAGAGAAAAGGGGAAGTAGTGCAACGTGTACACCGGGGGGGCTTCGTCCGCCATCGTGAACTTGCGTCAAGAAGCAGATGCCCCGAAACAAACGCAGGTACAGTGGTCTTCGAAAGCCAGGTCGAAGTCAACTCGAGGGGTAGGAGAAGCTAGTGGCGAGTCCGAGCAGCCTACTGCAGGTTCGTTACCAGCACGAACCACACAACGTACAGGTTGGACTGGCGCTCTCAAGATATGCGAAAAGGTCAGCCTCGATGACGCCGTCCAAGCAACCACCGACGCGGCATAGCACCCGCGAGGTTGAGCCTCCTCAACAGCGGACAAAAGTGGATCTGCCGTGCCCCGGACCGGCGTCGCCGTGGACGAAGCCCCGACGGCGCGTACCCGGTGGAGGCTCTGGGCCGTGCTGCGCCTCACTGGCGGCCGTCGCAGGGCTACCACAGCCGGTTCCTGTTCTGGACCCTGAGATCCATCCATGTCTCTGTTGCTCCTCTGGGGCGAAGTCTCGCATTCCGCAAATTGAGCGCGTCAGGACGGACGCCTCGAGCTGCGATTCAAGTTGCCCTTCTCACATGACGATCAAGCAATGTGACACAGCTCCCCGTCACAGTTCCGTTACTCATCTTCCTCGGTAGTTTTAGACGTGGAACGGAGAAGCGGGGATTTGATGGAAGTGACGGGCGAGCCTTTCTACAGGCGTGCGAGGGCATGAGGCTCCGGCTAGTGAGACATCGAACGACGAGAGCCGCGGGGTTAACTGAGGGGAGCTTCGGGAGGTAGAACCCGCCCGTTGCCGCGCTTCCTCGATCCTGCAAAATCGACCCATGCCACTCAATGGCTCGGATGCTTGGTGGAACGCAACCAATTGCGGTGTCTCCGATGGGAGGCCGCAGCGGGCCCCGTGAGCCGCAGATCCACCCACGGCAAGGGGCTTCGACGTCAAACGTCACCCGCGACCGTGTTCGCGGGGACTGCAATTGCTTGCATCCATACCTGCATGAGATCATGGGTCACGAGCACCTCGACAGGCCTCACTGGCTGAGCATGTGGCGTCATCCCGAGCTGTTCGTCAGGAGTCGGTTTTACAGCCATGTTTGCATTGCAAGTGCCGACGGCATACAGGGGCGGGTCGCCTCAGATGACGAGCTACCCGGGACCAAAAAGAGCAAGCACTAAACTTGTTCAATGATGCTTTCTCGGGAGGAGACTGAAGGACGGTCTCCTTGATAGCCTTGTCTTATGTTGCAATGCTTTAGTGTTTGTAGCAAGTTGAAGACTCGCTCTTGAGCATTGGTGAACGCGCACATCTACGCCTAGCCCCTTCTCCCTTTCCTCACCAATGTCCCTTCGATTACCCAGCGTCATGCCATCGCAACTTTTACCTCGGTAGATGGACTCTTCTCGACGACTTTCACACGAAAGTCCTTTACGTTACCGAAACCTATTGCATTATACTGATTCTACACTCAGAGGCTAATGCTATGCGCAATCCAGCACATGAAGCAGGACCGTATGCAAGGCACGTACCCGATATATGCGACGAAGAAGGTAATGGACTTCTCCTAAGTGTCCTGGTCTGACTACATTCTCATCCCTAGACGAGCTTCACGAATAAGCCCTTGAGCGCAAAGCAGCGCACGCGCCGGTGCCCAAGTCCTCTCAATGTCTGCCGCCGGGCAATGTCCAGCCTAGGTACGGGGTTGGATTGCCAGTCGAATGGTCAGCCATCGAGTCTCGGCAACGTTGTAGATTATGGCGCAAGGTGGTATCAACTGGCGCTGTTGATGCTCGATACAAGACCACGAAAAACGACGGCCACGGGTAGGAGGACTTCCCTTGGCGGTGACGGCCACAATCCCTGTTACGGCTGGAAAAAGGTCAAGGGACACACTGCTTCGTATTTCTACCTTTATTTCGGCCGGGCACCCATAGAGAAGATCATCACATGTGCGACGAGGACATAGGTGACTGCGGCCGCGCCGCTCCGCTCCTTGCGTTCTTACAGCGACGCGACTCCCTGTCTGCCCTGGTATCCCACGAGAGTGATTTCGTGGACCCCATACGCGCCGGTGTTCGCTGATCCCTGACAAGCACGTCTTGAACTTAGCTGGAAACGTATCACGCAGCGTGCATCCAATATAAACAATGCACAAGATGCTTGCCGAGTCGGTGAGTTCGAATAAACGTCGTCACTGGACTTCACGTCTCCGAGACATGCAGCCCGCTGTCACACCGAATCTTGCCAGCCACAGCATGCTCCAGTCGCGCCCCGGTAGGACGGAAGTGTGATGGAGAGTCAGTAGCCGCTGCAGGTAGCCATTCTGGTGGGTTTGCCTGTTCCGTCGCCCCGTCGGTTCCAACACAGTGGCTCGTGGCCTGGCGTAGCACCAGCCGGGCGACCCACGAAGCTTCGGGCGAGAATGATGTCTTGGCGGGCCATGTCTCAGTCATCGATCCGGGCCAGGGGACCTCGCAAGGGTTCCCGCGGCGGTCGTCACGCTGGCACTGGGCGGCAGGCAGAAGCTTGGGACACCAGTCAGCGGGCGCGCCATGGATGGGGAGCGAGAATCTCAGCCTTCATTATCGGACAGCGCTTCAGCCTCTTGGGCCCGGGTCCGGGACCAAGACACCCGCGTGACGCAACTCGTTTATGGATTTCGTAGAAGTTCCAGAGCTGAGTGAAAAGGGGCCGGCCATGTGAGGCGGGAGTACGGACCATGAGCAACTGATCAGCCGCGATATTGGTGATACCTATGTATCACGACAGTCGTCACAGCGGCAGCCACACTTCGTAAAGCGGTGACGCACTCGTTCAGTGATGCGCTGCTCGGCTTTCCAATGCCGTGTCAGCCGCCAAACCCCTTAACATTAACATCTGGGTCGCGAATAAAGTGGATGTGTCTGTCACTCTCCATAGCACCCGGTGATGGGTTGGATGCGAACGTTTGAAGGCGACACGGCACAGAGCGGGATGCTTGACGAACGATGTCCATCTCCCGCACGTCACATCTGGAAATGAACCGCAGTTGCCATCACACCGCAAAGCTTATATTTCTTTAGGGCCGGCGCGTTGTGAGATCCGGAAAGTCTGGTCCTTGTTGACCAGAGCTGAACTTTCGTGCATGAGGTCATCATCGGATCGGAGACGCGTCTGGCGTGACGAAGGGTCTGGATGCAATCTCAGCTATGCTTTTGTATCAAGGCAGTCCGTGGAGCATGCAGTCAATCAATGGGGATATCAGGGCGGGAAAAAGTGCCTGGTACCGTGATATCTGCACATTCAAGATGCGACGGTCCATTAATAGTTAGTACCGGGAGGGCAAGAGCCATGTAGCTCAGATATGGCCCGTTGTCCGGCACTTCTTAGCCCAAGCCGTTACGAATGTGGCGGTAGTACGCAGTGGCACCTGTATCTAGTCACACTTCGAATCAGCAACCGCATCTTTATGGGAGCTCAAACGCCCGTGATCTTATGTCTGGATGGATGTATCGCTTGGGGTACCAAGACCATGCCACAGCGTATTCTTGTTCAGCGCCTCAAGTTTTGTTGGCCGGGCTGGCAGATTCATGTCGACGAAACCAACAAAGTTGCACATGTGATTCGGCGGGATCGACGGGAAGCAGTCCTTGCAGTGGGAGATAAGAATATATTGCTCCACCATGGCGACATGACGGCCCGGGGAAGCGGTGCACTCATCGCGTGCAGAGTTGACATGTCAGCGGAGCTTGCGGAGTCGAGAATTAGGAGTGACAAGACATCAAGCTGCAACGTCCCGTGGAGATTGTGCGAGGACGGAAATCCTTGACCATCCCTGAAGGCCACGGTGCTCGCAAGCGCAGATTATTGGCCGCGCTCAGGAGGAGATGAAGATAGGCGACGGCCGACAGACCTGTCTTCAGACAGTCAGATCGAGCCGGTACCTGTCAGGCGCCGTGCCGCGCACATGCTGGCGGGGATCCTCTGCACGCCAATGGCTCTCATATCGTCTCATCTCCTGGAGGGTTGCAATTCGTGCCGCAGGCGGCTGCCACTCATTTCGGTGCCTCGATGCAGACCACCATGCCAGGTCGCGGATGAAGCCGCTCATCCCCACTTGCACCAGCGCAGCGCTTGCAGCATGAACGCCGGTGCCACCAAACCCCTGCGGAGCCAAGGAGCGTTTTGGCCGCAATGCCAGGGGTCCGCAGGCTCGCTCTCGCCCAAGGTGCACAGCGACGCTGTGACCCTGGCGTTCACGAATCATCACGAGTCGCATGCGCCGTATCCGCCCGCCCCTCCCGGCTCTTCGCGCTTCTCCAGGGACGGGCTCGGCACGAAGACTCAGTTAGTTAGGGCTCCGTTTCTCGTGCCTTGCGCAGCAAGGACAGCGACAATGGGCCGGCGTGGGCTTCAGTGGCAGTGCTCACATTGGGTGCCCCTAGTCCGGCCTTTGCACGAACGCCACCGTGCGACCTGATGGGCCGGAGCCTCGACAGCCTACCAGGATGCCAGGGGCTCTCTCGCTGAGTTGGGAAATAATGCATGGGGTACGTCATCGACCTGTGCACGGCTCATCGAGATTGCGAGGGTAAAACCTGTCGGGTAAAGCGGGCGCAGACGCGTTGGCAAACTGCCAAAACCCCGGTGTCATTTCGCCATTTCACTCAACACACGCGCTCCGCGGCAGGTGACGACGTTGTCCGGCGAGCAGAGAGCAGTGGGCGGCACGCTGGGCTTTGAGACTCCGAGGGGCGCCAAACCGAAGCGGACACGGCCAGCTCAACGTGTGGAGAGAGAGGGGGCAGGCACGAGAATCGCATAAATGGGACAATGGCAATGTTGTAAAGCCAATCCGACAGCGTTGTGCCGGGAGGCGGTCCAGCGGCGGATAGCGGCGCGATCGCGCTCGATCTGGCCTCTAACGTGCTGGCGAACCAGGGGGCGGACATTAATTGCCTTGGCCAGCAGTCGCGCCAGGCAGAGCCAGGGAGGCGGCAAATCGATAGCTCGGCTGCTCGGCAGGGTGTCGCATTTTTAACGGACTCAAGTGCCAGCCAGCCCGCCAGAGGCGATTTCCCGGTTCAAGACTCTGGTCAGAGCGAGGGACTCGGAGTGCTCCTCGGCTCTCCTAGACCCATTTCGTACATTTCAACATGATCCCATTTACCCGTCAGCAACTGGCGTGGCCGATGTACGTGTATTCGTGCCGCGTGGTCATTGTCCTCCCAGCGTGCGATTGTCGCAGCCGAGGCGCGCTGACAGTAAATCGGCTGGTGGCTCTACAGAACGCACCTTCACCCGACGCGTGCAAGGGCACACCAAAAGAGCAGACACAGTCGCGGTCATTCCAACATGCCTTGTTTGGAACCCATAGCTGGCGTAGGCAGTATCCTGTACCGACACAACTACGGTGCACGGGATACAAGGCAAGTAAACTCAGTAAGTGAACTGCACGGGTATCTCGTTGTCGCAGTCGCTGCAGATGCACGACGCCGGGGTCGGGTGCACATGAATCATCTCCAGTGGCTGGCATGATGCGCGCGGGCCCGTCGCAACGCCGCCCATGCACAGCACGAGCAGTTGCACGGGGTTCTCCGTGGCAGCGCGACATCTCGGCAACGCAACATCCCACGGACTCCGTGCGGTTGGTAGCGCTCCGCTGCTCCCAAGCTTTTCGAATGTCCATCATGCTGTCGACCATCGTTGCAGAGGGAACAGCGGCAGCTGTCGAAGAAAAGGAAAAAAAACCCGCGCCGCCGCCTGCGTTGGAACCTGAAAAGGCCTGCAGCAGGAACCTCTGATGGGAGAGGACGCCGCCGGGGACGCGCCGTGCCTTCTGGAGCGGTTCGACGGGCGTTGGTCGGTAGCCAGTGCAGGGGTCTCGCGCCCCCAGAGAACCTTACTGCACAGGGATCAGATCCACTGAAAGCCGCGAGGCCGCGCAAGAGCCAGGACGCAAAAGCTTGGCATGCTTGGGCGCAGAAGTCTGGCAAGTCTGGTTCCCAATTGAACCTGGGACTCGAGAAAGCGGGCGGCGCACCAGCCCGAAGGGCGAAAAAAACAAGACGGGAGACACGGGGGTGGGCCGCCCACCCCCCTGTGGCGCTGGAAATAACTTTCCCTTCCTGCTTGCTCAGCAACAGGAACATCCATGGACCCCGTCTCAGTGGCCCCGCGAAGAGGCACCAGTGCGCAGCGCCAGGGGCCAACTCTGCTTTCGGCCTCGGGCGTGGTGCGTGCTCGCCCCTTGGGAATTGAGTACGGACGTGCCTACGTACGGACTACTCCGCACACCTGGTATTGAATTCTTGTCCCCATCATCTCATGGCAAGTGCCTGATTCCAGCGGCGGGCCGAAGGAATGCGGGCCGCCCTCGTCGGCCGGCCTTGTCTGATTACCACTGTGCCACGGAGGACGGCCAAAGGATGCTCGGCCAATGCTGTGCTACCCCAAGACCGGTCGGAGCTTCGGATGGAACCAGACACGCGAGGTACTCCCGCGGGCCGAGCCAAGTACACGATGGCCCCAATTACAGCAAATCTATACCTTGCCAACCATCCATGTGTACTTGATCCATCGGGTCGCGCAACCCTTCTCGTCCCTGTGCCTTAGCACTCTTCCGCTATGGCATCCAGCCATGTCGTGACGGGACGACCTTATTAGCCTGCCCGTCTTTCGGGCCCTTATCGACGACGGCACGGGAGTGCCACAGGCCAACGATATTGCGCCTCTCCTGCAGCGGCAGCAATCAAGGGCTTGAACCGTTGCAGTCATCGCCGCCCAACGCCGAACCACTTGACGGCTTCAACCTGTCGCGGCGAGACAATCAAGGACGTGTGCGAGTAGGGTACAGTACTGTGCGTACTTGCAGACCGTATCGCATGTCGACAGTACCTCGTACTTCGCGCTGCAGTACGGAGTACGTACTGCGTAAACCTTGCAATGAAGAGACGAAGCTATGGCCGGGCAGCCAACGCCCATCCGGGCATCATCCCGTCCAGCACAGCCGGCGGCCGACAACCAGGCACAGGGCTCCCCTCCCCCACCGAGAGATGCCTCTTCGACAGGCGCCTGAGAGGCGAGAACCAGGCACAGGGTCGGCCCCTCCCCCACCCGCATGGAGAGTTGCGGTTCGACAGGCGCCAGAGAGGCGAGAAGCTTCCAGGTGGACCACTGGACGGATCAGTGACTATTTGCGGAGGGATCAGAAGATGATCCGACAAGCACGATGACGCCGATGGTGATGTTGGGCGGTGGCCCGGAACCACGGCGACTGCGGTTTGCCGTCGACCTCCCCTGCCACTTGCTGCTAGTGTCATGCTCATCACGAGCTTTCCTGCAGCCGACGTACTTCGTACGCATGCACTCTGCGCCATCGACGACGCAAGGACGCGAGGGAGGAGGAAGGGGCATGAAAAACTCATCTTGCTTACTACGCCCATCGCCAAGGAGAGCACCGCCCGTCGGCTGCCTGCAATTGCTGGGCCAGTACAGAGTACCTTGCGTTGGGAATGGGTCTCCCATTAATGAATTTCGTATTCTCTTGCCGGCGCTGCATGCATGCTGCCCGTCCGTCCACCGTGCCCTGATCGCCTTCTTCCTTTTTTCCCCAATTTCCTGCTCTCCCCTTCTCCTGCGTTGCACTCTTCCTCTACGCCTTGCCCTCAACCTCCTGCCACCCCGGCACCACCGTAAACCAGAGCACGAAGCACAGCGACTGCCGCGTCACAACAGGGCCTCAATTCGCCGGATCCATCGATTGCGACAGACGGGAGACGGCCTCAGCTACAGGTGCTGTGCGCCCACAGACGACGGTGTGCCCCACGCCCTCCCGGCCGCTTGATCTCGTTGCTGTTTGAATGCTGCGGCCCCCCTCGTTTCTCCTCGGTCCGTTCTCGAATCACACCCGTCGCACGTCCACCGCGTTGCCTGCGTTGTCGACGCTGCGAGCCCACCGATCAGAATATCATCAAGACGAACGTGGCCCGGAAGAGTGGCATTGAAGCAGGAACAAGGCCAGGGCTTCGCTGTCCTCGGGTGCGACGGCCACTATATCGCCTGCTCAGAGGCCCGGCACGCTCTGCTTGCGAGCGTCGTTGCCGTCGTGACAGGGCATTCTCGTAGCCTTGACTGGCTTCCACGAGAAGAACCCCTTGCCCGACTCTTGTCGACGGGATCCCATTTCCGGCGACTCACGACACCGTTTCCATTACATTTTGGCTGGGCTGCCTGCCATCTTCGCCATTCTCCTTCGGCTTCGGACAACCTGACGTTCGACCTCTTGCGCCACCTTTGCCTTCACAAGCTGTGGGTAGGTATGTAGCCGCCCCCACAATCGCCGCCGCGCCGTCCCTTGATCGTGGTGGATGAGGCCAAGCTAATGAACTCTCATCCAGGCACCGGACCAAAGCCCTCGTTAGGCACTGCGCATTGGCTGTGAACGCTTTCGCGCGCTACTTCCTCGGTTTCTTCTGTTGAGAGGTAAGCGTCACATTTCTGATTTCTTTCGTCTGTCCCTGCTCGTTCGTTCCAATGAACCACCCCCTGTCCTTGCCCCGGCTCGAGGCAAGGTGCAGCGCTCGGCGCCTGCCGCTACCGTTGCGGCCTTCCCGGCGGGAGGCAGGCACAAGGTTGGAAGCACAGCTGCGCCCAACCCGAGAGTCGCTGGGGAAGCATCGAGCAAGTGTGTGTGAGTGAGTGAGTGGCTTGGCCGGCAGCCCGCAGACCCGCTCGCAGTGCAACTCGGTGCCGGCCAACGCTACCTTGCGCACGACTGGCCGGCTTCCACGGCGTCATGACCAGCAGAAGCTCACCTGCGCAGAGCCTGCAAGTTGGGACGCGCAGGAATGGGGCCCGATGCCTCACCCACAAAGAGCTCGTGGACTGACAAGAGGGGGAAAATACAGTTTTTGCCCACGTTCTGTACGACTCGCTCTTTGTTTGGTCGCCATATCAGTGCCAGGGCGCGAAACGAGCCCATCACCGGTTCGCGGATTTCGACCTCGAAAAGAGGCCCATAGTCATTGTCTCTCAGTCGCGAGCCGGCCAACCTTCCTTCTATAATCCTTGGGCCCCTCCACCTGCCCCGTCCTCTCTCTTGCTCACATTCTCTTTACTTCCTCCTGGTCATCCAGTGCGACCGAGGGGCCCGCGATCGACTGGTCCACGGGCCACGCTCACCAGCAAGCACAGGTACGAGGGCCACAGGGCAGCTGCCACTAGCGTGTTTTCCTCGTTAAGCCCTGCCACTGCCACTCCCACTGGGCTGCCACTACCACTACCACTGCCACTGCCACTGCTCCGCCTGCGACCTGTACGCTTGCGTGTGCTTGCACCACGACGCCCTTCCTGCTGGCACCGCATCCAGCACTGCACCGTCAATCATCCATCAAGCATCCATCCATCCCGCTGCTTGTCCTACGAGACCCCAGATAATTTCCCACCCGTCCATCCCGGCCATTTCAGCTCGCGGTCCCCTGGGCCTTTAACGAGTACATACGCATACTACTACTACGCAAGCAGCGCGCAAGCTCGCACACAGGTACGGACTAATCGGCCACGATCCGCTGGGATATCCGCTCGCTCGTTCGTCGACTGCCCAGCGCTGCTGAAACACCACCCCTTGCCTGGCCAACCAACTGCCGCGACCCGACTCTCTCACACTCACGCTTTTTTTTTTTCTTGCCTGGCCGCGCGCCGCGTGCCCGTCTGGCTCTGGGGCCCGCAACACCCTCGAATCACACACCCCCCCGACGGCTCCGCTTGTCGGGCTGCCTCCGGCGATCCGGAGTGCGCGGTGCTCAGGAACCAGGATTTCCAGGGCATTCGCACACCCCTCCACCCGCCAATCCCACTCCTCCCTTTGCTCGACTCGACGCAGAACCCGCCTCCGTCCTCTTCAGCTTGACTTGCAACGCTGCCTCACGTACGCACGCACGCACGCACGCACCCTCGCGCACACCCACCGCGGCCGGCTCGCCCATCCCATCCACGCAGCGTCCCTTGACACGGCACGTTGCCAACCCCGGCGAGGTGCACGCAGCGAGGTCCTCACTCAGCCACAGCGAGCCTCTCCCGCTCCTCTCGTCGTGGGACTGGGTGACGAGATCATCGCCACGAGCCGCTCCCGCAACGAGTCCAGCACACATCGCTCTCGGCTTGCTCGCTATACCTTATTGGGGGCCGTGACAAACCATGGCACCCATGACGCCCCGTCTCAAGATTCTATCAGGTATGCCGTCCCACCTCCCGCGCTGCCCGTCCCCTCCCCCCCTTCTCGGCGGGACGCCTTTGCGCTGTTGTCCGTTGGCGCCTGAAAATGCTGCTCTGGCGCGCCGCTCCAAACTTTTAGGCCTAGTTCAATCGCCAGCGCTCCGTCCACATCCCCAATTCCCCGGCCCAGCCGGGCTCAGTTCTTCCCATTCCCCCATCAACACTCGTTTTTTTTTTGGATCTCACTCGCTTGGTTCACGGGGAGCAGCTGTCGATGCGGCGATCCTGTTGCCGTCTTTCATCATGAGCGACAGTCAGCTAATGAATGTGTGCTCAGTCGGCGGCAATCCCGTCTCTGCCTTCTTGTCCTGGCGCCTCCAGGCTACAAACGCCTGCGATGTTACGCTTGTCTGGAAGTCGGGCTTCGAACATGTCGCCCAGTACGGCATTTCTTTCAAGTACGTCTCGCTTCCCTTCGCGGGTTCGTCGATCGATCCACGCAGCGCTTCTTGCTAACTCCCGACCTTTCTAGGTCTCCGATCTTTGGCAACGAGCGGTTCAAGCCTCGTCACGGTACGAGTCTATTCACCAACCAAACCCGGCATCTCTTTGCTGACGTGTTTCGCTACCGCAGTGGTCCGAAATCCCGAAGATGCTTCGACGACCCGAGACGGTCCGTTTGATTATGTCGTGCTTTGCGTCAAAGCTCTCCCCGATGTGTACGATCTCGCCGCTGTGATCGACGCCGTCGTCACTCCCCAACACACCTGCATCCTCATCAACACCACACACACCCTCGGCGTCGAAGCGGCAATCGAAGAGCGATTCCCCACAAACGTCGTACTGTCCCTCGTTTCTGGCGCCGAACTGACACAGCTTGGCCAGAGCGAGTTCGAACACAGAGGCTCGACAGAGATTTGGGTCGGCCCTGCCAACAGGAATAGCAACATCCCGCAGTCAATACAAGAGGACATGGCACAAGCACTGGCAATGACACTGAGTACTGGGCAAGTCGATTGCAAAGTCTCCCCAAACATACGCCAACAGCAGTATGAGAGGGTGATCGGGTACGTGCCAACACTGCGTCGGCCAAGGCAGGCTGGAGTAGGCGATGTGCTGACTTGATGTTGCAGGCCAATTGCGTTTCACCCAATAAGCGTACTTTTCGAAACTTCGAATCATGCGGCACTCATGGAGAAGGTCGGGGTCAAGGACATGATATCCGATGTGATCGACGAGCTGTTGCGCCTCGCCGAGGCAAACGGCTGCAAGTTTTCTTTCGACTTCAAGCAGCGGACCATGGACGAGATGACGAAGCCTAATTTACCGGAGAGCATCATGTGGCAGGACTACGTGGCGCGACGGCCAATGGAGATCGAGACGTATCTCGGATCTCCTATTAAGCTGGCTCGCGACTCCAAGGTCGCTGTACCGAGGATCGAGACCCTTTACGCCATCCTGCACAACTTGAACATTGTCAACAGAAGCAGACCAAAGCCTGGGGAAGGCGCGCCGCCATCGATGGCCCCTGGCTCGCCTACCGTTGCCCCTCCGTTGCCGCGGATGCCGTCGCAACAAGGCCATCGTCCCATGCCAGGTCCGATACCCAACGGCAACGGTATGCCTCGACCGCCCCGACCAAGGACCTCTTCAAGCTACAGCCAAGCGGGAATGCGCCGTGGGCCCCCTCCCATGAACGGCGGGCCACCCAATGGCTATCCCCGTCCACCGCCATCGGTCAATGGCGGTTCTAGGGCGCCTTCTCGCCGCGGTTCCATGGACGGCAACGATCTCGAGGAGTTCTCGCATCTTGTTCTCTATGACGATATTCCCGAGGGCCAAGAACCTTCGCTTGGCGATTCCGACATGGGCCTCCGTGAAAGAGAGTTGCAAATCCGTCAAAGGGAGTTGGCGCTCAGAGAACAGGAAATGCGGATGAGGCGCGGCCCTCCCCCCGGTTCCCGGCGCGGCCCGCATCCAATGCGCAATAGCCAGCAAGTGTTTGACGATGACGACGACGATGACGACTTTTTTGATCCTACAGCCCAAGCCGGCGGCCCAACCATCGACCCCGATAATTTCGACATGATGAGCGTCACGTCCAGGAAGAACCGCAAAGCGCTGGGGCCCTCAGCTGCCCAGTTCCGCCGCAACCCGGAAGTCGACGGACCTGCCCCTCCCCGGGGCAGCCGATTCCGGCCAAGTTTTGGGCGCAACCGGTCAAGCCAACTCAATCACGCGCCCATGATGAACGAAAACATACTGGACGACCCCATGATGGGCTTCACCTCCAACCGTTACGCGACTGTTGACCGTGGGGCCATGGGCGCGGGGTCCCGTGCAAACTCACTGACAGCCTCGAGGCTAGATGAGCTTCAGTACGGGCCGGGTCCCGGCGGCCCGCCTGGAATGAACGGTGCCTATCCCAGGCGGGCCAGCCAGTCCCCCGGGAATCCGTATAGCCCTTCTGTCCGTGGTGGTAGTGGCCGACCTTCACCACCAAACGGCTACGGACCTCCAATGAATGGGCGTCCGTCACCTCCCGAGGGCGTCCGACAGCCAGTCCCACGATACCCCCCCGGCCAAGGAAACTCTGTTGCTCCGCAGCAAGTAGAGCAGCACATAGGGGTGAGCGCCCTTCACCCACCCAAGCCAAGAAACATTGGTAGTCTGACGGGCAGTGCGAGCGCTAGCGCGGCCAGTGGTGAAGTCGATTCCGAACGATCAGCACACAGCAGCCAGAGTAGCTTTCAGCACGGTCCGCCGCCAGGGGCTCGGTAAAGTCCAAGCTCCGAGTATCTGTCCTCGGTATATTGGCACGTCTAGCGGTCACGACGCTCTTTGCGTGTGCTGGGCGGGAGTAATATGGCGTCTCGAATCGTCCCGAGTCCACATCGGCGATGCTGGCCGGCTCTCTGCCAGTATATGCAATGACCCCCCGGCATACGACACGCCTGCGGCCCCGTCCACCCAGCATCCTGCGGGGGGCTGTGTCGATTCGGCGCCGCCTGGGTTGAAAGGGCGGCACATTCGGCCGGGATCGATTTCGAGGATTCGCGCCGTACCTATACTGTTCGATCGACTTGGTTTAATCCCGTACATAGGCATGGGAACCGCAACGGCACCAGCGAACATGATGCGCTCGTGCATTGGGTTCTGTTTTCATGGTCTCGCTTTCACTTGGCATATAATTGTTTATCGGCTCTAGCGAATTGGAATGGGCATTACTCGGTCTCGGCGACACGGCTTCAACTCATCAATTAGGAACACAGGGGTGCGGCAAGCGATTTGACGAGCAACAACGGCAAGGAGCAGGGCCAAGCAGCGGCTGGCGATTACGGCGAGGCGAGGAGGATGACGCACACTGCATGGCACGACGCGCACTAGTGAACCGTGCGGTGACTGCAGAGTCTCCGCCGGGTGCAGCCTCCCCCGGATGTCGGGTCGTCGCTCACACGGGGTGCATGTAGCGACATCGATCATTGCGCACTTGCAAGGATCCCCGACGGCGGCGCGAACAGCAACATAGACATGGATGGTCTCTCTTTTCTGTTTTCTTATCTCTGTTTTACGTCAAATTCGTCCCCTGTCTTTATAGCTATTCTGTCTGATGAAAGGGGGACGCAAGGCTGCTTGCCATCGGGTATTGGGGAACTCTCTGAGGGAGATTGAAGGAGGCCGTGGCCCTTCACCCTGAAAACAAAATATGATGAAAGGGACCTTCAAGCTTAGCTGGAATGCTTGAATAATATGTAGTTGAACACAATACAGGCATAGAGGACGAAAGCAAGCAATGCCCCAACAGCTGTGCTTCATGTGGGCGTCGTCGGTTCGCCTCGGTCTGGCGCCCAGGTGGGACGTGTCACACATACCACGATCTGCATACCCCCCACGTGACCCGCTCCAAAACAGGCGGTTTGTTGACATCGCGCATCTCATTCAGGCTGGAGTGCGACTGTCATACCCACGTGCTGGCCAAGACCACATTTGTCGCCCTGCCACTCCGCTGCCGCTCCCGCGAATTGGAGTTTGGGTCCAACGTGAAAGTCTCGTCAACCTCAGAGCGTCGCAACTTGCATCACCTAGTCACCCTCGTCATCCTCGGACCAACCATGGCCACACGAAACGCTGGGACAACGCAGATGAACATGAACCGGCAAAGCGTGGCCACGAGCGGCAGCGTCGTCAAAAGCAGACAGCTTGTGAGGGAAACCCAAGAACTATGCATCATGGTTGAGATGGCATGCTAATCGGCGCGGCCTTCCTGCGCGACAGACCCATCTCCACTCACAGCTCGCCCAGCTATCCGCAAATCTGTCAGACACGGAGAACTTGCTGCGCATGACGAGCGTCCAGGCAGAGGCAATGAGGGGCTTGGGGAGCTGGCACGGTGGTTTGTGAGTACCTCCTCTCTGTCTTGCCTTGTGGTTGGCGACAAATCGTGGCGTAGTGCAGCGCAGAAGGGAGAGAGGGGATCGCAGCTTCGCCAGTGGCTAACATGGGGATTCGTAGGTTCATGGCTGCGAGCAAAGTACTCGGCGAGGAGAGCGTCAGGGAGGCAGGGAGGTAAGGAGCTGCAGTTGCCATGGGCATACCGAGGCACGTTGCATGAGGGAGCAACTACGAGGTTACGATCACGACGGCGGACAGGAGCCCGGACACTGATTTCGTGGGCAGCACGTGTTGCTCCACCCATGAATTTGTTCTGCATTGCTTCTATATGCATTGATGGGTGAACGCGCCATCATGAGCTGCGAATCCCCCCGGAGCAGCCATGCAGCAATCCTATGCCTGCTTGATGGACTGGCCATGCCATCCCGCAGCGTCCCAGGCGCGGCTTTGTGGCTCTCGCGAACCGGACGTTTCTGCAAGGCGGTCAAGCCTTCGCTGCGTTTGCAACATCTGTGGCGGCAGCCGTCAGCTGCCGTTGATGCAATGGTAAATAGCTGATGTAACTGACCAGTTGCTTCTGCTGCCATAGGTATTTGATAGATCGAGAATCATGTAGAGCTTTTCAGTTCATGCCCCCTCATCGTTCTCCTCTCGCTCTCCCTTGGCTTCCTGCGGTTTGCCCGGGCGCACTGCTCTCCGTTGTTGCCGCGGGGCGCTGACTGGGAAGCGTTTCGCATTGCCGCAGGTATTGCATTTGATCACCAGCACATCAGCCCATGGCTTGCGGCCACCCTTGCTTTGGTTCTCGATGACGGAGCGACATGTTTCACCCTCGATCTGGAGCGTATCGCAGAATTTGCAGATTGTACGCTTCAGCGACGTCCCTTGACGTATTTGAGCTTTGAGAGACACAGCCCTCATGTCGCAGATGACCTGACGCGACAGGTTCCCGATGGCCTTTTGCCGTTGTTCGATTTGTGCTCCATGAACCGCCTGTTTGCCCTCTGGAGCCTGGTTGTCTGGCGGGTGCTGGCCCTCACGGGCACGCCTGGCGAGATAGTCGGCTGCCTGATAGAGATACGATGCTCTCGAGTAGATGATCTTGTTCTGAACACCAGTATTGAGCTTCTGCTTCGCCATTTCGGAAGCTGGTGGCGAAAATGGACGGACCCGTTGATGCGCCTCGACTTGGTGCAAGACTCATCCCAAACCTCGAACTTACACGAGATTTTCCATAAGCGGCCCTTACAGCACAGTGCTGTCAGCCCCGCCTGCGCACCTGGCACGGTGGCACAAAATAACATCACGTGATGTGGTGGCGCGCACGGACCAACGGCAACTGCGCCAGCCAGCTGGTCCCTCGTCAACGTCAGCCTCGCAAACGTCGTTCTGTCAACCTCTCAACCCAGCAATCTTCTGAGAACTGCGCGTTGCCGATCTCAACCGCACCACTCAAACTTCATCCCTCCATTCTTCTCTGCTTCTCCTACGGCCTCTTTTCCGGCGGTTCGAGGATTTCTTTCTCCAAGCGCACCGCCCGGCGCGTCGCCTTTGTCAACAGCCAAATCATCGCATCTGCACCAAGCATCGACACTCCGCAACCAAAATGTCTCACGAAGAGGATCTCATCGACTACTCCGACGAGGAGATCGGCGGCAACGAGGCGCCTGCCGCCGGCGCCGCCGCCGGTTCTAACGGCAAGAAGACCGACCTTGCTGCTGGCAACGATGTGGACAAGAAGGGCAGCTATGTCGGCATCCACTCGACTGGATTCCGCGACTTTCTTTTGAAGCCCGAGCTTCTCCGCGCTATTGGCGACTGTGGCTTCGAGCATCCATCGGAGGGTCAGTTCTGAATGAATCCTAATCACCCCAACTCTTGAAATTCCTCCCCACACTCGTCCGTCCGTCTCGCAAGCGAACAACGCTCGGTCGAAATGAAGCGGAAGCCACCCCACCAGCGCAGACGGGGCGCTCTACTCGAACGGCGGTACATGGCCGTGGACGCATCAAAGGATGTACCCTATACGGCACAAGAGGTTCGCTGTTGCGAGCTAGAGCGGTTCCCTGTCGATCGGCGCGCTGGTGGATGCGGGTGCGCGGGCTGCGGCAGAAACGAGGGCGCCTGTCGCCTGGGGGTGTGATCCCGGCTCTTCGGGGCTTGCGGAAATGGCTGGCGACGAAACACCGACGACTCGCAATGTCGACAAACGCGAGCTCCTTTCGGCCGTCGTTGCTCGCCTGCGATGATGGACGGACGGGGCCCTTGCCTCACTGCACCTACTACTGTGGAACAAATATCTAACCTCCGATCGATCGATAGTCCAGCAAACTTGTATTCCGCAGGCGCTTCTCGGTGGCGACATTATCTGCCAGGCCAAGTCCGGTCTGGGAAAGACGGCTGTCTTCGTTCTGGCCACGCTCCAGCAGGTTGAGCCCATCAACGGCGAGGTCTCCGTGGTGGTCATGTGCCACACTCGTGAGCTGGCCTACCAGATTCGCGACGAGTACAACCGGTTCAGCAAGTACATGCCTGACATCAAGACGGGCGTTTTCTACGGTGGTACTCCCATCAAGACGGACGTGGAGACCTTGAAGAACAAGGATACGTGCCCCCACATCATCGTGGGCACCCCAGGCCGCCTCAAGGCCCTCGTTCGCGACAAGGCCCTCCGCCTCGGCAGCGTGCGTATCTTCGTCCTCGACGAATGCGACAAGATGCTTGACCAGCCTGGTGAGTCTCCAGCGTCACCCCACTGCTACCCCATCAGCTCGCTGACTATCTGTTAGACATGCGTACCGACGTCCAGGACGTCTTCCGCGCCACTCCGACCCAGAAGCAGGTCATGATGTTCTCGGCCACGCTTTCGGATGCTATCAAGCCTATCTGCCGCAAGTTTATGCAGAACCCGACGGAGCATTACGTCGATGAGGACACCAAGCTCACCCTTCACGGCCTCCAGCAGTATTACGTCAAGCTGGAGGAAAAGGAGAAGAACCGGAAGCTCAATGAGCTTCTTGATGACCTTCAGTTTAACCAGGTCATCATTTTCGTCAAGAGCACGATCCGTGCTACCGAGCTCGACAAACTCCTTCGGGAGTGCAACTTCCCTTCCATCGCCGTCCACTCTGGCGTGAGCCAGGATGAACGGTAAGTCCTGTGCCAGCTCGCCTGCCGTCAGAGGGACCTTGCTAACAAATTTCAACAGTATCAAGCGTTACAAGGAGTTTAAGGAGTTTAAGAAGCGCATCTGCGTCGCGACGGATGTCTTCGGTCGTGGTATCGACATTGAACGGATCAACCTGGCCATCAACTATGACCTTCCTGCAGATGCCAGCTCGTATCTTCACCGAGTCGGCCGTGCTGGCCGTTTCGGTACCAAGGGTCTCGCCATCTCGTTCGTGAGCTCCGACCAGGACCAGGAGGTCTTGAAGGAGATTGAGAAGCGTTTCGAGGTCGCCTTGCCGTACGTACACCTTACTGCTCTTCTGTGAAACGGAATACTGACTTGTGCCTAGTGAGTTTCCCAAGGAGGGCGTGGATGCCAGCACCTACATGGCGTCTTAAACCAGGAAGTCGAAGTGTCAGATTTGAGTTTTGCTGCAACAGGTTTGGGTTTGTCAATGCAAGGGTCCCGGGTTCGTGTATTGAGACTAAAAATTAGGTCAGGCTATCGTCTAAGGGATAGACGAAGAATTTGAACAAGGACTTTGCGACAATGCTGTCCACGGCCATGCCAAGGCCGTTCATGACGCAACGCTTGTGCTCAAGCGTTGCACGTGAGGCTATCATGACGCGGGGGAGTTACCATGCCATCCAAGGCAGCTCGTAGCTTCGGGCTTTGACGCAAGATGGATTCTCCGTCTTGCGGACTTACGTTTGCTATGTGCGGCATGTTTGTTGAGGATGTTGGTGCAAACTGGGGTCGGCTCAGGGTGAAGCTGCTGCGCGGGCAAAATGTGCGTATTTAGCTTCCATCTATTTACCAGCAAAACAATTTGAAGATGGCTTATGCCGCGTTGCTATATCTAATCCCCGTCTCTGCGCGAAGTGCCTTGGCAAGATGCCTCGTGCTTTCCACCACACTTTTGAGAACCATGCTTCGTAGTGCCTCTGGACCATGCAGATGCGGTGTGGCAGTAATCTTGCCGGGGCTGACCTGTTCGCGCTTTGGGCTGCCACATACAGAATCACCGACGGCCTTCAGAGACTCGCGGCTCTGGGTGTCGTTGCCAAGGCAGGCCACGGCGCCCACGGTCTTGAGGAGTATGGCGTTGAGTAGAAGCCTGCCCATCCGTCCATTGCCCTCAGAGAACGGTCTGATGTTGCAAAAGACGTGGCAATAGTTGGAGGCGACGGAAACGGCCTTTAGCAACTCGTCCTTCTCGATGCCGGCAAGGTCTGTTGTCAGAGACTCGATCATGTGTTGGACTGACTGGGATATGAACCACGACGCGGATTGCTCCGAGGTCTGGGACGGAGCCGACGACGACCTATAGACGCCGCCGTATTCCGTCGGCGGCGCGCCGTCAGCAGAGTCGATATTGTACGTCATGATCCGGTGGGTATTGAGAAGGATCTCTTCGGACAGCTCGTGGCCGTGCAGGTACACCTCTGTCAGCATGGACTTGGCTGCTTTGGCGTGCTGTATGATCTCATGCTCCCTGCGAATGTCCGCGGGCGTGACGATGGTGCTTCTCGGCTGCCGGCAAGGGTCAACAAGCGCCTCATACTCGAGCTCTTCCCTGTATACGTCCAAGGTGGACTTTTTGGATCGGAAGATGGGCTGGCAGAGGTGCATGGTCGCGTCCCAGTCCCCTCCTACATCGTCGATTCTGTTTGAACAGTATATCATGCGCGCCAGCAGCTTCGATACGATAGGCTCCAAGACAAGGATCCCATCATCGAGGCTGAGGGCTTGAAGGGACTTTTGTATGGCGGTGGTGTTCCGGACGAGTTCGGCGTAGAGGCCACCTACGGATGCTCCGTCGAGCGTGTCCTGGTTAACCACCACCCTGTCTGTTGCCACTGCAAGAGGGCGGCTTGCGTCGACTGCCATCTTTCGGTAAACGAAGAATCGGAGCTCACTTGGGTCCATTATAGATTCGATCGTCGCCCATGGGAGAAAGCCTGGAAACGTGTTTCGCACCCTTCACACCTCTCTGAAGATGGTCCATTCGAACGAAACCGATCCCATTCCTGGTGCCGGATTCACTGGTCTATTCAGTATCGTGACTGGTATATACAGTGATTTGCTGTAAGCACAGTATCGTGCCAGTCGGTCATCCCATCTCTTGAATCTTGCTACGACTGTGCGCAGGATGAGATCGATCTGTAGGCAGTGATGAGGCGCCCCTACGCTACACAGGATCCGTTTCCAACATTCTGAATACAGTGATGTCGTGGCAGCCGAGGCCTTGTCCCATCATGGCGACGAGTCCTTCTTTCGGCTGCATTCTCGTACTCCGTGTATGTGTGCAAAAAGTCCAGTCAGGCGCGACAACACTGAACTCGGTACAACCTGAAGAAGTCGCGTCCACCGTTGAGACAGGGTTACCTGGCTTCCAATTCAGGCGCGCAAGAGTACTCTTTGTGACATGTATCATGGCCACTCTCGGCTGGCATGGCGCAAATTGGCCCTGTCGTCGGTTGTAATGACGCCACTCGCGTCGCTACAAGCCATCTGTTACTCCAGCCCATCAAAGAGGTCGGTGGTCACAGGTGGCATTTTCAGGAGGCGATATCGGACAATAATGATCCACGTTTGAACAACTATATATGCGTCATTGATTGCACCATCAGAGTAAGCGACGCCCAACACAAGACGGCAACCTGCCGCACCAAAGCGTGTTCATGCTTCGTTTCAACCGGACACGTTGCCAAAAGGTCATGAACCTCAGATTGTAGTACCAGCCAAAGGCGATCGTACAAATGAGCTCACGAAGGGAGTGGTCAACATGTTGGATATTGCTCAATACGACATGGAGAGATTACAATCCTTGGAGGGCATGGATCTAGGGTAAGGCGGTCGCTGGGACAAAACTCAACCCTTTCTTTCAACACATGCCTCGAACGGCCCATGCGGCATACTCCTCGTGTACAGAATGCCAAGTGTCACTCTGTGAGTACCTGTGAGCAGGCTGCCGTTGGGGTCACGATGATGCACATGACTGTGAGCGCGACTGACATGACGCGCTTCTGCCTCGCGCCAGGCCAGGCCAATTGCTGCCACAGGCTGCGAAACCGGAGCCGGGCTTCCTAGCAGCCTGGCCCCAAACATGGCATAACCAACGCGATGGAGTGGACAAAGGGCCAAGGCAAATCGCATAATGAAAGGGGCCAGCACGTCATCAGGTGATGCGACTTGGGCACCCCGGTGGTGGAGGGGCTCGGTCATTGTTGCAAAGAGTGAGTCAGCGGCCGTCATCAGGGCCTCATCAAGACACTGCGGCTGCACTTTTTGCCATTTTCGCCTTGGGTGGAATCGACAGTATTGTTTCGTGAACGGGAAGCCTCCGAATACGGCGTCGTGCCTGACCAAGGCGCTGTGAAATGTTGGCGCTTTGGGCGGACGTGGAGACGCTGTTGTTGGGATGGTCGAGTCATCAGAGGTCAGGCGTGCCAAAACTGAAGGTCACGGGTTGAGCTCGAGAACGCACAGTACACTTGCGGCCCACGCGGAGCCTCGACTTGGTCGTCGTTCGTGCTTGTTCGACCTACGCACGATCTGACAGAGGCATTCACGATGCAGGCATCTTCGTTCTGGAGCCCAAACGCGAAGTGTAAGCCCGAGCCCTGATCAGCTGGGCAGAGGAGTAAGCACGAGACCGGGGCTGGTCAAGTCCGCCGCAAGGCGAATGAGGCTGTAAATCATCCCGGCCAGCGCGGGGCGAGCCTCACAGCGCTGCACGAGCAAAACGAGGCAGGATGGAGGATTTCACATTCCCGCAGCTGACGTTTCGGTCAGAGCGCCAGCCCGAGCTACGCGGCGAGGCAGTTCTGGACAGTCTGTTCCATGCTTGGTTCCATACTTGGCCTCCAACAAGGCGGTGTCATCACGACTCCGCCTTCACTCTGCATGATGATGAGCCCAGGGCTTTGGGCTTGGAAGCTCTGCATCTTGGGGACTTCTATTGGAGAAGGCACATACAAGAGGTGTGACCTGATGGCGCAGCTATTGGCCCGCGGGTGCGGAAGCGAGGGGATGCGACACTGCCCAATAACGGATGCACGCCTTCTCTGACAGGAGAAGTCGCAGGATCGAAAGTGCAGCTGGGGCGACGCTGGCACATTCACTCTGGGTTCTGCAATGATTATGACGAACGAGATGAAAGGGACGTCACTTTACTTTTTTGCAGCTCTTCATAGATGGTTTGTCGAATGGCACTTTGTTGGTTGTCTCTCCCGGCAAATGCCACAGCGCCAGCGGCTGAGGAATCACACTGCGGCGTAGTAAGTATTACTGTACATCGAACATGCTTCACACCAGCCAAGGCGAATGGATCATGGCGACCCCTTGCGGACGTGGATCTCATGCTCGCTGCTCGGAACGAACGTCATCTGCGCTGCGTTGGCCTCCATCTTGGCGTCGTTTAATCGGGAGCTTCGACCGCTCCCCGCTAGAATCCTTGCGGGCGTACGGTTCAGCGCCGAGCACTGTTGATGAGGTGTGATGCCGAATTTCAACAGCGGCATCAACACTGCATTCAATCTCGGGCGGGCGCTGGAGAATCGTGGATTGCTTGCCGTGCTCGTGGCCAGCACGGCGGGCCACAATGACCGTCAAGCGCAGTTTTGATGAATGCCCGCCGTTGCAAGACGGCCGCTGGAGGCGCCAACGCCGCGACACCTGAGGCACCAAGGCAGTCTCCGTTGAGTAATGTGTCCCTTTCTGGGAGACTGGTCGTGCCTAGCGGCCCCTTGGGCTGCACGTCGTCTCATTTGTGCATGCACCGTGATGAAATGTGGGAACCACCCTCATCTCCAGAAGCGCCGTGCAATTTCGGGCGAGGCAAATGGCAAGGTGCTCGACACACGACTGGCGACCGAGTGGCCGTTGATGCTCTCCTACAGACGCGGGTCCGAATCGTGGTCGGCAACACAAGTGCTTCGCAGCACAAAAGCGAGCAGTGATGCCGCGAAGCGCGCCTCGAAGGGGAGAAACCGCAGATGCCGTGTCACCACCACAAAAGTGGCATGAGTCCGTTGGCCGGGTGTGCGTCAAGGTAGCCGAGCGGCTGCGACGGACCACGAGCAGAGAGCCCAGCCTGATACCACCGCGTGGATGGAGCAGGATGCATCCGCGCCGTGCCTGGGTTGTCAGGCGGCATGAGTCGAGTCGGAATGCTGGAACAGTCATCGGAGGCATCCTCCCTCCATCAGCTGCCGCACCGCCCCTCCTCCTTGGCCCTCCGGCCGTTCCCACCCTCTGACGCCTGGCACACAGGACGAGAACGCTCTCGCCCGCACTTCGAGAAAAGCTTTGTTAGTGGCGAGCCATCCATGTTGAACACGAGAGCACGGTCGCTTAAGGCTGTGCAGCTTGCTGTTACCGTCGCGGGCGTCGGGTGACTGCGAAGAGAAAAATTCTCCTGCCGTTTGTCTGTTGTCTACCGATGAGTTCCGGTTTGCCGTCGCGCCGGTTTGCGCCCGTCCGACAACCCCTCGATGGCCTGCACGAAGCAACAAGGCAAGAAGTTCCCGTGCGCTCCGTGGCACAGCGTGACCAGCGCCTGGCCAGCCAGGCCAAGAGGCATCTGGAGTTCGTTTTCGGCGGGTCTGGAGAGTTCCGCCAAGTGGCCCCTCACCCAGTCCACGCAGATGGGGTGGAGAGGGGGGAGACGTGTGAGGTCATTGCTGGCGTGTGTCCGGAATCCCTCACGCGGCCGCTCTCCAGAGGGCCATTTGCAATGCGGGCTGTCCGGAACGGCGGTCTAATGCCCAAGACCGACCGCGGATGGCAGTGTGAGGCACCGAGCCCTGCCATTTGCCGCGCGTGTCGTGGCAGTGACATGCGTCAATGGTGGCAAAGCAGAGGCCATATTGTTGACAGTACTGTACAGCACTGCACTGCATCCCCAGTGCTATTCATGGAATGGCATTGGCACACACGCAAGCGGAGATGGCGAAGTACCTGCCCAGCCCGTTGAGGCACCGGCGGTTTGGCATGGACTGTGCACTCTGCGGTCCTTTTCGGATCACGGGAGCAGTGGCCAGTTTCGAGTCTGATTCTGCCTGGTTGTCGAGCCCACTGGGCGGTGGTGACTTTGCACCCGTGCCCCAGCCAGGCTGCTCGTTCCATCGACGAGAGGGCGGAGAGACTCGACATGCTGACACGAACACGGCCAGTCGGGGCGCTGTGGCACGACTTGTGAGGCACGATTCGTCGCCGCTGACTGATCATGGCGCTGGCCACCCGGTACTTTGTAATGTATGGAGGCATTACGAAGTACGACTGCTGTGCTGTGCAGTGCTGTACACGCCGGCGATGGCGACGTTGGCGTGACAGAATGCAACACACGCCTGCTGGGGCGGGGCCCGACGCCAACCCGCCTCCCCTCAGCCTTTGATGCCGTCGTGTCTCCGGGCCTGGCCCGTGTCATTTCGTGGCCTCGTTGCGGCCGTTGAAGTTTGGTTGCCTTGTCGCCGCCCCGTGTATTTCACCTGCTCTTCGCCTCGACGCTGTTGTTCTTCCAGCCTGGCAAAGCCCGGCTTCTGCGCCCTTGCCTCGGGCCAAGGCGAGGGCCGGGCGTGAGGCCGACGGCGAGCGCGAAGGCGCCCAGCCAGCGCGCCCAGGCGTTCCCGATGCGTTGCGATGACTCTTCCTCGCAGCTGGGTGTCTCCGCCACCGTTCTGGGCTGGCGCGCTGTAACTGGCTGCGCCGGGCCAGGAGGTAACGCGCTGAGTGGCAGAGGGCAGGGCAGCTCAGCGCGCCATTCCCGTAATGGAATCAGGGGCGACAGGGGTGGGGCGGCCGCCGAACTGCGCGGCCTGCGCAAGTGGTCTTGGGGTGGTGCAGGCAAACGCAGGCCACTGATGAACAGGCAGATGGGCCTTCAGGGGGCTCGAGGCTGTGGCCAATGGAGCGCCGGCAAAATCTGGACACAGCCAGTCAGGTCGTGCGCAGGGGCTGAGCCTGCCCAGGTATCGAGCGGCTGGGCGGCGTGTACCCTTTCGCGCCAGCCCCGCGCACGCTGTACACGACGCGGTACGTGAGTCGCCGGATTGAATGCCGCCTGCCTGGCGTTGCTGGCAATGCCGCTGCAGCAAGACGCTTCCTCCGGCCGCCTCCCACCACACGCTCACACGTTCGCAGAGCCAGCCCGCCCCCCCCA